ACCTGTCTGACAAAATCACAACATGCTCAAATATCTGGATCCACCTTCTATCCTCGAGGTCTCTAAGGGTGTGCCCCAAGGTTCAGTACTAGGACCTGTTTTATTGCATTTACTGTGTCAATAACATGTGATAACTTGTCAAATGCCTTGTATTGTTTTTACACTGATGATGCCAGTATTTATTGCTGTTCATCACTGATTACACAGGCTGGTTCAGTGCAGCTGACCTCTCCACCAAGCCACTGGTGGAAATTGCTTGGGTAGTTCAGTGGCCCAAAGCAATTACCTACTTTTGACTGATGCTTAAGTCCAACAGCAGGTAAACAGCACATTCAACAGAGGCTTAGAAGTGAGTGGCACAGCTTCAAATCCAACCCAGGGCCCTTTATCCAGGGATACCACCAAAGATGTGGGGTTCCTTGAAATTTTATTTACATTTTAAGGTCCCATTGTCTCAACTTTTCCCTCCCATACGACACCCCTGCCTTTACCACATGATATTCCCACTGTCTTCTCTGAGATTCCAGTTTTATCAACTTTTATATCCAGTAAAATGTATAATTATGATAATAATAACCATATTTGTAAAGCACCTTTAAATTTGGATTTACAGAGTCCATTGACACACAGTCAAAAATAGAGGAACCCAAAACAACATCATAACCCAAGAGAGAAACAACCCAAAAGCACATCATAAAACATAGGATCATAAGAGGCATTAGAGAGGCCAAAAACAATCTTTAAAAATAATAATTTGTAATATCACATTTGGAAAAGTGAACAAGACATAGCACAGTATCATTTTTAGTTTGGAGTCTGAGGTTTCCTACCACACAGCTCTTCTACCAAACAACATTTTCAGGATCTGTCAGACCACCTGAGACCCACCTACAGCTTTTCTGAGCCGCTGGGCCTGGATGAAGCAACAGAAACATCAGAGAAAATTACTTCACCATGAAACCAGCAAGAACAGGTTAAGCTCTGTGTTTGAATGATGGTATCATGGGTTTTGGTTTGATAGTAAATACAGAAAGTCAAACCACATCCTGCATATTCCTGAGAGAAAAAAGATGAAATGTAAAAATGATCATAATGTGAGAATTTTCAAGTGTTCGCAAGAGTTGAACTCAAACACAGTCCAGACGTCAGTTTATTGTTTGTTTGTTTGTTTTTTACACTTTTTATTAAGCTGGATGAATAAATAAGGAGCTGTAAATGAAACACTCAGCGTAAGAGGAGTGATGTGATATTTGTCCAGCAGGGGGCAGCAGAGGTCAGTATTCCTGAGGTGACTTATCTGTAGATGGAAACTAATGAAGACCAAAAGTTTAACAAAAACATCGAGAAAATGCAAAAGAGTTACAAATAAAAGTCAGTAATGTACATGTCTTTGGTCTTATCCATTTTCTCAGGCTTTTCTGGAAATGTGAGGAGCGTTTAATAGAAGAAATTTCACAAGTAACATTTGACTTTTCTCTCCTCTGTCTGGGACACGTTTCAAAGAATTTCAACAAATACTTATTTCTGGTGAATCCCATCATCATAAAACTACTTCCAAACAAAATGAACTCTATATGTCATTTGGAAAAAATGCATTGTATACTGTTCATGAATGTTTCTTTTAATGTTTTACTGATTGTCAAGTCAGTTCTGGATCTCCATAAAGCTTCTCAGCAGATGGAAGCATGAAGGCCTTTTTAAGTGTCCTGTTAGACATCAGGCTGCATTGACTCTGGACTTGATCAAACACAGAAGACCAACAGCAGCAGATAACATGACATGACATGACACCCCAAATCATCACAAACTGTGGAAACTTCACGCTGGACTTCAAGTTCCTTGGGTTCTGGGCCTCTCCAGTGTTCCTCCTGGATTTTCAAATGAGATGCATATTTACTTTAATCTGAAAACAGGACTTTGGACCACAGAGCTGGGATAAAAACTCACCAAACAATCACAGCTATAAACACATATCTTTTCAAATCCTACTACATGCCTGTGAAGAAGTTTGTGGTCTTGAGCATGAGCACACCTCTGAATTAGCATCAAGAGGCATCTAGACCCCTGGGGTCACCTGGTGCAGGCTGAAACAGAGCTCCAAGGAATGAGCAGAATACACTTTCTTAATCTATGAGGTCTGACTTGTCAAATAAGGCCTCCGAACAGAATAAAAACAGGCTCCAGACAGTTTGGTTTCTTTTAAAATTCTTACTAATCCTCCTCACTTTTCTTTATTCACAATTATAATGCTTATTTGTGTTGGTTTTATAGTATTTCATTGCCTCTGTCAGGTAATTTGGATTGCCTAATGTCTGGAATGTGCTATAAAATCAAAATTTCCTGACTATCTCACAGCCAAGTTTCCCCTTGGAGACATTTCACCAGTCAGCGCTTGAGTGCTCCTTCAAGAAAGAAAAATGAACCCCATTGTGTGAATAACTTTTACGAGGAGCAGCAGGAGTGTCTGTCTTTAAAGAGCAGAAATCAGTGAATGAATTTGGGCATTCCCACCCCGCCAGGTTGTCCACAAAAACAGCTTTTCAGAGCTGTGGACACACAGAGCAGCCAGGCATTATCTGTCCCATTGATAAAAAACCCAGAATGCTGACTCGGCTGAACTGCGGCCAGTCCAACAGCATCTACGTCCGGTCTGGAGCATCTAGCGACCCCAAACCCCATCAACGTCCCCGACCTGCCCCTAAATCAGCCCCAGCCCCGGCCCAGTTGCTCTTGGCCTGCGGGTGCATGGAGCAGCTAAGCCTCTGTGGTGGACGGCCAAAGCCCTGCAGGATTAGACTAATGCAAGCGGCGGGAAGCTACTGGTGGTGAAACAACAGGCCTGGGAATTCATCCTGATCTTTACGTTACAATCCACCCTTAGATGTCCTGTTGTCTTGAATTAAATCAGCTTTTACGGGTGTTAACTCACATCTTGTATGAAAGGGAAGTTTGAAAAGTGCACAGGAGAGCAACGCCATATTGAATTCTGCAGCTGCGAGACCAATCAGTATCTTTTAAAAGGTTTGCAGACAATTGAGGGAGATTAAAGTCAAGTTTGAGAGGAAGGACTTGGGAACTCATTAACCAGGTAAGGATAAGGGGACTGGGCCCAGACTTTGGACTGGAGCAGACTGGGAAAAAACTGGCTGGAGAAACCTTGGTTTCAGACAATGCAGTAACACTGCATTCTCTTTAATGGCCAGTAAGGGGCGATGCCACTGGCTGCAAATAGAAGTCTAGTTGTAAAGAAGTCTCTTAGGCTATGTTCACACTGCAGGTCAATTCCAATTTTTTACCCATATGTGACACATATCAGATTTTTTCATGTAAGTGTGAACAAACAGGCGCGGAAAGCAATTTGTGCTTTGTGCGCATGTGGGTCACTTCACGGATGCATTCTGTTCACAATAGATGCCGCATTCGTTGTTGTAATGTGAACAACCGCAGAAAAAAATCTTAATTGTGCATCATAACCTGCAGTGTGAACGTAGCCTGACAAAATTCCCTCTGAAAACATTTTCCTTCAAAGTTTGTGCTCTCAATCTGCAGTTAACACTTTTTATTACGGCTTGTTTTTTGTTTTTTTTTAGAGTCAAGATGGAGACCCCTCAACCACCACAGACCTTCTTAACCAAATCTTGTAGCTTCTGAAGACATACAAACAAGATAGTACCTTCCAAAATGCCTAATTCAAGGCTTCACGAGTTTTAACCTGCGACTTCATGGCAGTTAAATCCAATTCCTGTTTACAGTTTTTAGGTAAATGGAAGCCAAGGTCAATGCATCGGCAGTTTGACTGCAGGGAAAAAACAGTCAAAACCATCCAAGTTGCAAAAGAGACCGATTTAGAACAAAAAGTGAAGCTAGTAAAGCTGCAGCAGGAATTATCTAAGGTCATAGTTTGTTATTTCAGCTATTGGAGGGTGGAAGTTTAGCTAAGATGCTAAAGCACGTGATGCATGTTCAGGCCTTAGTTCTTTCGATGCACGTTTTTCTTAATATCTGCGAATATTAAGATACTTAATATTTATACTGAATGCAATATTTAAGAAAATGCAATAAATACACTCTACATGCCCTTCCAGTGCATTAAATGTACAAAAGTGCACTCTGGCCACTTTGCTAGAACATAAAATGCACTGGACGGACTTTTTGCTGCATGTTTCTCTGCTCTCTCTGCTCCCCACATTTCCAGTCCCTTTTCAGCTGTCCTGTCTTATACAATGATTTCATATTTACTGTACTATTTTTATTGCAGGTAGAAGTGAAAAATCTTGTAATTTTTCTCCTGATACATTTATATCTTAGAAATTTTGCATATACAATGTGTTGAAGCAATGGTACCATCCATTTCCCCCCCCTCTGGGAATCAATAACTTCACTGTTTAACCCATTCAAGGTCACAGGGCGGCTCTAACCTATCTCTGCTGTCACTGGGCGAGAGGCTGGTACATCATGGACAGGCTGCTAGTCCATCACATGCTGCAAAAACAGGAAACAAAGTAAGATACACCTACATTTGTGAACAAAAAGGTTTGTCTTTTAAGGGTCATTTATATGGACTTAAAATAACAACCTGAGCCTGTAAATGACAGAAGGCAGAACTTTTCCAGGATGCATTTTTGCCTCAGGATTAAAACGCAGCCTACTTTTAAGTCATTCGACCTCAAAATGAATGAAAATACTATTACCTTCACTGTAAAATTGAGATAATTCTTCCATAAATTGGGGTTCTGCTCTAAAAAGGGACCTCTGATTGGCTACCTTAGACTAAATAGTAGTTGCATATAGGTAAAAAGTTCCTGGTTCTCATGCCTCTGAGTGCATCACTGTTGCTCCATTGTCCTCACAGACAGAACAAAACAGCAGCATCAAATCACTGAATGAGCCACACAGTAGATGTGTGTGAATCTGTTTGACGCGCTCTCTCTCAGGTAAAATGTGACTTTAGTCTGTCTGTCCCTCCTCCTCCTCCCTCCTCTCCCCCATGGCAGGGTTTGTTTTGGCAGCCCTGAGTGTCTGGTCTGTGGATGGCACTGGGTCTGGACCCAGCGGTGCCCCCCACCCCATCCCTCCTCTCCATCCTCAGGCCTGATTCTGCTGACGGGGTCCAACCCACCATGAGATAATGCCATTCCAGAGGGATCCTGGCTAAAGCCCCTCTTTCTGGCTCTCAGGTATAAAAAGAGGAGGCAGCTGTGGAGCAGGGGACGAAACACTCTGCAAACTCTTCTTCACTTGTAGCTTTTTTCATCCACTCTCTGTTCTCTGTCTCACCTTATTACCTCTTAAATTCTCTCTCCTGGAGTCTGAGCTGAGCAGCTACATCTTCACCTGAGCTTCACTGATCTGTCTGCGGTCACTATGGATGTTGCTATCCAGCACCCCTGGTTCAGACGCGCCCTGGGCTCCGTCTACCCCGCCAGACTCTTTGACCAGTTTTTCGGGGAGGGCATGTTCGACTACGACTTCTTTCCTTACACCTCATCCACCATCAGCCCTTATTACAGACAGACCCTGTTCCGCAGCTTTTTGGATTCCTTCAATTCTGGCGTTTCTGAGGTAAAAAAGACCAAAATTAAGATTCAAAAATGTTGGATAAATGCACAGGCTGTTAAAGGCAGAGGTGGAGAAAGATAAGGGATGTTTTCATCCATGTTTGCATCACTTAAGTTCATCAAAACATCTCGTAAAATCTCACCAAAGTAGTAGAAAGTGTGTACTTCCTAAAGTGCTGAATTTGAATCAATTAACCAGTTAGTTCTTACTTTTAACATACAATTTCAACATTGACATCCACAGTGATCTGTCCTGACCACTGTTAATCTTGTCTGATTCATCTCCAGAAACACTCTTGAATTTCATTTTTTACTCACTTCTACTCTTCTCACGTCAGGAACAGACTTTCACTTGATGATGTTTTGATGCTATAGACCTCGTCAATGTTTGTGCTCCTTCCCAGGTGAGGTCTGACAGGGAAAAGTTTACAGTCTACCTGGACGTCAAGCACTTCTCTCCTGACGAGCTCTGTGTGAAAGTCACCGACGACTACGTGGAGATCCAGGGCAAGCACGGCGAGCGACAGGTAAGGGCTCCTCCGCTCTTTCATCACCTCTGAGATGGTTAGCGAGGGTACGGTCATCGTATGCGTACAACTTGAGAGAAAAGTTTGAGTTTTAAATGGAAACTTTAAAAGGAGAGACAGAACAGAGTTTTTAAAATGTGATTAAATAATTGTAGTGTTTGGTAGAGGTTGAACCAGAAAGACTTTCAGTTTATGTTGGATTTTGGCCGTCCCTGCAAGCAAACAAGGACATCTTTTCAATTTGTTGATCTAAAACATACAAATCTCATACCAATTTTTTTTTCCTGTTATCTTTCACCAATCTTTGCCGTGAAAAAAAAAATAAAATAAAATAAAATAAATAAATAAATAAGGGTGACTGTCTTCCACCTAGCCAGGCATCAAAATAATAAGACTTCAATGAACCATCTTGGTGACATTCATCTTATGTCCTTCTGTAGGTCACTCAAAGCATCAATGTTGTTTTCGTTTAGTTCCACAACCAGATAGAAATTCTTCACAGATGCTTTAAAGACGCTGAGAGGGCTATATGATTGTATTTCCACCGAGCTGTCACAAAATCACACTTTCATGTCATGAAAAAAATAGCCAAAAAAAAAAAACAAAAAAAAAACTGTGATGACAATTGCATCTGGTATTTATTGGAAAACTAAAAAAATAAATAAATAACCTTCAATTGAATTAAATTACATGTAATCACCCATTTCTAAATATGTTCAAAGTTGTGTTTTTTCCCAGACAAAAAAACTCCAAACCGATAAAAACTCACTGTCTTCTTTTGCATCAATTTCTGCGTCACACACTGATTGCATTTTTTTTTTTTATCAAACCAAGAAAAAAAAAAACCCCAAAAAAACTCATACCAGTGAGGAAACTTTTTTAGGAGTGGATGCAGTACTTCCCTTCAAACTGTCTATCTCTGATATGATTTGTGCTGCAGAGGGAGCTACAAACCAGAGTAAAGGCTCACCCAGTTTTCTCTTTGCATTGCTTTGTTTTGACATTTTAAGTTTACTTTATAAATAGTACTGTAAAAAGTAGTGTTTTTATTTTCAAAAGACAGCTATGGTTGATGAAAACAGTTGATAATAACAATGATAACTTTATTTTTACAGCACTTTTTGAAAACAGAAGTTTACAAAGCGCTTTGACAAACAGTTGCAAAGCACAGAACATCAGCACATGAAAATAAAAACAAAAACAAAAGCTCAGTTTAAAAGTTAAGAGTCTGGTTAGAAAGTATAAGTTTTAAAGTGGAGAGCAGAATTAAATGCATGAGTTTTATGCATCAGAATTAAGGAAAAGTTTATACACGTCCACATAGGTTTGTGTTTCTCTTTCAAAACATTTACTATGACATCTTTACCCGAGTCTGACCTCGCTCTGCTTTTCTCCAGGACGACCACGGTTACATCTCTCGTGAATTCCACCGCCGCTATCGCCTCCCCTCCAGCGTCGACCAATCAGCCATCACCTGCACCCTCTCAGCTGATGGTCTGCTCACTCTGTGGGGGCCAAAGGTCAGCGGGGGGAATGAATCCGGCCGCAGCGAGCGAAACATCCCCGTCACCCGCGACGACAAGCCCAACGCCGCTGTCTCCTCCTAGATCCTGCATCGACTGGGATGGACGATCACAGTCTCCATCCTCCATCTTTCTGCTTTTTCTTCTCATCTTCGAGGATTTCTGTGTCCTCTGTAGATTCTTCTTAGCACAAAGTTTTAGTTTTATTAGTATTATTGTTTTGAGCTTAACATAACTCTCCCCATGAGGGTGGTCGAGTGAAGGGCGGCTGGAGTTTTTTTTGTAAAGAGAAACCCCACATAAGGATGAGTTGTTGTTGGTCTACGTCAGAGCGAGCCCTCTAGTGGTGCAGGTGGGTGGACAGATGGGTGGGGTTAAGCTTGGAGGTAAATGTCACTCATGTCTTGCCCCAGATTTTCCACCAGTGAAGTTCTCCGAGGCCCTGGCTGCTTCCATTCTTGTGCTCTGCTCTTGTCTTAAATATATCTTGTTCTGTAGTGTAGGCTTTGTTTAATGGATACCTGCTCATTACTGAGAAGTCCAGACTAAAGAAACAGACAATAAAGCTGTACAATTAACAAAAAAAGCAACTTTTGTGTGGATTCGTTCATCAACTCTTCACTCAGGTTGAAAATTTAACACAAGAGCAGCTCCTCTCAGTGGATTTAGATGTGAAGAATTTTCACAATAAAGGAGTTACCTGACGTTTCAAATCAAAGATGTTCTACTCGTAAATGCAGAGGCTGTTATTTTGAAGCAGTCATAGAAATACAGATCATTTTACGTTAGGCCACTGCTTCTCAAAGAGTGTTTGAAGAGAAATTTTACAACTTAAAAAAAAAGGCCAAAGTTGAGGTTACAAAAACTGCAGTTCCTCCAGTGGCCACAAGAGGCTGGCACGAAAAGAGAGTGTTTCCCCATCGAGCCCTATGTTACGATGCCACACATCTTGACGGGCCATGTAAATGTGCTACAGTTTAGTAAAATGGACTGTTTGGTTTTTGAACTCGACGTTCCTAATCTATCAAAACTTTAAATTGTGACTTAAAAGTAAAAGATGCTCTTTTTGATTAGAGACTAAAAATCTCATTTGTGGTAGAGAAGAGGGAAAAGGCCAAAAAATAATAACAATCTTGAACCTGTACCTGGTTGCAATGTGACATTTGTTGAACAGAGGCTACAAGTTGTTGAATAGAAATAAAAGAAATAGAAAACATGAGCACCATGTACCAGTTTGATAGCTGTGAGACAGGAACCTGGGACTTATTTTCCAGGTAAATCTAGCTTATCTAGATCTTATGTGTCTAAATGGCACATTTGAACTATCATCCAATAGTTCTCCTCCACTGTGGAAAAGTATTTTGCTTTCACTGCTACCTCAGCACCTTGATTTTTATCCAAAAAGTGAGCTTTGTCTTTAATACCACGGTAAAAATTTCATAAATATCTTGCAAAACCTCAAATAAACGTTAGGATATTTGGATAATTATTCTGCAGGATCTAAATCTAGATCTTGTTTGCCTGTTTTCAAGTGCTGCAAAATTTATGTTTGTTTGTTCATGTGCCTTTCTTTATACTTTGCCACCACACACTACATTTGCTGAGTACATGCCAACACAAAGAAAAAAAAGGAAGAATCTAAAATTCAAGTTGAAGAGAACTCTGAACAGCAGCAGCAAGATATTATTCAGTGGATCCAGAAAGAGTCAGAGAAAACTCTAAATTTGGTTTTTAGTTATTTTTCAGGCATGATGACACATAAAGATTAGGCAACTCAGTGAAGGAAGAAAGCTAGTGGCGAGCTGTAGAGTGGATACAAAGCACGTGAGCATGCCGTCTAAGGGTGTCAAAGAGCATCAGGATGGAGGTCAAAGAAATCGAAACCGCTGTGAGGACAGGAATGATTCCACCGTGAGTGTCAGCGGGTCTGCAGATTCCCCTCTGCAACCTCTTTTCTGTTTAAGGATGCACAACAGAAGCTCAGAAAGACACCAAGCTCCTAATACACATGATAAATAATAAAACAGTATTTATCAGTTTGGGCTGTGGAATGATTTATGAGAAAACAATCCGAGGCTCCACTGACTCCATCTATTGACACCTATCCGAAATCGAGGCAGGGGAAGCTCACCGATCGATGTCTTTGGATGGTGAAGGGTGGAGCAGATCTGCAAGAAACTACAGCTTGTAACACAAATGTCCGGCAAAAAGAAAGAAGGTGTTCAAACATTAACTTTAATGTGTCACAGCCAGTATCATTTTCTTTACATGGAGTGCATGCAAGAATCCTTTAACGGCGAGACGAAGATAACAAGTCTTTGAACAGAACCAACTTTAAAACCTCTTTCTCTGTATGTTGCACAAACACTGACATAACCTGAAGTTGAACACAGAGTTTTGAACCCACAACAGAGGTCTCTCCGTGAAAAAACACACAAACACTCTCCATTTGATCTTCACTGTCCTGTGTCCACACTTCCTGAGTGGTGGAGCGATGCTGGGTAAACACTAGGGTACCTGTTTGAGGGCCTGCAGGTCCTCCAGGGTCTCCTGAGCAGCCAGTCTCAGAGTGGGCTGCACGCTGGAGGTGAGCTGGCTGACCCGGGCCTGAAGGTCTGGATTCAGCAGGAAAGGGTTCGGCATGAGGAGCACCGCTTCCTCCAACAACACCGACTGCAGGAGACGCACAGAGTGGAGACGCACCTCCCAGTCTCCGTCTGTCAGACACAGAGAGATCGGAGGCTAACAGCTGGAGTGTTTGGGTTTCATAGTGTGAACCGTGTAATTCAAATCCAGAATCTAAGACTGTGAAGCAGATTCTCCAGGATGTTGTGGCTTTTAACTCTTAAACATTTTCTATTTTTCTTGCAAATTTAGTGCTTGTGAACTTCACTTCCCTGTGTGTCTGTCTGCAGCTGTGTATTTTGCTGCTTTCTTGTCCAGGGCTCCCTTGAAAAGGAGAATTTTTAATCTCAATGGGACTAACCTGGTTAAATCAGGTCAAAACGCAGATGTACTGTATATGAGCAACATTATGAACAAATCACGCCTGTAATTACCTTCAGGCATCACTAATCACTACTTTGAGCCGTGGCTCTCATCACAGAATAGCCTCTCTCTGCTTAAGAGCTCTTGCAGATGGACTGTTGTCATGGCGATTTTTCCATAGCGGCATATAAAAAAGGAGGATCATGCATTTGACACAACTGTAACTGTCTGTCACTCTTAACAGAGGTTAAATCTTCCTAAACTGTGACATTTATGCAACATACTTACATACTTTTGTGTTTTCCTTTTAAATGATTGAATTCCTATTATAAGCAAAATGTTCACCAGAATGCTTAAAATTAAGTTTGGGACGCCGGAAATGTACCAGAGAAGAAGCCACGAGACACCTGTCTTGTTACATGAGCCTTCTGATGTCTAAATGAACCCTTTACTGTGAAACTCAGGTCTGATTCTGTTCTTTTTTTATTCTGACAGGCTAGGACTGGCGCTGACATGAGGCCCTCATTTTCTTTCGCAATTATATACTAAACCTTTTCAATTTGGAAAGCAAACCCACTGTAATAAAACAAAATAAAAATGGGTGTCTTTTGGAACAGTTTCAACAAAAGTGCCATAAACTATCAAATTTGAGCCTAAATTCTTGGGCATCCCTGAAATTAACCAGAGGAGAGTTTACCGTCCAGCAGAGTCCAGATGAGAGGCAGCAGTCCCGGGTTCTCACTGATGTACTTCAGTCCTTTAACACTGATGCTGACATTATACAAAGCCATCAGCATCAACCTGCAGAACAACACAAGTGCAGAATTAGTGAGAGGCAGCAGAAGTACAACACTGACACCTACTGACCACATTTAATCACCAACATATCTGACTGGATCAATGTATTATTAGAGCTTTTAATAAGGCGTAGAAAAAGTAATAACTAAATGGTGGTTGTTGACACTTTGTAGTTGACAAAATATTTATATACATATGAAAAGTATATATTTGCACAAGCGCTATAACTTGGAAAGAAGGCCAGTATAACTCCGATTCTACGTTCATCTAAATCTAAGAAAATCAGCAACTTTTTGGCCCCAATTTTGAAAAGAAATGAAAGCTTTTAAAACTGCAACTAGACAGGCACTCTAAACTCAGAAAATCTGCGCTTGTGCAGCATCTGCATCAGAGCACCTGTAGGCAGTGGTCTCAAAAGTATATGTAGATGTGTAGAGGCTGAGACTGTCAGCATGCATGTTTAATTCAAAAAGCACCTTCAACAGTTCACCTTTAACTATGAATAAGTTACTATCTGTAGGAATCGTCATAATGCATGTCCACAAGGTGGCGCTACGACTACAGCTGAGAAAAAGTCCTTTATAACCTTTAATCATGACTTTGTTTAAAACACGCGAACTGGCTTGGAGATGATTGGATGAAAGCTGTAAGACAAGTTCATTCAAAGGAGTTTTTGCAAGAGGTCTAGGCATAATCTTTTTTTAATTTATTTTACCAGGGTGCAAAAGATTGTGAGTTTTCAGGCGTGTTAAGGGCACCTCAACAAAACTTTAACCAAGTGAATTACTCATACAGAATTACTATCAGATGCCCCCTATAAAAGTTATAAGTAGAAGATGAATGAGTCTGATTAAGGTCAGCGATGAAGTGTTTTATGTTGTTTTTTTTTTTGTTTTGTTTTTTCTCGACAGGTCAACGCACACTTTCAGTTTGGGTAGGATACTGGGTTTCATGAGCTCCAGCAGCTTTATCAGAGTGTCCAACAGGATGTGAGCCGAGCTGGACAGGAAGTCTCGTCCACACGTTACCGCTGCAATGTCTGATTGAGCGGAAAAAAAGACAGGGTAGGTGAATGGAGGACAGTTAGTCTCAGCACGCGTCTTTTAAAGTCAAAGTGTGTGTAACTACACCAGTATGAAGCTGTGAACTCACTGGTGATGGTTCCAGCAACAGCCAGAACAAACTGGTGCTCCTGGGAGTTCAGGTCCTCAGTTTTGACATCCTCATCCAGAGATCTGACAAAGCTCTCCAGAATCTGAGCAGCAACGGCCAGGAAGGCCTGCAGCTCCCCCTGCACCATCAGGACACACAAAAACACACACTGGCAAACAGTGCTCCACCGGCCTCAGACTGGATCTCACAATGGTGTAACTCACTTCAGCGTGCCAGAGAGTGACTGTCTGCTCACTGGAGGAGCAGCTCCACAGCAGATTGCAGGCTGCAGATCCCAGACCGGAGCAGAAGTCCGCCTGCTGCTGCAGCTCGGTACCACTTTGCCACAGCTGCTCACGCAACAGCAGCTTCTCCTAAAAACACACAGAAACACATGTTCAGTGTCTTATTTTGTGTTTATGATTGTGTCTAACGTCAGGTCGCTCGCCGTCTCTCACCTCTCTCTCTCTCTGACACTCAGTCTGTGCTGCATCCAGACGGGACTGAAGGTGCAGACACTCCTGTCTCAGCCGCTCCTGTTCCTGTGTAAGCTGCTCCGTCACTGCAACAAAACACACACATACACTCACAAGGTGTAAAACATTTATTAACTTACTGACACAATAAACTGAATGAAATAATTCAGTTTTTCTTCATGAGGTGTGCTAAAATGTCTCTCAAACTTCACCCCGGTCATTGCTGACTAGTTTCTAGTTACACACAAACATCTTTATATTCCAAAGTTATTTTATCTCACAACATTGCACACAGACTGACACCATCTCTACCTTTGTGTTGAGTCTAATGGGAGCGTACCTGTGTGAGCTCCTTGAGCTTTGCGCAGCATCCTAATCAGATCTCTGTTCAGGACTCTGGGCAGAAACTCTCTCAGCTGCATCACTTCTGTGGTCAGCTTCTCCAAATCTCTTTTTTTCACCATGACAAAACTGTCCTATAAAAGAAAAAGAGAAACTTCAAATATAAGCTACAGCTATGAGCCACAACAAAAAAAAAAGTCAAAATCAGATGTTTGTTTTATTGTGGAGTCTTCACTATGTCCGTTACTGTCTAAAAGTACACATTAGGATATATCTTATAGTAAATTTAGAGCACAAGCGTCAAATAATGTAGTATTTGACCCTGCCAAAGCAAAACAAAGGGAGAAGGTGAAAATCAAGAATACTTTTTTTTAGTATTGTCAATTTTTAAAACTCGTCTTAAAACCCATTTTTATTCATCGGCTTTCAACCCTGCATGAGGCTCCTGTTTCAGTGTTTTAGAGTTTGTTTTTAGTGATTTGTTTCTATGTTTTTAAATTCGTTTTTAAAAACATTAAAACTATATTTTACTTTTTAATATCTGCTTTTATTTTATCCATTGTTTTTTGATTGTTTTTATGTCTATGCATGTACAGCACTTTGTTCAGCTGTGGTTGTTTAAAGGTGCTTTACACACAATGTCGAGTTGAGTTGGTGAAATGATTGTAAAATCACCAGTTAAATTTGTGTTTGTTTGTTTTTTTCTACTCATTTGATGTTTGGTGATTGGCTACAGTATTGACTGCTTACCCTTTATGTTGAAGGTTGTAACATTTCACTGTCAAACAGTTTGTAAAAAAACTACCATGTTGCTCCTGACTTGGAGGGGAGAGTTGCCGCCCATTACATGGATGACTAACAGGCTTATTTTGGTGTGGAATGTCTAAAATAAGTGGGCTTGCTTAACATTTACCCTATTCCAATGAAAAGGATTAACCTTTGACAGTAGTTAGGTATACGTAAAAACAGATTTCTGAAGAGCCCTCAGAAGTATCTGTTTACAGCTTTTACCTTTGCTCCTGGCGCCAAAGATTTCCCGTTTACAGACGTCGCCATCTTGTGGTCGGTGAGATGACCGTCTTTTCTACTTCTTGTGCCGTCGATTCTTCTTTTTCTGATTTTTTTTGTACAAAAAACTAACCAACGCCTACTTGCTCGTGTAATTCTGTTAACCTCTTTCATTTAATGTGAAAAAAAATAGATGACGGGTACTTTTTAAAGCAAAAACCGTCAGAAATAACTTTTAAGAAAGACCCAATGTGGCGTCAAACACACTCCGCTTCCAGATTCCAGTCCGGGTTTTGTGATCCCCCAGCCGCGTAGAGCAGCTTATCTTCTCTTCCTTTGTGTTTAAACCGTTTTCAGTGCACTCTCTAGGACCGGGGACGCTGGAGAGACCGGGGGAGGCGTATTTCTCTTATTCTGTACTCATGTCTGTGGGACCAGAACCGGACTTCTCCAATGATGAGGTGTTTGGCAGCCGGTTTCCCGTCCACCGCGCCTGCCGGGATGGAGATGTTGGAGTTCTGGTGTCACTCCTCCAGCAGCTCTCAAACCGGACTCATCTGACTGCCGAGGACTCCAGTTACGGATGGACCCCCTTACACTGGGCTGCTCACTACGGACAGGTAGGGATTAGTCAACTATGAGCTAGATTAAGAGATTTACCCCCAGAGGAAGAGTCTTTATTCACCGTAAAACTCTCATTCTGACTGATTTATGTTCGTCTTAACTTACGGTAACTACGCTCTGCTTCATTTAATCTACGCAAAACTTAAATCACAGCTTCGCTAATTGTTCCTGCAGAGGTTTGAAGACATAGTTTGGCTGTTCCAAAAGATTTGTGCTTAAATAAAGCTTGTAATTGAAAAGTCTACCGTAGCAGAAGCACCCGCCGTTTTTCTGTTTTAGCTCATGTAGCCGCTCCAATATGCATGTCTGTTTGTTACTGTACAATAAAGTTTTAAGGTTTGAAAAAATATTAAATAAATAAGGTAACCGGTTAGAGTCATTTCATTGGTTCGCGGGAAGCCAATCAATGATCAGGCGCCAAAACATCCACATAAAACCCGGAATTAAACGTATTGAAAGTATGTAATAACTACAAACAAAGTTCATTTACGTCGAACATTTAAGGTTGAAGAAAAAGATATTTAATCGTTATATCTTCCTATTTTTTTTTTTAAAGAGGAGTAAATCAATGTTTTTACATACTTACAAACAGTATTTTTACAACTTTTAATGTACTTTTTGTCAATTAATGGATTAAAATGATTGAAAATGTGCTAAAACAGCTCCACAAATCCCAGCATTTAATATCAGTACTAGAATCAGCTTTATTGGCCAAGTGTGTGTACACATACAAGGATTTTAACTCCAGTAAACTTTGCCCTCAGTGTACAAACATTAAACAGGAAACGTTACAAAGCGTGTTACAAAGATTACATGTATGTACCATGTATGTATTATATGATAATAAATGAAAATTATAAAAAAACATGGAAAGAAGACTCAAAGGTAACAAAATAAAGTTAAATACGAGCTAGAAATTCACTTTGTTTTCCAGTTTACTTTTTTAAGAGGAATGTAAAAGTTAGTTAAACTTTTTTTTCTTTCTAAGGTAGATGTACTAAATTAGTTTGCCACTTTTTAGGGTGGAAGTTAAACCAGTGTTTTTTCCAGACTTTTTTGGTTTAAATACAATCATCCATTCCTCCAAAATAAAATAAAATAGAAAAAAAACCTTTTGCTAATAATGGATATTTCCTTATAAATTATTCTCATTTTAAGTAATTGATGGCACCTCTGCCATGGTTGTTTCTGAGCTTAAAATATTTTACAACAAAATGACCCCAATCTAACAACATTTAACAGAGTCCAATTGATATTTAAATGAGGGAGATTTCTAACAATGAAACTCAATCAGTGCTCCCCAGGGGGTTCCTTTCAGTATTCACAGATGAGAGCTCTTGATGCTTGCTTATTCAGATGTCTTTAACCCTCCTGTATTTGACCTGTCTTCTTTACTTTGTGTGCGCACAGCTGGAGTGCGTGGTGCACCTTGCGCAGATGGGTTGTGATGTGAACACAGTGACCAGCCGCTTCAATCAGACTCCTACACACACTGCAGCGTTTGGGGGACATCCTCAGTGTGTGGTGTGGCTGACTCAGGCTGGAGCTGACGTCAACAGGCAGGTCAGTCAACAAACACCATCCAACAATAGCCAGAGAGTCATATAACACAGTCCTGTACATAAATGTGTCAAATCTAAAATGGACCTGTTTCTTATCTATGTAACACCACTGAAAACATATCTGTGGTTTCATTTATGAATATGGACACTGGAAGGTTTGAACCTAGATAATTTTTCTATGAGTACATAAGCAAATAAATCCTCTATAGGTATATATCCAACCCACAGTTCTAACTGGAAAACAATATTTTTAATCATTGCTTGAAACTTTTCGAGTGCATCTTGTGCTGTAATCTTTAGTAGAGTAGAAATACAGGACCTACCACAAATTTTACTTAGCGTAAGTGGAGCCAAGTTTTATTTTTAGGTATGTTATTATAAAACCAAAAAGCTTGACTTTACTTTTGGGTAATTATAAGTGACCGTTTGGACTCAAGACATTAATTCGGTTATTTGTTTTTATCCTGACATCTGACATTTTCCATGCACACTTTTGCATTTGTAGAAAAAATCCAGCTGAAAAAGTACCCCTGGTACTGCACAAAAAGGTCTTGTGAAATAAGATTATAATTCTATCGACTTCTATCGATTCCTATGTAAACTATTCAGGAGAATTAAAACTGAAAGGTGAGATGGTTCAGAGAACCACAGATATAAACACATACCACATAAAATAGAGGGGTAAAGTTCTTAAAATCTTAAATGCTCCGGTTTATTCATTATCTCCACATAGTCAATTACATTAATAGCCTTTAGTACATTACCTTTATAGATTTTTTTTGTCACTGTGTCTTCAGGATTTCGTAGGTGAGGCTCCCATCCACAAGGCGGCTCGCTCGGGCAGCTTGGAGTGCATCCAGGTCCTGTTGATAGCAGGTGCTAAACCATAGTGAGTATCCTGCAGTCTGTTCCCCGTGAGTGTGAAGCACAGCAGCAGCAGCTACACATCCTCCAGGCAGGGGAAGTGCAAAGTACCTGTGGAGATAGAGCTGTTTAAAAGCCTCCAGACTCCATTGAAAAAGACATTAATTTTACCTCCCAAGACAAAGAAGTTTCTTATTTAAAGATATCTTTGTTGGTTAGTCATTTTTGTGTCATTGTGCAACTGAAATGTTCGTAACAGTTAGTTCTGATCCCACAAAATATTTTTATATCCCACAATCATCCGAAAAAACTTAGGAGTCTTGGTAGCAACACAGACAAATCCTCTGTTCTGAACAGGTAAAATGACTGTTTTTGTGAATGAAGTTTGGTGCCTTTTGAAAGAACAGTTTAGCATCTGTTTCTGGTTAAAATGAGTGAACTTTTCTTTCACAAAGCTCTGTGTCTGTAGAGATCCTGTAAAGCTGTGAGAATAATAATCTGAGCCTGTCAGGGACAAAAACAAGGACTTTTTAGAAACATATTTAGATCAGGCGCATTTGTTTCCACATGAAACTTTTTTCTTCTTTTTCGCTACTTAAAACACAAAGGATGCATAAAAAATATAAAAATGTGTAAGGGACAGTTGATGTTCTGAGTGTCTTTACCTTTCCAGCCTCAGGGTGTTTCTCAGTCAGAGACAATGAAAAGGGTGGAGAAACTTGTAACACCTGTTGCTTTTAATTAGACACGTTTTTTTGGTCTGAAAATACGGCATCTTATCATTTGAACTCATGTTTTTTTAGCTGCATTTGGACCATGTTTTCTATTTGGCAAAGAAAACAGCGGTTAAAACTCTTCATGTGTTCTGACGTTTAGCAGCTAATTCTTTTCACGGTCTCAAACTGAAAGAGCAGCTAAAACATGTTTATGTTCAGCTTTCTGGAGTTTCCAGGTCCTTCCAGGTCTTTGAGTCACTGATTGAAATGCAAAGACTGTACTGATGAAGACGGTCATGTCTGGTCCTGTGCGCTCAGCTAATGTTTTTCGATACTGCTCAAACAAACATGAACTGAAAGGGCACGCCCAGAGGAGAAACTGCAGCTGGATAATTATCTTAAAGTAGTGAAAGGGAAGAAGCTACAGTGGCCCTGAAGGTTCAGTGCACAAAAAAAAAAAAAAAAAAGATGTGTCATTTAAGGCAAAAACATCTTATCCAACTCATGAATAATTAATGATACATGAAACATTTTATAAAAAATGCGAAAGGTTTCATGACATCCAAAAACAACTTTTAAAAAAGCATTTTTAGAAATGTAAAAGTATTTCACTAAAAAAAAAAAAAAAAAAAAAAATGTCAGGGGATGAAGAAACATTTCACAATTTGGCAAAACTTTTCATTGATAAATAAATAAATAATCATGCCTGCAAAAAAATCTTCTTCAGTTTACAGAACGCCAGTGGGCAGACAGCGGCAGACCTGGCTCTGGCTCACGGCTTCCACGAAGGTTTCCTCCTCCTCTCCAAAACCCAGAAGCACCTGCAGCAGCTCGCTGGAGTTCACTTGAATGGGGTGCAGAATGGAAACGGTGCCCCCTGTGGTCAGGAGCTGCACAGCAGGAAGAGGCTGCTGAATGCTGCAGAGAGTGGTCACATGAAGAGAGCGAGGAGAGCTGATGGTAAGACTTCAGATGTTTGTTAAAGAGCCATAATGGTGATGATAGGAAGGCTGTTGTTTTAGTTTTTTTTTTACACTGTGGAGATCTATTATGAGCTTTACTCCCCTTCTCTAAACTTCTTATCCAAACTGTTCTCCACATTTTTTTTCTCTTACCTAAGTTTTACCCAAAACAGCATTTTTATGTAGTTTTCTCACTAATCCCGTGTCTCTAGGTGCAGACGTGGCAGTGCAGATGCATAATGAAGAAGGCGATGAGCTGGAGAGCATGAACACAGAGTCTGCTCAGGAGATGAACTCAGGTGGGAGATATTTTAACTAGGGCCCGACCGATATGGATTTTTTGGGGGCCGATACCGATTAATAGGGGGGGGGTCCGATTACCGATTAATCAGCCAATTTTTAAAAATTTTTATTAAGTTTTTAAGTTTCTGAAAATATTGGCGAAAGTTTTGGCCGATTACCGGTAAGTCTCAAACGGGCTAAAATTGGCTGATTTAAGCGTCTCGCCGATAAATCGGTCAGGCCCTAATTTTAACTCGTAATAATGTCGAATGTTCTTGTTAGGCTAAAACTAACTCTCACACTTTGCCTTAAAAACAGACGAGGACACCAAAGCTTTTACAAACGGCTATCACCACACACTGCCTTATGACCAGGAGGCCTCCGAACCACAAAGAAGCCCCTCCCCTTCCCCTCCTCCAGCTAATCAGCAGGCAGCCCCACCCTCTCAGCGCTCCTCCTCAGAAATGTGCGGTTCCCTTCACCACACTGGCAGCCCCAGCAGCTGCGTGTCCCACCGCCCGACTTGGTGGGGACCGCTGGGAGGAGTGGACTACGGGATGGACCTTCATTTTGGACACTACCACGGTTTCGGAGACACGGCGGAGGAGTTGAGCAGCAGCAGGCTCGATTACTGCAGCAGCGTCCAGGCCGAGCAGAGATACAAGCAGGCGGTGGCCAGCAGCATCCACCTCTACCACGGCTCGTAAAGGCAGAGGGTTCAACTCTGCAGAAAACAGGGATCTCATTTTATTTGATAAAGAACACAGTTTCAGAAATATATATGCTGCCAAACCTAGAGTCACTACTGCAGGAACCCACAGACCAGCATTAAAGTCCTCTTCAAATTTGTCCTCTTCTTTTCCTGACAATCGTCATCACCAGAAAGAGCCCAAAAGAGAAAATATGTCCTAAACATGAAACATAAATTCTTCCCCTGCTCTCTAAATTAATACAAACAGTATTGAAGAAGACTTTCAGCGAGCAAGCGAGAACATAAACTCAACCATCAGGGAAATGTTTAATAGATGAATAAATCACTGCAAAGTTGGACCGTTTTGTCCAAAGCTTCTTTCTGCACCAGAAGAGTCGCCCCCTGGTGGCAAATGTAAAGAATGCAGGTGAAAAACTTGTCTGTATTTGCTCCTCTATCTATATTTTCCTCTAATTTAACTCAGCTTCTCATCCATTAATATCAAAATCTCAGAGTTTAGCTTTTTTTTTCAGATTTGTCCCTAATCCTTTACCATAGAGGCGGCAGTTATTAGGATTAAATCAGACATGAGGTCACTTTCATGATGATTCGGAAAGGCCTGCCGGCTGGACTCTGACTGGTTTGCACTCTAAAGGGCTGTCAGGCTGTGTGTGGATAGTGTGTGGTGTTTCGTCTGTGTGTGTGTGTGTGTGTGTGTGTGTAGAGTAGTAAAGGTGTGTGTTGCCGTCCTTCATCGGGGAGGAGAAATGTAACTGACTAAAGAAACGCCTCGATCTACCAAAGGGAACAGGTTCATTTAAATTCCTTTGTTATTTATGTTTTAGAGCAGAGGAGGGTCTTTATTCAGAGCTCTACTGTCATTGTATTGAGTAGTTTTTGTTGGGGGGTAGTTTGGGGATTTTTGTGAGTTATATATAAAGAGTGTTCTGCAGACATGCTGGGTGTAAATGTGGACCATGTGCCAAAAACATCGACCACACTAAAGATTGATTTTATACTTGCTCTGCTTTTTACTTTTCCTATTAAAACAGTTTTGCAGTTTCATACAACCACTGTGACGAGTTTTTTTTTTCTTCCTGTTTTTATGTCAAATAAATTGTTTTTACAAAATCCACAACGAGGACTTAGAAACTCTCCCAGCACTGAAATAAATGGACTGGTATGAAGGTCACTGTAAGTCCAGGGCTAAAAAAGCAGTTAAAGGGTCATTCCATGAAACTGGTGCCTTTTCAGTTTAGAAAATTAAAAATTTAAACTATATTTAATTGTTAATTTTTGAGTACCCAGGAATCAAAGAATGTTTAAAATGGCAGGAAATGATATATTTTTTACCTACCTTGAGGTATACTTGAGATTAATGTTTGACAGAAATGTAGAGATTTTCAACACAGAGGCATACTGCATTTATTTGAGGATTAAACTGCTCTTGTTTCCTGAATTAACAAGAATTATATCTCAGAATTAACTAAAACATTTTCGGGGGGAAAAAAGTTCTTTAAAAATAATCATGTTGGAATTAAAAAGATGAACTTCAATTTGTAAAAGAAAACATTCGTCCCAGTTTTTCTGTGTTCAAAGTTATAGTTGTAATTTCTATATACACCGTGCACATGGAGAAAAAGGTTGTAGTTTTAACAACCTCAGCAGCTTACCAGGCCAATTTCAGATTACCTTAAAGCACCTGTGTTCAATCACCTATGTGTCCCAGTGGCCTTCGAGCTGGACCAGCTGCTCCAATCAGAAAAACAATTGACTTAACTCTATGTGTTCAAGATAACTCTCTGGTAGACCCAGGGATGCTGAGGAGCTCTGAACCATTTCTCCTTTGTTTTTGTCTCTATCTTATGGCTTTTTTGCAGGGTCATGGTCTGCTCCAGGTTTTCTGCCTTCTTAGTGAGAAGGTTGTTTCTGTGCCACTCTAACTTTCTAAATGCTGAAAGGTGCTCTGCTTATGGTACATTAAGATAAGACTGAGACTTATGATACAAGATTAGAATGAATCTTATCCTACAGTGATGTTGACATAGAACTGATTTATAACTCCACTTGCATACAGATATGTGAATAAGGATGTCAGCTGCATAAAAATAACATTTAATTCAGTCAAGTAATATGAAGATTTTACATAAATTTCCCACTTTACTCTTACTTTTCTAAATTATAATTGTGCAGTTACTTAGGATGGGATTTACTAAACAATTTTGTATCAGCACACCTATTCCAGCTAACAACAAGCCTCCAAAATAGGCAACAAAATGTACAGAGACCAGGCTGTGAACCAATTCCAGTGAAAAACAGCCTGAAGGAAAACCAGGAAAACTCAGCAGGATTGATATTTTTCAGCTCAGATATAAGAATCCATCACTGCTTTTATCAACATTCAGTCAGATCAGCATGAATAAAACCATGAACTCTGGCGGCATCCCTAAAAAGACTTTTTTTTTTTCCTTCACACAATACTGTTAATAAATCAAACACGATTAAAAGGTCTTTCTTTCTTTCTTTCTTTTAGTAACTCCTGTTGTGGTTTCAGCCACAGTTTTTTTTACCCCTAACACACCTGAGAACTATGACGAGTTTTTCTTTTCACCTGAGCTGACCCACAGTGCTGACATAATAATAAAGACGGTTTAAAAGCATACTCAGCACTAAACATAAAGCGCCCTCTAGCGGCTGTAACAAACCACATGAGAATAAATCAGTTTGTATTTAAGAACTTGGTTTTACAGCCTCGTCAGTCTAAATATTTTACAAATCTTGTGTTTTTCTGAACTCTTGTTTTCTTCTTCTCTGCACATATTATATGGTATCCAGTACAAATAATTTAAAATGCTGTGAGGAGACAGGCTGTAAGTGTGTGCAAAGGGTTCAAGAACTTTCATCTTTCAAAAACACAACTTAAGACATGGTTTAAACAATAATGTCACAATTTATTTGCATGTGCAAAATGTGGTGCAGCCTCCGTGTCAACATGGCTGCTCCCCTTCCAGAGTTTCTTCTTTCCTTTTCAGTCACCAGCTGGATAACTGCTGTGTTAGGAGGCCACTCTTACACTTGTTAAACTAGAATGAAAAGACAAAAATATTAAAATACAATATCCTTTAACAGATATCCACCAAAGTATGTAGAGACCAATCTTTAAGAAGTGATTACATTCTGAAAGAAAAGAACAAAGGATGCAGTCAGTGTACCTTCATGCACTGAAACTCTTGTCCATGTTCACCATCTTTGCTGCTGTTCTCATCTTCTCTTCTTCTTTCGGCTGCTCATCATCTTCACTCTCATCCTTGCGAGTGTCTATTGTATAGAGATAAATCTAAGGAGAAAATGCAGGTCAATAGAGCAGCACACAAATACAACAGTTTAATGAAACAAACACATTCATCAAACTTTACTTACTTTACTTCTCCATGTTGTCTTGTTCATCCAATCTCCTTCTGCATCACGGAGTTGGACGTCATCTTTGGCCTCCTCTGGAGTCATTTTAGGCGTTTGACTCTTTGAAGTTACCTGAAACAAACATGAATTTCAGCCCTTCAGTTAAAATTGTCTATTTTTTTTTCTTAAAAGTCGAACCTTTTAAGTAGTTAAAGAGTTATTTACCTTCAAATTCCCAGAAACACACAGTACATCCGTCATTCATCTTTCCTCCGTCTCTCTCTTCATGGGCCTGTCTCTCGTATGTTTGGTCCTCCTGCGTCTTCTGTCTCGTGCTCGGCTCTTCTGGGGGTTTCTTCTCGATTGAGGTCATTGTCTTAAAAAAAAAAAAAAAGAAAATGAGTCCTACACTGACTTTGTTTCATGTTAACAATGACTCTGGAGGAACCAAAGTCACCTTTAGACTCACGTACCCACTAAGTGAATAAATCAAGTAAAGAGGTCACACGAAAGAACGTGACACAACACAAACACGACGACACAACACACAAAAGAAAACAACACATCACAATACGAGGTAACAGAGCACAGAACGACACATAACATCAAACATGACGACACAACACAACACATTAAAAAACAAGACATCACAACATAAACACATGCATGACAACACAACCCATGAAACAAAACAACACATCACAAGACTCTATACTAAAACTGCGCCACTACACAAAACATCCCAACACATAACATCAAAATAAATAACCACACAACACAACCAAGGACTTTTGAAGTTCTGCCCAATGAGTCCAAGGTGAAGTTTTTTTTTCTGCCTTTAATTAAAGTGTTTTGTTTTTTTAAGGAGTCAGTGCGAGAGGAGGAGCTGGCGCGGAGTGACGGATTTGTTGTCGTTGTTTTTATTGCAGAGCAGGATGCCGGAGGCTTTTATTGGTGGAGGAGAGGAGATGCTGCTGAGGATCTGGAGGCTAACTAATACCGAATTACCGAATAACCTTATTTGTTTTTTTAGGAGCCAGTGCGAGAGGAGGAGCTGGAGAGGAGCAAGGGATTTGTTGTCATGACTTAATTGCAGAGCAGGATGCTGGAGGCTTTTATTGGAGGAGGAGAGGAGATGCTGCTGAGGAACTGGAGACTAACTAATGCCGAATTACCAAACAACCCAATATTCCTAATAGTTTAACTTCGGACAAATTTAGAGGAGAGGGTGGAGCTGGAAAAGAGCAGGTGGAAACGCAAATATGGGGTATCTGAACAGCCAGCTTATTTACTTATTCTAACTTAACTTAACTTACTACAACTTATTCTAACTTAACTAAAACTTAACTTATTCTAACTTGACTTATCAGAACTAAACAACTTAACTTATTCTAACTTATCTTAACTAAAACTTAACTTACTCTAACTTATCTTAACTAAACAACTTAACTTACTCTAACTTATCTTAACTAAAACTTAACTTACTCTAACTTATCTTAACTAAACAACTTAACTTACTCTAACTTATCTTAATTAAACAACTTAACTTACTCTAACTTATCTTAACTAAACAACTTAACTTACTCTAACTTAACTTATCTAACTTAGCAAACAACTAAAATGATCTATTTCTGTGCTACAGCTTAATAATTAAATTAAACTGCGGCACAACATGGCCCCCAAAAGGACTCTTGCTTGGACGGTTGTTTTTCATCCGTCCAGCAGGCCTCTTGTGAGTCATGTTTGACCGCTGGAACCTGATCTCATGAGGCGCCGGAGATTCTTCTTCCACCTGGACTCAGGTGGAGATGCGCCTGGTGGATGAAGGGGCCGCGGGTTCCTCCTGAGTGGTCCTCAGTGGGGCCATCCACCGTCGCCGCCTTCTGGAGAGCTCCTCTGGGTCCTCAGGCTCAGAGACAGGAGGAGGGACTGGAGGGGAGACAGAAGGAGAGAACGTGGGAGAAAAACACGGAGAGAAAGTACGAGAGAAAGAGGGAGAGACAGGAGGAGAGGGAGAGAAAGAGGGAGAGAAAGAGGGAGTGACAGGAGGAGAGGGAGAGAAAGAGGGAGAGAAAGAGGGAACGTTGTAACCTGATCTGATGAGGCGCCGAAGATTCTCCTTCCACCTGGGCTCAGGACCGGTGGAGATGATCTTGGGGGATGAAGGGGTCCCAGGTTCCTCCTGAGTGGTCCTCAGTGGGGCCATCCGCCGTCTCTTCCGTCTGGAAAGCTCCTCTGGGTCCTCAGGCTCAGAAACAGGAGGAGGGACTGGAGGGGAGACAGGAGGAGAGAACGTGGGAGAAAAACATGGAGAGAAAATACGAGAGAAAGAGGGAGAGACAGGAGGAGAGGCAGAGAAAGGAGAGAAAGAGGGAGTGACAGGAGGAGAGGGAGAGAAAGAGGGAGAGAAAGAGGGAACGCTAGAACCTGATCTGATGAGGCGCCGAAGATTCTCCTTCCACCTGGGCTCAGGACCGGTGGAGATGAGCTCGGGGGAGGAGACACGTGGAGGGCCATCCATCGGTGGGACCTTCCTCAGTAACAGCCTGGTGGACTCATCCTGGTTCTGGACGAGGCTGTACTGCACCACTGGGACCTGAGACAGAAAAACCGACAAATTATGAAATCTGAAGTCTGCAGAAAGGATTTTTCCAGGGGAAGGTTTCACATCTTTGAAATAAATTAATGAATATAATTCAGTAAAAGAAAATTAAAATTAAAAAAGACAAATTCATAAACACATTTCTGTAATTAAAATCATTCAGACTTTAAAAGTTTTGTATGTTGTTTTGAAGGCATGCTAATGGCCTATCTATGTTGCCAGGGTAGTTTCCTACTTACACGGCGAGGCCTGGAACCCGGCATGGGTGTTTCCGCGACCCTCCTCAAGATCACCCTGGGACAGGACCAGTCAGAGCTGTGCACAAGGACCGAGGTCCATGTGAAGTGTCGGCTGGTCTGAAGACAGAAACAATGCAGACATTTAAATTAAACAAGCTGTAACATTTGACTGTGTGGTCAAGGTCATGAAGGAAGCATCTGTAACATCAGTATCATCAAGAAGAGACAGTCAATACATTTTAATTTGAATTTAGTCTTTAATCAGCAGGTTAATTGTGCAATAGAAATAGATTAACATCAATGCAACACCCTCCATTAAGAATTTATATTTTTGGTATGTCGTTTTCTGTCATTTTATTTTATTAAGAAAAAGACTTTTTCAGGATTAAATAGGAATATCTTCTGTTTTCAGTTTGATAAAAAACTGACTTCCACAAAAGGACAGTGTTTCGATTACACTTAGTGAATTTTTCCCATAATTTGAAATTTTTGATATTGTTGTAAAAAAAAAACACACTTGACTTGATCCATGAAAACATATTTCAGTGGAACATTATCAAACTCTTTCATTTTAAAGGCCGTACATAAGACATTTCTTTTAACTTAATTTCGTCTGTTTTTGTAACTTTTTAAATAGGTTCAAATATAATTCATAGGATTTTTTTGGTTACTCAGACCTATTAGAGCACTTAAAAATAGGTCTAACTATTACGTCTTTTTAGTTAATTTTGCTGAATTTTATGATGACTGACAATTCTTTAAAGTTATGAAGGTTTCCCTTATTTTAACACTACATTTCACTCCTTTAATGTGCCTCTTTCGCTGTAATAAGAGTGAAAATAGCTTGTGTTTATAGTTTTCACCTGATAGCATTGGTTAGTATAAAAAAAACTGTAAAATAAGTTTCAGACTGACGGCTTTAAATAGCCCAGAAGACATAAAAAATCTCTTATAGAGATTTCTCACAATAACATAAGCATTTCTGCTCTTAAACACATAAAGTCTTAGGCATGGTGGGTAGCACTTTCATGAGATGTCAATGCATCACTTTTAAGATAAAACATTCGAACATCTCGACAGTAACACACACAAAAAACGCCTATGTTCACTTATTTTCGGTAAATTTTGATAATGCCTGTCACATTAAAGTCATAAACACTGTAAATATCCATGCACACATTTAATCCTTGTGGATGCATCGCTTAACCATCACGAAAGTCTCGACAGTAACACAAGTTTGTATGATAATGTTGTCATGAAATCTTACGGTCTCCATTTCGTAGATGTAGTTCTCTTTGTTCAGGTGTTGGTCGAAGCTGTTGTCCTCTCTGTTCAGATGTTTGTCGAAGGTGTTTGTCGGAGTCCTTATTCTTCTGGTGAGGTTTTATTTAGGATGAAGCCGTCAAAAGTTGTAGGTTTGTAAGCCACAAGTTTTTCGTGCTGATCTCTTCAGATTTGCTCTTCAGAAATGACCGTTCTCTTTGGCTTGCAATGATTTAAAGTTTTTACATCGTCCCAGGTTACGATGGAGATTTAAAATGCCGTTTACTTTAGAAAAACCCTTTCACTGGTAGGTTATATCCAAAGGTTTAATATTATCTTTAATTTACTTTAATCTCAATGGAATATAAATATCTCTTAAGGTAAAGGGAAGGTTATTTTTTGTCAACTAGTTTAAGAGTTTAAAAGCATTTTAATTTAAAAACCTTCCTTATTTCGGAACAAAACGACAACGTTTTGAAAACTATAGCTTAGAAGGCCTATATCTCATAGGTAACCCAACAAAAACTGGAAACTTTGTGTTTCATTATAATTTCCACTGAAGCCTTTACTTCAATTAAATTCAGCCGATTTTCTTTAGAAGGCTACTAAAAATAGTTTATATATACGCCTTTCATATCAATATTTTGGAGCAGTAACTACTTCTGTAAAGCACCCCCTGTTTTAAAAAAAACCCAAAGTTGATCATTGTCATTGATCATCACTCAGATATAGTGCCATCTCAGGCTGTGTTATTTCATATTTTATAACCATTTTTCTCCTGGCTGTTTTCATAATCTTGTCAACCCTGTTACCAACATAAACTTAACAAAAAACAATATTTCTAATTAGAAATATGCAATATATGGTACATATATTAGCAGTACTTTAGTCTCTCTTTCCATTGAGATTATTTTATTTTGTGGATTTTTTTTCTCCAATTAGATATTTGTCATTCAGATGATCAAATATACCCTAATTTTGCATGGCGATCACGTTTCAACATACATCAGATATTTTTTTTTTTTACAAGAGAAATGTTGAAAAGTTAAATTATAATGGTGAATGTTGAAAGCCCATTTGAGTTGTCATTTTTTATATTTTAAACAAATTAATGACAACAACAGGATTGACAAGAGTAAAAGTAACTGGATCTCCACCTGTGTATCAATCAATCAATCAAAAAGTAATTATTATCTCAATAATGTTCACTTAATGACCTAAACATGCTTTAATTTTAAAAGGTGAACCTTTAAAGAGTTTTCAACGAGGGTAAACACTATTCTATGTCAAATCCCTGTTACTCACATTTCAAATCCTGTTACTGTGGAAAGGTAGCAGGGTTGACAGTAACAGGGTTGACCATTTTAAGCTAAGCTACCTGTAGCTAGCTTAAATAAGTGCTAGCTAAAGTGCAAGCTAGGTATTTTAAAAGGTAATTACTTGTAGATATTGATTATATTTTGAGAAATAGAAAATTGTTTAGGTTTATATGTTCAAAAGTGGTTACAGGGTTGACGTTGTATGTTTGTCCCCCCTGGTTAAACCTTGAAAAAACATCAAAAATAGCACATCAGAGATGAGAGAAACTTAATTGTCACTGAGGTGTTAGCATCCTGGCTCAGTGATGATGCAACCTCCTGTCAATCATGTCAAATCTGGAATGTACCATTATTTTTTTAGAGTTTTTTAGTTAGGGTAACAGGGTTGACATGAAATCAGGGGACGCCGATAAATTGGTAAATATTTATGACTAATATATTATGACCAAAAACACTGTTTAACAATAAGATCATACTTAAAACAATATGCAAATGTAAAAGTCTCAACATTTTGCCAACATTTTATAAATTTAAAGTCCTGTATACATACAATAACAGTAGTGAGGGACAGGCCAAAAACCTCATCCTCATCAGCATAAAAGTAATTTATATTATTTAAAATGATATTTAATTGACTTTAACTTGACATTATATTAAGGAGAGAAGACATGGTAATGTTATATTTTTAAATTACATATTAATTTGGCCTTATCATAATTTTAAGAATAATTACTTCTTGGGGACACAAAAGGCACCGATTTCATGGAATGACCCTAATAAGTACAGTGCACTGAGTTTCATTCACCATTTCTTTATTGTTTTCACACACTGATATTACAGTATATTTATATTACCATTATATCATACATATATGAGACTAAGATCCACAACATATCAAAAGTAAAGGATGAAAAATAAGAGTTAAGAAAATAAAGTCACTAAGTATCAATAAATCAGCATGAAAATCGAGTCATTTCTCCCACAGAGAAATATCTTACACTGTTACCATGACAACAGTTACAGTACAGAGATCCATAGATTAGACCGGGCTGTAATTGATCAGCAGAGTTCAGGAGAAATGATGTTAGAGGAATTGAATAAACAAAAATTATACTTGGTAAAATGAAGGATAATGAAAAAAAGTAGCTGGATACAAAAGCAGAGAGAGGATCTGGTCGTAGTGGAAGTTTTTGTACATCTGATGAAGGTGTGAAAGGATGATATTAAAATAAATGCATTTGAGAATCATGAACAAGTGTTTGGTTGACTGGATAATAATAAAATACTGAACAAAACAACCAAAGAATATAAACTCAAACATAAATAATAAAGAAACTAAAAAGTTACCTATTGGACCTTTAGGGGCCTTGTGGAAAAAGGGATTTGGACGATGCTCGATCTAAAAGGGTCTGGAGATTTCTGGAGAATCCTGAGCTCAAAAAAGCAAAAGTTCAGCTTCTGATCCTGGTTTGAATCTTTTGTCATTGATTTCAGGATCTAAATCTCAGAGAATAAAAATGAGGCTCTTATCCTCTTCAATTGGAGCACTTGAGAATTATGGGGTCACATTTCTCAAACCTGTGATCAGTTATTACAGCTGAGCTGCGTTCAACAAGCAAAGTTCAGAAGGGAGATCACTTTTGTTTTCTATTGTATTTTCAGCCTGAGCCCTCGTCTTACATATTTAAGGTCTTAAATGAATAACAGGTACAAACAGGTTGGTTACACTGCAGCAGATCACACCAGTCTGCAGCTGGGAAACAGGCGGTAAAGACTGTAAAGTGCCTGAAAGTCTGTCCACTGTCTTCATCAACAAATGAACACCGGAGCTTTGCTGAACGCACCTCATGTCGTATTAATCTATGGCAGAACGGGCACAACGGCACTTTGATGGCTAATCACATGATCACTTGGGGGAAACAAATAAGGCACGAGCATGCACACACACACACGCGCACACACACACTCAACAATCACACCGCATTAATTGCCGTCATCAAATTAAACACCTGTACCTCTGAGATTAAAAAATAATAACTGGCTTCAAAAATACTTTGAGAGAAGCTCCTGACGTCCACAGAAGAGTAAATTTCTTTTGCAAATTAAGTATCTTGTGGTGAAAATGTTGCGCTCATGATTAAATAATCCGACAAAATACCTGTCTTATCAAATGACAGACCTGTAATCATGTGCATCTTTAACCATCTTGTGGGAATAAGTTTTGAATCCTATATACACAACATATCTATCTGGTGTGCTTTAGTTCATGAGTGTGCACAAATTGTGCACACAGAAGAATGTGTCTTGCGTGTTAATATCTTGCATGCACAAGATATTAACTTCTTCACAAAAAATCATAACCTAAAAGCACAAGATAACTTGTTCCCTCAGGATAATATTCAAAGAAGATATCTGTTTTGACACGAACCACTATTATGTTTTGACCACAAGAGAAAAACCTGAGCTCACAGGACAAAGATAATTATACCGAGCGCACAAGATAAAATCCTGTTTCACTTGTAAGCAGAAGATATTTACAGGATATTTATATTTCTGCAAACAAGATAATAAACAGATCCCACAGGACAATATCTTATGCACACAATATTTATGCAATATTTGTAGCTGCAAGATTAAAACTATGAGCACAAGATCATTTCTTCCCACAGAGAAAAGAATTATTATCCTGTACGTAAAAAATCATTTTGTTCTCACAACATTATAACATGTACATGTTTAGTTATGTGTACATGACACGATATCTACATGGATTAATTCTTGTGCCGACAAGAAGTGCAACTTGTGCGCACAGGATAACAAGTTTTACTTTCTGGGACTCAAGCGGTTCTATAATTTTGCACTATTTTCACTGAGGTTCTGAATGTGTTTTTGAGTAACCTTTAGTAAAACTTTGGCAACTGAAATGTTCGAATAAAGATTTAAGTCTTGTCAGAGAACAAAAACACACACAAACACACGGTCACACACTCACATCCCACCTGACAGGAGCCCTATGTTTAGTTTAAGCATATATCTGAACCCCCAGCGTGTGCTGGGTCCAGTACACTGAGTAAGCATAACACACACCTACACACACTCATATGTTCACTAAAAGCATGTCAATGATTCAGCATTGGCATGACCAGGAGTCACAACAAGTTAACACCTTTTTTTTTTTGCTTTCAGCTTCAGTCTGAACTAAACTCGGAACTTTTGGTGCTTGTCAGTCACATTTTACAGAATAATTTCAACATCACGACACTGATATTCACCCACTGATAAGTGTTTTAGCCGTAAACACTAAAGACTGAAGAGTTTGGCTGGGAGTCTGGACATAAATACAGTTGATCATAAACACGGATATGTTCAGCTTTTACATGAACCGGGCGCTTAAAATGAGCAGAATTCGGAGCAGGAACTGAAAGAGGAGTTAGAGTTAAGGCTTTGGGAGTCCAAAATAAAGCTGGAAAATGTACCATGAAGCACAAAAATAAAACTATTTGACCTGAATCGTTAAAGTTCATCCATAAATAAAACCTCTACCTAAAGAAATGTTTAACTCTTGTCTGAAGTGCTCTGATATTTGAGATAACATCTTTTCTGGTTCAAAGTAGTGCTTTGTTGTCTAAATATTTGCAAATAACGGACTGGAGAACTAAGTAGGAGCATTTTCAATATGCAGACATAATTTCTAATAAGTGCACAGCAGTAATGTTGGATTTGAGATTGCACTTACATGGTTCAATTGACACACTTTGCATACAGATTAAAAATAAACAGTTGACTACATGGCATTTTTTTTGCAGGTTTTACATCTCTCTCACCTGTGAAATCCTCTTCATAAAGCATCTTTGTATCCTGATTAGCTGTTGTCAGACTAACTGAATCTGCAGATATCATTAAAAAAATAAGACAACTTTTGGCTTTGAAAAACTCCCTAATAAAACCAGAGAATTAAGCAGAGGTCACGAGTAAAAACTGAGTAATTTTGGCGAAAAAAAAAAAAAACCTGAATCTGATCCTTCTTTATGATTTTCCTTCAGAAACCTGCAGCATCCGCAGAAACCATCAGACTACTTGGACGAACTCCATTAGAGGTTCAACGTCAGCAAAAGACAAACATAAACTGCCTTCACTCCAGCATCAGCGCTCATTTCTAAGTTTTTCTGCGCTCATCTCTAAAAACAGGCTTGGTTTAGTGTAAGATAGATGTTTTATTATATTTGACAGACTGATTTTAGTGAAGATGAACAGAAACTATGTACAAAACTTATAAAATAACTCTTCAAATCTGTTAATCAACAGAAAGATAATCAAGGCTTGTTGCTACTAAAGGAACTAGCAGCACGTTTACAGCGAATCTGCAGCCAAACTGAACCTGCGACTCCAAAAACTAAAGACCTCAAGATGTGTAGGAAAAACAAAAAGTATTAACGGTAGAAAGTGATGAAAAATAAGTTTATAGGAATGTGTAAACTGTGCTGAAATAGAATAATAACTCCATTAAAGGTGAACTGGCAAAATGAAGCAAAAGGAGCTGCCGAGTGTGAGGATCCTTACTTGGCATCTTAAGTCCGCAATGCGACAAACAATTTGAGAGCGATTTCACACCCTGATATCAGACTGGATTTTTTACATTCTTGTTTTTAACAAAAAGGACCATTTAGAATCAAAAATTTTGTTTGAAGATTCAATTGAATTTCCCTTATCATAAACTTTGATCTGAAATCGGATGATTTTTCTTGTTGAGCTAAAACTCTAAGATCGTCTGAGAGGAGGTGAAACATGTTTCTATCAGCAGGCGCAGTCTGGAATAAAACCTGAACAACATCTGCTGTTATCTTAAAACTGCCAAAACTTTTTCAGTCAGCGACCAAATATTATAACATCGACTACAGATACATTAAAATTTACAAAAAGACTTACGGACTTTAAAAATAACTCTTTTAAAGTGCAAAAAACGTTCGATTTTCAATGCAGGAGTTCCAAATCTGAATACCTGCATTTGCAACATTTTCACTTTCTACAATTTTTGAACTGAACTTTTGAATCTGAGAGAAAACTGACACTGAAAAATTGCATTAAGTTTAAATTTATACTTTTCGGTTTGCCATTAAATAGTTGAGGATAGATAAGTTAAGTCAGGAGTTTTAAAACGGATTGACTGGACCTGCAAACAAAGCATTTTAATTTGAATGATTAAGAACATTTGGATTTCAGTGAAAACTTTTAGATTTGCAAGAATTTTTGGGGGATTTTTTTTTCTCAACATCAGATTTTTGCAAAAACTTTCAAAGCTTTAAAAGAGATTTTAAAAGAGGTTTGCAGAATTGTTTCAGCTAAAATTAAAAATATATATTTTGGGGCTTCAAATCAGTGTTTCTGAAGTTGCAGACAAAAAAATTTAAAAAATCGGATGAAATCATTTTATTATCATCATAATTATTATTATTAACTAGAAAACATTGCACAAAAACACAAGTTTACACAGAAACTTTTTTGTTTTTTCTTTAAAATTTCTGGTTTGCAGACAATATTTGGCTGAAATAGCAAAGCTTTGGGGTTTTAAACTAGATATTTCTAGATGTGCTTAAATTTAACTTTAATTTAAGCACAAAAAAATATGGTTGGACTTTTACTTGAATCTTTTAAATCTGCAAAAAAACTTTTAAACTGACCTGTAAACTCCTGAGCTTTCAGTTTCTACTTTTGATTTTGCAAGAATGGCTTTAGGAGCTTAATGAAAGCAAAAACTTGATGGTTGGGTTTGTTCTCAATCTTTTTTCTTGCCTTTATGGCGTATTAAAAAATTGAAATAAATCTTGTGGTTCTCAAGCGCAGTCCTCGAGGCCCACTTTCCTGCATGTTTTGGTGTGCACATTTGAATCAGGTGTGCTCCAACACACCTGATTCAAATGATCAGCTCGTTAGTAAGCCATCACAAAGCTTGATAACGAGCTGATCATTTGAATCAGGTGTGTTGGAGCAGGGAAACATCCTAAACCTGCAGGAAAGTGGGCATGAGGACTGGACTTGAGAACCACTGGTTTAGATGATTTTTGTGCTGTTGAGAGTTAAACTTCACTGTTTGAGGAGTCATGTTTGCTGCTGATCCTGTACCTTTAAAAAAAAAATGCTACTTTTGTGAGATGCAGTGAGAAAAAACATCACAGGTTTTATGTTAATAATGAAGTCCGATGTAATAAAGAGGGAGCAGTTAAGGTTCATACGAGGATATTTGACAGTATTTTCCCTTAAAAATCTGAAACCTAAAGCAGGTCCAGGTCCAGCACTCGTTTCATTAAACATGCTGCATTGAGTTTGGGCTTGTTCTTTTAACTTTTAATTACAGCATTTTTTAAGATTGTCATCATTTGGTACCAAGATCACCGTCTGTAAGTTAACCTGAGACTTTCACCTCCATCCTCTCTTTAGTCTGAGATTAGAAATCTAAGGGGCAAGTTGGTTATTTCTCATAAATCAACACCCTGCCATCTTTTTGTGTCTTTTCTGTGAAAGCTTGAGGCTTTTTTATCTTTTTTTTTGGCACTAAAACGGAAAACAGCAGAGAGACAGACTGAAAACCACGTCACAGAGAAACAGAGACAGACTGAGGACATCTAACTGCTCTAAGTCTTCCTTGAAAGACTAAAAACAGACTGAAACACAGGTGAAACACATGCAGGTAGCTCTGAGGGGGTTTAATAGCATAGCTGAGGAGTTAAGTGTGTGAGATCTGCAGTTTGGGGTTATTTTCTGAGAGGAGTACCCTGGTGGAGCTGACTGAAGAACATGGGGAGCTAAAGACTGAAAGAGCGAGGGTGTTTCTGACTTTGATAGAGGGGCTGCAGGTGAAGTGGGTGGGGCTTAGGCAAAGACCAGGTGCTGTTGGTCCAGCAGGGCTCTGGTGAAATTGTTGATTGGTCCGATGGCGCTGAGTGACATGGCGTTGTCCCGCCCCCAGAGCAGGTTGGGCCCAAACACCACGGCCAGGTTACTGTTGGTCATTTTGTTTATCTCACTGTTGGCTGATACCTAACCACACACAAACACACACACAAACAGGTTAATGCTTTTAAAACACACACAGACACACACACACTCTCTCTCTCTGATAACAGGGGCAGGTACTTGTCGGTCAAAAGATTAAATCCTAATCTTTTCATGAATGATCTAGATTTAGGAATTTATCGTTTTTCTATCCAGGAACAGGTCATCCACTTTTCTTCTTTTTATATTTGTTCCTAGAAAATAAACAGGACTGGATTGACCTGATCCAAACGTTTCAATCCAAAGTTTTTTAGAGATGACCGAATCCAGATCAGCTGTGCTCACAAACATTCAAAAAACCTTTTCACCTTTAATTTTAAACTTACAAAACCCAGATCCCTTGAAGTTGGGAAATTGTGATAAACGTACATAAAAAACAGAATACAATGATTTGCAAATCCTTTTCAACCTATATTCAATTGAATACAATGCAAAGAAGATATTTAATGTTCAAACTCATAAACTTTATTTTATTTTTTTTTGCAAATAATAATTAACTTTAGAATTTGATGGCTGCAACACGTGACAAAGAAGTTGGGAAAGGTGGCAAAAAAAATACTGAGAAATTTGAGGAATGCTCATCACACACCTATTTGGAACATCTCACAGGTGAGCAGGCTAATTGGGAACAGGTGGGTGCCATGATTGGGTAGAAAAGCAGCTTCTCCAAAAATTCTCAGTCATTCACAAGCAAGGATGGGGTGAGGTTCACCACTTTGTGAACAACTGTGTGAGCAAATAGTCGAACAGTTTGAGAACAACGTTTCTCAAAGTACAGTTGCAAGGAATTTAGGGATTTCAACATCTACGGTCCATAATATCATCAAAAGGTTCAGACAATCTAGAGAAATCACTGCATGTAAGCGGCACGACCGGAAACCAACATTGAATGCCTGTGACCTTCGATCCCTCAGGCAGTACTGTATGAAAAACCAACATCAATGTGTAAAGGATATCACCACATGGGCTCAGGAACACTTCAGAAAACCACTGTCAGTAAATACAGTTCATCACTACATCTGTAAGTGCAAGTTAAAACTCTACTATGCAAAGCGAAAACCATTTATCAACAACATCCAGAAACACCGCCGGCTTCTCTGGGCCCCAGCTCATCTAAGATGGACTGATGCAAAGTGGAAAAGTGTTCTGTGGTCTGACAAGTCCATATTTCTAATTGTTTTTGGAAATAGTGGACGTCGTGTCCTCCGGGCCAAAGAGGAAAAGAACCATCCGGACTGTTATCGACGCAAAGTTCAAAAGCCAGCATCTGTGATGGTATGGGGGTGCATTAGTGCCCAAGGCATGGGTAACTTACACATCTGTGAAGGCAACATTAATGCTGAAAGGTACATATAGGTTTTGGAGCAACATTTGCTGCCATCCAAGCAACGTCTTTTTATTTCAGCAAGACAATGCCAAGCCACATTCTGCACGTGTTACAACAGCGTGGCTTCATGGTAAAAGAGTGCGGGTACTCGACTGACCTGCCTGCAGTCCAGACCTGTCTCCCATTGAAAATGTGTGGCGCATTATGAAGCGTAAAATACGACAACGGAGACCCGGACTGTTGAACAACTGAAGCTGTACATCAAGCAAGAATGGGAAAGAATTCCACCTTCAAAGCTTCAACAATTAGTCTCTTCAGTTCACAAACGTTTATCGAGTGTTGTTAAAAGGAAAGGTGATGGAACACAGTGGTAAACATGCCCCTGTCCCAACTACTTTGGCACATGTTGCAGCCATGAAATTCTGAGTTAATTATTATTAGCAAAAAATAAATGTGTGTGTACCTGAGCCAGGAATGTGATGAGATATCTCAGCGAAGCGTAGTTTTCTTCTGGCAGCGACTCCAGCAGCGTCTTCATTACCGTCACCTGACTGTCATCTGCTACAGCTGGACAAGGCGAGGAGGACAGAAGCTTACAACCAAAACACTGGTAAATTCTTCAAAAGAAAACATTCATACAAACACCACTAACCATAAAATCATATCACTGCACAGTGGGCACTAGAATCTACACCTGTAATAACCTGTAGAGTCTTCAGGTGTAAAGACTGAGGGATGGCTTTAGTATAAATGCTGTTCATGATTTAGGTGGACTTGTATGGATGGAAAAGTGTTTTCATGTGTTTATTTCTAAGCTGAGAGAGTACCATTGCAGTTGTCTTGTTTCCTGTAAACGTGAGTCTAATAACAAAGTCAAGGGTTTTCTAAACGTACAGGCGAAGTTGACAATGTCGTTGTAGAGCTGGTAGGTGAGCAGAGGTTCAGGTAACTCTCTCAGGAAAGTCTTCAGAATCACAGCAGCCAAGTGGACATCTTCAATCTCTCTGAAATCCACTATCTCACCTGGAAAACACACACAGACAGAGCTCAAAACACCTTAAAACATTTTCTATTTCGCCAATTTACAGAAATCTAGTTTCTTCATCACTTTTGTTCATCTAGATAGAAAAGGAATCAAACGTGCGGTCCGTGCTGAAAGAGCGTACCCGAGTTATATTTGAGCTGGACCTCCTTCACGAGAGTCACGTTAGCTGACCGTCTGAAGATCCCCTCGATCTCCAAACCTGAGACAAACACACACACACAAGATCACAATGATTGGGCCTGTTTTTACTCAGACCACAGTGTGAAGACACGCAGAGCTCGTCGGTTCACTGTGTTTCTGTTTGAACCCCACGGGTTAAGAATCACCTTGGTCTGAAAGGAAGCCGACGGTATCTCTCATCACCACAGGAACAAGGTCATCATCTGGACTCCTCTGTCTGAGCCTGAAGCACACAATGACACAGACACATCATGAAAACAAGCCCAGCCTTAAAGTGTAAAGTTTATAAAACCAGCAGGAGCTTCTTCACTGAGCTTTTAGATTCTGCAGAGTTTTACAGTAGAATTAGAGACTCACGTTGCGAGCGGCACTCCAAACACCTGGTTGGGGAGGGGAGGGCTGCGAGGAGGAGACATGGGCGGCTGGGCAGAGGGTTTCAGAGACGATCGCAACTTGTTGTCATACCTGAAACAGACACACAGTTAAAATACCCTAAACACACATTTAAATGAGGATCGATACAGAGATGATCAGCGAGTGTTTTCTCTTCCTTCTTCTACAAATTCAAAAATGACTGCAGATTCTCATGTTTATCTAATTTCTGCTTTAGTTTAACCTTGTTTTGAAAAAAAGTGATAAACCAAAAGCCCAAGCTGTGGCTTAGTTCTGCAAGAGGAGCAGATATCTGAAAGGCACAAGACATCTTAGGACCAATAATACCTCTGCAAACACACTAACCCAGGTATTAGGGTACACATTTTCCCAAATGCATTCATAAAACTTCTGCGTTTATGCACTGAAGATGCTTGAGCTGAGAAAAATATGCAGCACTGATATAACTTGTCCAGCAGAGGGTGCTTTCACTGGTAGAAACAGAGGAGTGATATGGAGGGACACTGAGACACACATTTTTAACCTGCTGGTTTACGGGTATGTAGGTCAATAGACAACATTTATAGGGGACACAATGAGGTCTTTGACTTCATCTGAAACATCTCCACCGCTAGGAAATATATTAGGAATACTGACACAAAACAAAGCTTTTCATTAGGTATGAATCACCTGCACAGAAATATTAGTCTTCATAGACAGTTTTATGCGCAGCAGGTTTGTTGGAGTTTGAAGTATTCAAACACAAAAATGTGGCATTTCATATTGGCTGAAAAAATCATGACAAGCATCCCTAATAAATATTTGAGGTGATTATTAAATATACTGTCACACAAGCAGAGGACATAAACTCGTCTCCGGTGAGACTCCAGCTCTTACTCTCTGACTCGAGCGGGGATGAGCAGCTGTTCACACTTCACCACGTCCTCCAGCTCGCTCAGATAACTCACATAGTTGATCTTCCTGCCAAATTTAAAGCTGAGGAGGGAGAAACACAAAGACACAAAATCAGATCAAATACCGACACTGAGGATATCTTACCAGTTTTTGAGCTTGTTCATCTGGGATTGTAGAGACATTATTACTAAACTATGAGTAAAGGTTAGCTGTGTTTACATTCGATCACCACAAAACACTTCACTGACAGCCAAAAATTTTTTCAGAAACAACAGCAACAGAAACATTTAACATCGCAAAAATATTTTAAAAAATGCTATTACAAAAAAAAAAAAATGTCAGAAAAACAACAATAACGAAAATTATCGGACACAATATTTTTTAATTTGTGAAATAAAAAGATACATTTGCTTTAAATGAATGAGCAATACTTTGCTCTCAGAGATTTTTTTTGCTTTTAGTGAATTTAAAAAAAAAAATGTTTATCTTCTATGATATAGTTTTCCATTACATACATTGTGTTCAATTTTTTCTGTACCTTTTGAACTTTTAATTCAAATCAGTTTTTTCCTGTTTCTGCTTTTCTTGATTTTGAACGGCTCTAGAAATAAAGCATAGCTACTTTGTCCCCTCTACCATTACTTTTGATCTCAGTCATGACTCTTTAAGGCCTTTGGTAAAGCATTTTCAAATACCTTGTTGTCAATGTCCTATATTAGTAACATTGTCATGGCTTTTGGGGAATATTCATGTTTTAAATGACATATTTTAACATTTAGTCAATGACATTTTTGTTCAGTTTGCTCAACTTACCGTACCAAAAACTGGGTTATTTTTCATTTTTCTGCTGTCTTAACAGTTTTAGCAACATATATAAAATATTACGGCCCGACCGATTCATCTGCAAGCCGATTAGATCGGCGTATTTTCGCCTGTTTGAGACTAATCGGTAACTCGCCAAAACTCTGTAGATATCTACAGTATATATATATTATTATTATTATTTTTTTTTTTTATAACTTAACAAAAATGTTTAAAAAATCAGCCGATTAATCAGTATTTGGATTTTTTCCCCCCTAATAATCGGTATCAGCACCGGCCCCAAAAAATACATATCAGTCGGGCCCTATAAAATATGTTAAACACAGAATCTTTTTAAACAACCTGCAGTGACTTTCTTTCTGTTTAAAAGTTTTTTTTTCACCTAAATCCTCACAGACTTTTTCAACACCAGAGTAAAGACGTCAGATCAAATCCTGCGCACTGTTTGATGAGCTTAATATTGTTGCAGTTTTTCAAACTTCCACTAGATGTCGCTAGACCTGCATTTTAATGGTTTCATCTTCCATATAAATTAATTGGCTTCTTTAGCTTAAACCACAGTAGCTAATATATGATGTTAAAAGTAAAAGATGAGCTACAAAGCTTTAACAAAATGTGACAATTTAAAAACCTGATGATCGGTTTGAAGAGGATCAGCAGAGTCTTGATGAACATGGTAGGATGGACGATATACAGAGCCTTGATGTTCTTCTTATACCTGAATGAAAAAAGAAGAGGAATAAACAGCAGATATGTCAGAGGTTTGTAACATCATAGGTACTTCTGGGATGATACATGCTGTGTTTTTTGAATATGGCGTCAGGTTTCTGCTGAATTTGTATTACAAGTGATTATATTATATCTTAGCTTCTATAATCCCACATTTCTATAACAGTAAAAGAAACACCAACATGTCTGGTTCAGATTTAAAGAACGTAAATAAACTGAAACCTTCTAAAAGTAAAGCTGCAGACTCATGCGGAAGAACTCTATTGATTAGTATGGTTTAATCCCCCTAAGACACCAAATATCCCTCTAAATACAAACAAATCTCCCCCTCAAATAGTGAGCAGGGGTCTGTGTCTGCACATGCTCAGTGATGCTTTTGATCTTACTTCCTGTCGAACTCTCTGTAAGCTTCTCGTAACCAGCCGAGGGACGGTTTGTTTTCGCTGGTCAGCCCATGATGGAAATAGATCAGAGTGTAGTCGCTTTCGACGTACTGGTCCAGAGTTCCTTTAAGATACCTAGAAGATAAGCAGATCAGTCAATCAGCTGTGATTCCTGGATTAGAAGAGAGGGTTTTCATTGGACCTCATTCCCCGATAAAGGTTTATCAAGACATCACACTTCCACCTTCATCTTCAGCATGAAAGATCATAACTCCTGCTATTTGTTGGGTTTTTTTTGTCAGCTCAGGCTTTAAGATGAAATAACACTGACAGAGCTGCTAAGAAAGGAAACAGACCTTCATTGGTGTGTGAACGCGCAAACAGGAGTGTCATCAAACAATTCCCTGTGACTATCTAATGGTATTTTCACTTCACATACCCATCCCTGCCTCTCAGCTGAAGAGAAACTACAGTATGGCAGTTTATCTCTCTCTAAGTTGAAAAAGTCAGGAGCACACAAAGAAATTTAGGGGCGCAATGAAAATTGATCAAATAATGTGTGTCTTTTTGGTCGACGTAAGCACTATTATTTGAAATCAAGACAAGAAAAAACTGTATTTAGGTCAGTTGGTCACATGACATGGAAGCTATTGAAGAAAATGTTCAAAATCTGCCTCTAATTTTAAAACAAAATTTTTTAGAGGACAAATTAGGAAAATAAAGAGGTGTGTCTTATTGTCTGATCTTTGTACTATTATCTGAAATCAATTTTAGGTCAACTGGTCACATGACATGGAAGCTATTGAAGGAAAACAGCCTTCTTTGAGAACATTAACCAGTAATTTATTGATGGTCCCTTATTCAATACCAGATGTTGATAAGCAAGGGTGCCGTGTAGATTTAACCACGCTGCTGTTGCTATTCCCGGTTATGCAGAGTGAGAAGAAAACGGTAGATCTGCAGTGAATGTCCAACCTAAAACTAACTTCACTGCGATATTTACATGAAATAACTTTCATTGCCTCGGCATCTAATTTTAAGTTGCGAATGTGAGTGAAATGGTCGCACTGTCGAGCCCTGAAGAGTCAAACTTTTACCTGCTTAATTTACTAAGATCCCTTAAAAAAGGTCTGATTTTTAAGCATTTATCAACATTTTATATTTATTTTATTTAAGTAAATCTGTTTGCATGTTTGTTTGCAGGCTTTTTAAAGTTTATACACGAAACTTTACAAAATCAGGCCTTAAAGGATGTTAATTTGCTCTTCACCTCTGCTCTGCCAGCCCTCAAACAATAAAGAAAAACTTCAGTAAATTTTTTCCTGGATTATAATCATTTATTTTTTAATGTACAACTTTATTAAGTTTTATTTTCTGTTCCTGTAAAAGGTGAAAACACCGTCTCAAAAAAACCCCACCTCCTTAAATCGCCTCCACTTACTGGAGTAGTTTGTGATGGTCCAGTTGGTGCTGTGGAGGCATCCTGCAGGCATTAAACACGATCACCTTCCTGCCAAAGTTATCATCACCTGCAAACACACAGATAAAATAAAGAAATATATTATTTTAATGGTATAAAACTCTTATCTAATAAAGCATAGCTACTTCTCTCTAACGCAAATCGTTCTTTTATGTGTTTGTCCTTCTGCAGCTGTAAGAAAAGTCACCTTTGAGTTCTCAATCTGTGAGTTTTCATTCTTTAAATTGTGCAAATTAAGCTGAAAAAAATGCAGCATGAAGATTTGAAGGTTAGGAGCGACTGTGACTGCTATAACTAGGGATAAAGGCAGGAGACAAACAGAGGAATCTCATTGGACAGCCGACCTGCCACTTCGATGATCTGGTGCCTGGCGATGTCATAGAAGGGGTGGTCCCAGGGCAAGTGAGGAGAGCCGGCATCGAAGGGCTGGGAGAGGTCAGTCTCTGCAACAAACACACACACACACACACACACACACACACACACACACACACACACACACACACACACACACACACACACACACACACACACACACACACATCGAAACATGAAATGAAACTATTACGTAATGATGGAGTGAACTCTCCACAGATAACCCCCGCAAAATCGGAGTCACGGGGGTTTGTCTTTAGTCTGTGGAGGATTTACAAAGACAGGAACCTTCTGTTATTTGCAGCCCAAATAAAGGGATCCCGCCACTTCAATTTAAGACACAGGAAGTGGATTCTGTCATTAAAATTAGGCTAAAAGACACGAGAGTGGACCTCACAAGTTGGCCTTCACAGATGAATATTCAGCTGAATCTCTCACCTGATTTGCTGACCGTCGACTCATCAGTGGGCCACTGCTGGTCCTCTATTGTGGCCAGTTTCAGCTGTCCCAACTGAGCAGGCGCATGGTCGTCGCTCAGGTCCACCAGCAGCTCTGAAGACATCACACACGCTGCAGGACGGTGCTACGCGCACCCACTCACGCACACTTTGTACAAACACGACGCTGCAACTCTTCACTGGAGGAACCCGAGTCCTGAAAAAGAGAGACAGACTAAGATGAGCGCAAGTTTAATCCTTCACCTGCTCAGATTATCAATCTGAAATGTAGAACTGTTTCCAACGGGGTAAAACAGATCAAAAAGGGTTCACTGTATACAGAAGGAACAGCACACTGAGGAAGAATAACACCAGACTAAACGAGAGAGAGAGAAGTGCAAACAGTCTGCAGGTGAAACTTCCCACAGCAACACATCAGCCGTTCAGTTTAGCACACAAACAAACGCTCGCTCAGGTGTCAGAGTCTGACGAAGCTGCCGCAGCACAAGAGACATTAAACCAACAGCCAGAGGCTCTCTGAATATTTAAAAGGCTGATTAACAAATATAAAAGCAGCACTACAGACAATGGGAGGCTCTAACTTTGATGTAACTTGTTGTTTCTGTCAAAAAAACTTCCTGTAAACATGATAAACAACAAACTCAAGCAATTTGGGCTCTTTAGTTAATGGAGATTATTAATATAATATTAAGATATTGATATAGCTATTGAGGCCACTTAACAGCCTGAGACTCAATCAATTCTATTAGTGATATTTTTCTTTACTATAGTGGGAAAACAAGACAAAACTGTGTTTTGGCTTTAATTTTTGATGTTTTATCAAAAATAAACCCTACTAGACCTTAAACACATCATGATGTTACTGTCCTGTATGTCACTTTGTTCAGTTAGCTAACTGGTAGGGGTGGGAGAAAATAATCGATACACCATAGTATCGCGATATTTTGTCTGTTGATGTATCGTATCGTCTCATTTACCAAGATGTGATATTTTCAAATTAACTGTTAATATGAAGTCAAATCTATGATAATGGAAACAGAGCCGCCCAAAGGCATAAGCGAACTAAGCCCCGGCTTAGGGCCAGTAGGGTGCCCCCAAAAGCAATCAAAAACAAAACAAATATGTAAATATTTTTTATTTTTTGCATGTATGAGTGATGCTTTCTGTATGATCAAGTATATATTACTGTAAAAATAAACGTTTTAGTGCTGCTGCTGATGTAGGCCTATGATTCTTACAGCCGATGACACTTTTACAGTAAACACAATGCTTTATCACTTGGAATATTGTGAAAATCAGCCCCAAGCTGCTCTTGTAGCTGAATGTGTTACATTTTGAGATTAAAAACCATATGTGGCACCCTGAACATCATTCATCAGTCATTCATTGGTATTATTTGTATGGTTGCATTGGTATTATTTATGTTATTACCAAGGCCACCCCCTTAAATGTGTAAAGACATGTCAGATGCATTAAATTCGTACTGTAGTAGGTGTATGAATGATCAACAATCAATATATTGGCAGAAATAGAGGGCCTCAAAATCAAATTTTACTTAGGGCCCCATTTAGGCTTGGGCCAGCTCTGAATGGAAAAATAAAATAAGTTGTCCAGTGAGGTTGGCAGAGGTGACATCATCATATAGTAGGAGAAAGTTAATGCAACAAATATATATAAGGTTTGCAAGATGTGCTACATGGAAATAAAATACAGTGTAAATAAGACAAACTTAAAGGAAAGCCAAATGCTAAATTAGCTAAACAGTTGAAAAAAAATGTATGAATCGCAATACATGGTATCCAAATACTCACTGTGTTATAAACTGTTAAAGATCGCAATAATATTGTATCGTGATAATATCGTATCGTGGCCCAAGTATTGTGATAACATGGTATCATAGCCCAAGTATTGTGATAATATCGTATCATGGCCCAAGTATCATGTTAATATAGTATTGTGGCCCAAGTATCATGATAATATAGTATCGTGGCCCAAGTATCGTGATAATATTGTCTTGTGGCCCACATATCATGATAATATAGTATCGTGGCCCAAGTATCATGATAATATAGTATCGTGGCCCAAGTATCATGACAATACCATATCATGGCCCAAGTATCGTGATAATATAGTATCGTGGCCCAATTATCGTGATAGTATAGTATCGTGATAATATCATATTGTGGCCCAAGTATGGTGATAATATTGTATCGTGGCCCAAGTATCGTGATAACATGGTATCATAGCCCAAGTATTGTGATAATATCGTATCATGGCCCAAGTATCATGTTAATATAGTATTGTGGCCCAAGTATCATGATAATATAGTATCGTGGCCCAAGTATCATGATAATATTGTCTTGTGGCCCAAATATCATGATAATATAGTATCGTGGCCCAAGTATCATGATAATATTGTATTGTGGCCCAAGTATCATGATAATATAGTATCGTGGCCCAATTATCGTGATAGTATAGTATCGTGATAATATCATATTGCGGCCCAAGTATGGTGATAATATTGTATCATGGCCCAAGTATCGTGATAATATAGTATCGTGGCCCAATTATCGTGATAGTATAGTATCGTGATAATGTCGTATTGTGGCCCAAGTATGGTGATAATATTGTATCGTGGCCCAAGTATCTTGATAATATCGTATCATGGCCCAAGTATCGTTATAATATTGTTTCGTTGGGCCATTGTTGATTCCCACTTCTACTAACTGGCAGTTTTCAGCACAGATTATCACTCGAGGTTCCCTTTTTTTAATCAACAACTTTGGGTGTGGGACCATGACTGCTTTATGTGCAGGAAGAGGATGGCATACAGAGCTGAGAGGACCTGAAAACACTCAAAACGTACAGGGCCCTTCCAATGAGATTACCATAAATTTAAAATTAGCCCCTATCAAAAGCGAAACGTGCAGGTGCAGTGTAACAAATATTGAACTGCTGTCTCTAAATCTAACATTTTTGTCCGTGGTATTGGCTGAGAGTAGAGTCAGACTGCACAGGCTCCAAACAACCATCAGAGAGAGGGATGATACTACAGCAATATGTGCGTGTGCATGCACTGTGTCTTTGCTGCTTCTGGTCTGACTGTACTTAACAAACACACGCTTGCACATCCTCTGCCTGCAGCATCTTTTTCAACATCAAACTGAACATCTCAGTGAGCTCCAGCTGAACGGATAATACCACAGCAGCTTCAAACTAATGCATATCTCTTCCTCTTTTCACACATTAACTCTCTCCTTGTTTCCTTCACTCACACTTCCTCTTTCATTCCCCCACCCCCTCTTATTTACCCTTTCACACATACACACACATGCATGCGCACACAGCCTCTGTTCTCTCTTGTTTGTGATGTTATACTGGCTGACAGCATGTTGCTTTAAATAAATACTGCTTCGAACCAACAGAAACAGTCAGCCCACAAATGCTGACCAACCACTCGCACACACTCAGATAGAGAAACAGCTGTTAGCTCAAAACCAGACAGGTTTCCAGTAACTGGGGAGCCATCAGGGAGGATTATGGGTGGATGACATGAGAAGAAACAGGTTCCCCTTTTTTTAATCTTTTTTCTGCTTATAAATCAGTTTAACATCAAGTTGAAAGTAAAACAGAACCAGCAGGAAATGAGTTTCCATTTCTGAGAAACAATGTCTAAGAGGACAGCATGGTTGATTTAATAACTGCAAAAGAATATTATCCATTAGTGGCAATCAATCAGAAAAATTATAATTAGTTCTTATCACTTTTTGTCATCAAGAAGAAGCAAGGCGATTGAGTCGATTTGAGGTCGATCAAGGGAGCGTAGAGAACTGTCCTGTGGTCTGATGCAATAAAATTAATTTTTCTTTTTGGAAATTGTGGACAACGCATCCTCAGAGACTTCTCTAGGTACATGATACCACATCCTTCCTCTACAGAGTAAAGAGACGACACCATGGTACTGGTGCAATCTTTGTGCGTGTAATGAAGCTGCTTCATACTCTTCTTCCAGCCAGTCTTTGATGCTGTGAGCTTCAAGTAGCGTTTAATGAAAAACAGACACATCTCTGTAATCACTTCAAAAAAAACAATGTCTGTGAACACAACTTATCACTGCATCCATGAATGAGGTTTAAACTGAACCACACAGAAATGTGATATAATTATGATCCAGAAAAACTGGCAATTTTTCTGGGCCCAAATCCATCAAAGAGACTGATCTGAGGAAGAAATCCTGAGGTCTGTCAAACTAAAACTTGAGGACTTCTGAAATTCATGGGTGCAACATCCTTCAAACCACCCAGCTTTTTCTTAGCTCTCAGTTTAAAGCCAGCAGCCCTGATGGTATGTGGATCATCAGAGTCAATGTCATGGATTTTTACATATGTGAAGGATCCATTAATGCTGGACAATATCTACAGGTTTAGGAGCAACATCTGCTGCCATCCAGACAAAGACTTTTTCAGGGAAGACCTTCATATTTCAGCAAACCGCATTCTGACAACAGGGATTACGACAGCATTGCTCTGTAGTAGAAGAGTCCTGCTGATAAACTGGCCTACCTCCAGTCCTGACTTGTCTCCCATTGAAAACACTAGGAGCATCATGACACCAAAGGAGACCCTGAACTGTTGAAGAGCTGAAATCCTCTATTGAAGCAGGAGTGCTTTTCCAAAAACACAATGGACTCCTTTTCTGCAAACAACAATCCCTCACAACTCGTTTGATGTTTGACAGTCAAACATAATTACTACTTTCCTGCCTGACAAAATCTACATCGAACCAGTTTTACTGTCTGTATCACCTGCCACATCAACATCAGGTGAATGTCTGCAACCACAAAATGAGAGGCAAAACTTACTCACCTGTTCCTGACCTTACTGAACAGGCATGTGTTCATTTGAATAAAGCTCTGTTGTCCCTGTACAAACTGAGCAGCAACCTTCTTTGGTTGGTGGGATCAGATGCTGCATTTGAGGCCCAGAGGAAAAGATGCATTCATAAATTCAAGCAGCTTAATGGCTGTAACTTTTACTTTTGCGGAAACCATTAAGCTGTCCATTTTGTGATTATTCTATTAATCACAAAATGATGGGGAAATGATTGTGAAATCATGGAAATCACATCCTAATTCAGGAGAACTCGTTTGGTCCGATTTAAAAACCACCAATGACCTCCTGATGGCAGTTGATTCCGGTCAATTAAGCATCCTCATCCTCCTCGACCTAAGTGCAGCCTTCAACACCATCTCCCAAACCATCCTCCTTGACAGACTAGCATCTATTGGTTTATCAGACACACCCCTGAACTGGTTCACATCTTACCTCACTGGCTGTACTCAGCTTATTCAATTAAAATTTAAAATCTCAACCATTTCCCCTCTCCTCTGGTGTCCCCCAAGGCTCAGTCCTTGGCCCTGTTCATCATCTACACATCTACACATTTTCCATAAAGTCAATATCAATTTTACATTGTTATGCAGATGACACCCAGCTCAACCACTCTACCAAACCCACCCCCACCTTCCCGCCCTGCTCCATCTGTGACTGTTTACTGGAAATCCAATCATGGTTCTCATCCAACTTTCTCAAACTTAGTGATAAAACCAGATCCACCCTCAGTAACACTCCAAGCTTCACCATCCCCATCAACAACTCCTCTGTTTCCCCCTCCCCTCAGGTCAAGTCTGGGTGTCGTCCTTGACAGCACTCCGTCATTCCAAACTCACATCAATTGCATAACCCGGTCAGCCTACTTCCATCTTCGAAATATCAATCGCCTCGTTCATCACTAACCCCCAACAGCATCTGCCATTCTGGTCCACACTCTGGTTACATCCCGCCTGGACTATTGCAACTCCCTTCTCATTGGTCTCTCTCATAAGTCTATCCATAAGCTTCAACTGGTCCAGAACACTGCCACCCGTATCATCACCAGAACGCCATCTATCAATCACATCACACTTGTTCTCCGCCAACTTCACTTGCTTCCCATCAAATACCGCTTGGACTTCAAAATTCTGCTCCACACATTTAAGGCCATCCACAACCTCGCTCCTCCATACCTCTCTGAACTCCTTCACATCAACACTCCCACCTGGACTCTCAGGTCTGCCTCCCCCATCAGCCTCATTATGCCTCTAGCTCATCTGTCCACCATGGGATCCAGAGCCTTCAACCGCGGTGCCCCCCGCCTTTGGAACTCCCGTCCTCCTGACATTAGGAACATTGACTCACGCTCCATCTTCAAATCCCGTCTCAACACCCATTATTTCAGACAGGCCTCCTAACATTTGATGTTCTGCTGCAGAGTCCAGACTTACAACTTTTTATTTAATACTTTGTTGTGTTGATGTATTTTTATTATTTTTACTATTCTTCTGATGTGTCTTTTAATTGCCCTGTAAGGTGTCCTTGAGTGCCCTGAAAGCAAAGGTGAAGTGGAAAACTGTCCTGAGCACTAACAAATATAAATGTTGACATTCTTTTGGGAAATCATGGACGCCCTGACCTCCACGCCAAGGAGGAGTAACAACCAACCAGCTTGTCATCAGCTCCCAGTCCAAAGCCAGCATCCCTGATGGAAGACCTTCATATTTCAGCAAGACATTGACAAACCACATTCAGCAGGGATTTTGACAACAAGGCTCTGTAGTAGAGGAGTCCTGCTGATAAACTAGCCTACCTGCAGTCTTGATTTGTCCCCCATTGAAAACACTTGAAGCATCATGATACCAAAGTAGGACCAAGGAGACCCTGAACTGTTGAGCAGCTGACAACTCCAGAAACTGGTCTCCTGTGTTCACTAACACTGTGTTAATAAATGGAAAGCTGGTGCGAGGCAAACATTTTTCTTGCATTAACTTTAAAATAACAGGGTTTTTATGAAATGTCATTTTGCACCATCATTATGTAATATTTTGTCTTTGGAAATCTTTTGCTGTGAGGTTCATGTCTGACCAGATAATCCTTGAAAATGTCAAGGGAAGGTTGTCCTACAATTTTCAAGACATTGTCAGGGTTGAAAACAAGCGTGAACTTGAGATCATTTTGCTCATGCATGAAAAAGCTGAGATGACAACCATACAGAGACGTTCTTGGTGCTTTTGAATCAGCCAACAAACACATCCACATCTCTGCAGACAATACAACAGACAGCCCATTAGTCAAATGCTAGAACTGTCACTGTAGCAGGTCGCACCTGTGCAAAACCTGTCTGCAGGTGTCAATGTTTGTGGATCATATTGCATTATAACCTGCACAAATGTACACACACACACACACAGCCTTTGTATGTTTGAGTCATAGTTTGCAGAAAGATCCAGCAGCAGCAGCAGCACCCTGCCCCCTTCATCCTTCTCTCTATCACATCTCTGCAGAGCTGCAGAGGAAAGCAGCTTAGTCAAATCGTCCCTCAGGGTGGAGGGGACTGGTTTCCCTGGAAAAAAAAAAAAAGGGGGAAGAAAACTACACTGCGGATGAAAAACCACCAGAATGACTCTGTCCCTGTTAACACTGAGAGAAAGACAGACAGGAGGACCGCACTGCTGTTATTGCTCATCATTTCAAGCTCATCCTTCATCTCTGTGTGGTGCTGCGGCTTCAATGGACACGATGCGCACAGATGTTCTGCTTCAATTACTTCCTAAATGCCAACACACACAGAGGATATCAGGGCGGGAACAGAGACTGAATATGGTTCAATAGAAACCTCTGTTTTGTAGACAGCAGGAAAAAAATCCCAGACATTTTTACATTATTTTACATTTTGACATAGAGCAATGACATATCCTAAATAGGAACGAGAATTACAGCCTCATAGTTCTTAAACAGGCACAAAAAGTTAAGTGCTTTGGCCAGGATGGCAGCTGTATTATTAAATCATATTTAAAACACATAACCCTGAAAATATCGAAAGCCTGACATTAAAGGAAAGAGATAAGATCACAGTCATCTAAAGCCACAGGACCTCTCTCTCTCTCTCTCTGTCTGTCTTTGTGTGTCTCTGCAGAGCATGTGACTGTTTGTGGACCTTTCCAGTAGAACAAACAGGTGTGAGAGCAAGTGGGTGAGTCCACATATCGATGTCGAAGCCTGTCGTCCTCTCAGGCAGATAAAAACATAAAAACATAAACCAGATGTAAGTTAAAGAAAGCCTCCAGCTGCTGCTGACATTTCATGTTTTTTGTCAAGAGGATAAATCAAGGTTGCTTTGACATTTGCCTTCCAAAATCAACTCAGTTCACCTCTGACTCTGAGAGGATATTGTGTAAAAATTGAAGATATCCCCTCCAGATGTTCTTCAGATATGTTTTCATAAGAGAAGGAGGTTTTCCAAGGAATAATTGACATTACAGTGAGGTTAATATTTAGCCTTTTTAGAACCCAAAATATCATCCCTCCATTAAATATCCTGTCAGACATTTTCTGACATTCGTAATGCACCATTATGGACTCTGATCTGTTGTTAAATCCTGAACAACTGCAGCTTTATGCAGAGAAACACATCAGATTGACTCTAATGCAATGTGGGCTTCAAGCACTTTGACCACATTATGCTTTAATCCTGTAATCTTAATTAATGAACAAGTGGTCAAATATCCTCAGGATAAACACACTCTTAGAGCATTAGCGAGTTTCAACACCAGCACAGAGAGAGAACTTCAGAAAATAACAACCCAATACACTTCTTCAGCTTTTAGGAAAACAGAAAGTTCACTACCTCTTGCAACTATGGCTGGGCAATAAAACAATAACAATATATATCGAAAATTATAACATGGTCAGTATGCTTTTCAGTAGTCGGCATGCAGCCATGGTAGAGTATATGAATAGCCAATGAAAAGGGGAGTTGCTCCAGGTTCGCTTTGCACTGAACCAATCATGTGCTGAATTAGAACCAAGTAGCAAACAACTGCGTAGTAGCAGACTGCAGCTACACGCAACTATAGCACTTTAACACGTGATGCCGACAACACTGTTGGTGAGAAAAAAAGAAAATGAGAGCTAACCCCAGCAGAAATGCAGATGAAGGCTTGACAGATGACGACATTGTTGACAACTGGCACAAAAACATCTGTGGTGTGTAGGTATTTTGGTGTTTTGAGGTTGGTTATGAAGCGAAGTAATGTGCACCGGAAATTATGCTGAGTACATGCTCTGGCGAAGTAGGGGAAAACCTCAAATCTTTATCACCACCTGAAGCAGTGCCACGCAGCAGAGGTTACAAACCCTAAACCAGGGGTGGGCAATCGTGCCATGGAGGGCCAAGGGCTGCAGGTTTTCTTTCCAACCCAAAACTCCACCAGGTGATTTCACTGATTACCTTACCTCCAAACAGAGAGCAGGGACTAATCAGTGAAACCACACCTGCTCCAACACACCTGATTCAAATGATTAGCTCGTTATTAAGCCATCATAGAGCTTGATAACGAGCTGATCATTTGAATCAGGTGTGTTGGAGCAGGGAAACATCCAAAACATGCAGGACAGTGGGCCTCCAGGACTGGACTTGAGAACCACTGCTCTCGTGCAATGCCTTACACAACGCCTTACGACAAAACATCAAAGAGACACAAAGACCTCACAGATGCAGTAGCTTATTGTATTGCAAAAGACAAGCTACCAATAAACACTGTGAAATTTCATTTTTAGATTGTGATATATCGATGTCAAGTGATATGAAAAAAATATCTCGTGATAAACTTTTTTTATATCGCCCAGCCCTACTTGCAACACAGATGTTCTGTAGTCTGTCTCCCAACAAAATAATTAATATTTGACACTAATATGATTACTTAACTGAACAAACACTAATTCTAACTGATAGTTTAACACCTGATGAAAGTTTTGTAGGATACGTGGCCTTTTGCATATTTTCAAAGATAAAATAAATTATTTATTATAATTTATGACGAAAGAGTTTCGAGTTTGCTGCAGCACTATGAGACATCATTATTTTATCTCCAAAAAGTACAACCATTTAATCATCACAGTTTAAAAAAAACAATATTTAAACGTTTTTTGTTCTGGGTTATACCAACTTGTATTTTTAAATCACAAAGAAAAACAAGGTTGCTCTTACATGATGCGATTGTTGGGATTTATTTTTTAATCCTTCATTCATCCACAGCACCTAAAATGCACCATCATGTCCTGACGCTGCAAAGTATATCTACAGTCTGATCTCGAATGCAGTGACTGGACACTTTGCAGCGCTGCTTGAACTGTTAGATCCTGTTTTTATGTCACAGCTGTTAATGTTCCCGACAACAACTAAGGGATAGTTCAGGGATTTCTTGGTCTTATTGAAGCCCAGCTGCTCTGTATTTTAGGGTCAAGTGTTTCTCCTACTTGAAGGGATTTAGTTCCAGTAGTTCAGGGCTAGTTGGCTGGACAATCAAGCACAACAATAATGTGGTCAGCAAACTAATTGGTTGGAGTTTTTGGCACTCTGGGCAGGTGCTGTGTCAACACACAAACACGGTGGACCAACAGCAGCAGATGACATGGTACCCCAAATCATCACAGACTGTGGAAATTGAGTGTTTTGACAGCAGGAACACTTGTAGTCTATTTCCTGGACTTGTCTGTGTGTGGGAGCACTTGAAGCTCTGACTTCAGCCTCAGTCCACTTGCAAACCTCTTCAAAGTTGTTGAATTCACTTCCCTTCTCAAGGCTGCCCTCATCCCTGTTTGTTGGTCTCCTTTTCCTCCTCACTTTTTCCTTCAGTCAACTTTTCATAGGTCTGCTTCCATACAGCACTCTGTGAACAGCAAGACTAACAGCAATGATCTGCTGTGGCTGACCCTTCCTGTGGAGTCCATGAACTTCTTATGGGCTACTGTCAAGTCAGCAGTCTACACCATAATAGTGGTTTTGTGTATGGAAGTAGACACAAAGATGAGAGGTGTTTACTCTGTTAAAAAAGCGCTTAAATTTAAAGACTGTGATACATGGAGGATTTAGAGACGAGTAAGATAAGTGAACATTCTAAGTAAACCCCAACAGATTTATCGGCGAACCGATTAATTGTTACTGACGGTAGTTAAAAACAATTTTTTCCGAGTTTGATCAGTCGCGCTTCCTGTCGGCGTGAAGAGCAGAAGCCTACAGTGTATCTGTAGATATCTACAGTATATGTATAACTTCATTACAAAATTGTAAAAATCGGCCGATCGGACCCCCCCAATAATCGGTATCGGCATCGGCCCTAAAAAAATCCATATCGGTCGGGCCCTAATTCTGAGCCACGATTTTCATCCTTGGTAAAAACAAATTTCTTGACATTTTAAAGACCAGATATTTTCTAGAGTTTGTACCAACAAGACAAGTCTTCTCAAGTCTACAAAAACGAGTTCTGGAGGCTAAGGCAACCTCACCGAAAAAAAACTACAGCTGCTGCAAGTGGATGTTACACAATGTCACATTAGTAATACTTTAATTCAAGGTGTTACTGACGATTTAATAACGCCGATATTTAGAGTGGAGCTCTGAAGTTAAATAACAATTAAATTTTAATTCCCGTAACCTAAATTTAAAGGATAATAGAGCAAGGACTGTTAAAGTAGGAGAAACGGGAATGGAGTCCGGCTCACCGCTTTTATAACAGGATAAAGCTCTGTTGAACCAAACAATGCGGCGGCTGATATGTAAGCTGATAAAAGCAACAAGTGAAAGGCCAGGTAACTGCTACGGTAAACTTTGACCTAAAAGGGTATCTTTAAAAAACGTCTGGGTTTCATTAAAAATGTGAAGAATCCGAGATAAGCAAGCTAACTTAGCAACCGTAGCTGTCAACTGTTACAAAGCTAGATCACATAAGAGGACCGCATTAGCGCAACATTATGGTTCATTTAGCACTATATATCCATAAGGGTAATAAAGAATTTAATGCAAACACGTTTCATTGGGTAAAGACATCTGTAAACAAAGAGAAAGAGTAAAGTTACCGGAATATGACTACAACAAATCAATGTAAGCACAACAAATTAGCCCCGTGATACTGTAACAATCAAAAGCACAAGACAATCAAAGCCTCACATAATGAATAAACATCTGCTCTGACTGTTTAGCTTCCTATAACAGAACCAAAGTGACGTTAAAACGTGTAATTACCGTAATTAGCTGCTCTAAAATCCTCCGATGTGTTTTGTTGCGTCTGTAGTGATCGCAGAGTTACAGCAGCAACAATCAGCGTCAACGCCTCCGCTTCTTCTTCGTGGGTTTTATTCGCGGGCTACAAACCAACGTCATGGGTACATACCGCCACCTGCTGCTCTACAGAATGCCTGCTCCACGTTTCATGAGGGCACACAATAATCCCGTTTCATTTAGATTTCTGGATACAGCTGTAACATAACTTGGCTGTATCTCATATCACAGGTGCAGTGCACCCTCTAGCGGCTACATCCTTCCTGACAGTAGATTGTACACACAATATATCCGGTGCAAAACATTATATTTTGTGATCTCAAACTAGATGTCACAAAATCATCCTTGAGGAAAAAATTTTCTTGTGTATGCAAGATTGTCCCCCAGGCCATTCGAAAAAATGGATACATAGGTGATCAGCTTCTTTTAATATACATTTAGCGATTAATTAAAGTTTTCCAGTAGACGTTAAAGCAGTGGTTCTCAACTGGTGGGTCACGGACACATTCTGGATGGGTCACGGACAGCTGGCTAAAAAAAGTAAATATTTACTGCGATATTTATCAGATATTTTATATTTTCTGTATATGCAACTTCAGTAGTTGTCCTCATGTTGTCGCCTTCATGTGCTCTAAAGTGCACTTTACTCAATATAACAAGTGAATTTATGTTAAAGATTAGAGTCTTTAACATAAAGTTTTTTTTTATTTTTTTTTTATAAAAAAATAATTTTCTTGGTTTGAATTCTGTAAAAGTGGGTCGCGACTTAAGGACCATGGGAAAATGTGGGTCCCAGAGTGAGACCAGTTGAGAAACACGGCTTTAAAGTTTGTCACTGGCTGAACTACAAATAATAGCTTTTAAAAAACTACACTCACGGTATAGCCCGAGGGACAATTTTTGTGTGCGGAAGTGGTGCTGGAAAAAAAAGGCAAAAGAGGAAATGTAGGAGCAGCTACGGGTCCTGACACCTCTTCAAAACGAATAGTTTCAAGATGCGTAGTTTGACAGAGTTTTAGTGTGATTTTGCATTAAACTTTTAAATAAGTATGTGAAAAGTGCTCTTGTGTAAGGCGGGTGAAGATTTACTCTTGAGTCTCTGTCAGGATGCCGAGGAGTGCCACAGACAGAGAGAGTTTCGGTCGCTTTTTTGCCCCCGAAGATTCTCAACCAACAGATCCTGTGAGACCCAGAAGGACAGTCATGTCCTCAGAGAGACACGGAGAGAGTCTAACTCCGGGACGACTGGTCAGCGCCAGGAACGGCCCCAAGCAGTGGTCCTTCACCGTACTGTCCGTGCTGGGTTCGGCTGTGGCTGTGGCTGCTGTGGGCTGTTTCTGCGCCCTCATATACCCGATTCTCAGAGGTGAGCACGCACACATGCTCGCGCACAACAAGGCTCTTCTTGTGTAGGAGAATCCAACAAAGTGCAGCCCAAAGTGTCTTTCCAGCAGAGAAATCTAGAGGAAAGACCTTCTAAGGCCTGCAAAGGTGGTTATATGGTGGAGAAAAGAGCTCCTCTGAGATGCCCCTAAGCGGAGAAAACTATAAAGGATGCCTTGAGTGATCCCTTAAATGGAGAAATCTATTAATTTGCGTTCAAGGGTTCTTTTTTTTTCTTGCAAAGAGAGGCTGTCAAGTTGAAAACAAGATAACTGCTGTTGAGCTGAACAGTTTTCCAATTCAACTTGAGAAATTGCCACCTATGCTGACCTTTTTTGGAGAAAATAACCTGTATAATAAAATAAAAAAACACTATAGGGCATGTAAGCTGCACTATAAAGTGAGAAATCCTGATCATGTGCCCTCTAGGATTCCTATGCAGAGAGAAAACATGATACAAAGCCTTTTGGAAGACTTGATCATTTTCTTTTTAGGGGAAACAGTTACAATCTGAGCTGTTCCTGTGCAAGAGACATGGTCAAAGTCGGTGTCCTCACAGCTTCAATCAGCCACTGTTACACTTTCATATTTCAGTAACATTACCCTTTCTCTTTATGGACAAAATAATGAAGGAGTTAATGCTGTTTCTGTTCCAGAGCTGAGGGCCGAGAGAGTGAAAGGAGAGGATGGGACTGAACAGAGGATGTTAGGTGAGGATGAAAGGTTGTGACTCCATTGGTGTCCAAAAAAAAAAAAAAAATTTCATGTTCACTTTATACTTTTAAAAATGTAAGAACCGCATTATTTTATAGGCAGTAAAGAGAGAAATGCAATCATTTAATGATTAGTACGAATAAAAATCTTCCGTTTATGTTATGAAAAGAACCTCATCCCGCTAATAAACAGTTTCTGTAAAGTTTGATGTGATGACACAGGACATTTGTGTTTGAAATTAATCTGAAGTAAATGTTAATATTTATCTTGTGTGTGAGTGCAGGTTTCTGGAGCATCTTGGTGCTGTCATTATTAGCAGGATGTATCTGCTGTGTCTTCTCATGGACTCTCACCTACATGGACTCACAGCAGCCAAACAGAGAGTCTCCAACACACCTGCAGACACCTGCAGACTTCAGGTAACACACTCGGTTATATGATGTATTGAAAAAATGACACGTATTTAGCTATTTGCTTTATCAAAAGACAAAAGAAAAGTGCATTTAAGGACTGAAAACAACTCCAAAGTAAAAGGATTCATTCAGTTTTCCACCATGTTCACTTATAGGATGAACAAAAGTAACACGCACGCTGTCAAAGATTATGAAAACCTATGAAGAGAAAACTAGAACAACTAATACTGTCACTACTTTTGTTAAAATTTTGGATCTGAAGGTATTAAAATCAGTGTAAGGTTGAAATTACTCACCTCTGCTGGAGAGAAAAAAAAAAAGACCCAGGCGCAAAGACAAAATAGGGTTAAGTGGGAGCAAGAAGGGTCCGGAAAACCATGACGCTCCAATTTTCAATTTCATGAGAGCCGAGATAGACGGAGAGAAAACTAATTCCCATCTGGGGAGCTCTCTGGGGTCTGAAAGCTTGTGACTTATTTCATTTTTCTGGGAAACAATGATTTTCATGGTGTTCAGGGCAAACATGGAACAGATGAAAAAAAAAAATGTATATATATATATATATATGTTCGTCTCAATTTTAAATCATTTTATGTCTTTTTGATTTGAAATTTTTAATCTCTCCTTTTTCAAATTTTCTATGTATTTCCTTGCATCTGTAAATCACTTTGAATTGCCTTGTGTATGAATGGTGCTATAAAAATAAACTTGTCTTGCCCTGTCTTACAAAAATATTCAAAATTTTTGTTTTTTTGTTGCAGAGAAACACCAGCTCATGGTTTCCACATGAGTTATGGTGTTGCAGTCCTCAACGGCATCATGGCGATGCTCACCGTCATCTGGAGCCTCACCTGACACACGCACACACGTGCACAAGTAATATGTAATATATCTGCAATAAAACGTCTAAAAAAAACAAACTTATGTCAAGTTTTGTTTAGTTTTGAGAATTTAAGGGAGGATTGGCTCTTTTTTCAGGAGTTGTTCAGAGAGCAGAATCCAGATTTACTGAGAGGCTGCAGAGCTGGAGAGGATCTCTGCATAATAACAGGGTGTATTTAAAGACAGAGGGTGGAATGAAGCTGTCGTCAGGGCACCACTTAAAAATTTAGCACGCTCTTTTTGAGAGAAACTGTGTGTCACGTTAATCGGCCCTTTTTCACACATCACATTTCATCCCCGTCTGTTGAAAACCACAAACAGTTTTTCTGCAGTTTAACTCAGTCGAGAGAGGATTGTGTATGCATACAGGAGAAATCAGAGTTGTTCTTACAGTGGAGTTTCACTTCAAAGAAATAATAATTATCTAACCATTAATTTTTAATGTTCAGCTGTGATTTTAGAAGCTTCACTTTTCAGAGGCTGACTCACGCCTACAAAATATTACATCCCAAAAAAGTATCTGTCCTTTTCGATAAGAACAATAAAAAATCAGGCAAAGAAAGATGCAAAAGTAACACAAACATTTAATCAATTAATGTCTTTATAAAACATCCCATCATTAAACCTTTACACTTCTAACAGGTGACAGACAAATTTAAGAGTTCAAGAGGTCAAAAAAACAGGCAAAAAAATAACGGAAATCTGTCAAACACATTCAATCATCATATAAACCTCAGACTTTAAATTCAACCACCTCCAGAGGCATCATTGGAGATAAACACACTATACAACCAGTGTATACACGTCTCTCTATGATTGTACTGAACAAGAAATAAACAGTCTAAGAGCTCAAGTTACAAGTCCACAAATAAACAGAGGGTATGAGGTTCAAAGTATTAAAGGCTCAGTGAAAACAGGATCCTCTGAGGCTAAAATGTCCACGTTGTTATCATGTTTTTGTTGACAGTGTGAAACATTTGGCCTACATCAAGAAAAAAAAACACACACACATATTTCACTCAATGTGCTCCACACCTCTCACACTTACATTCAGAACAGTTTTGTTTTGCTCTGCGGATGTTTTTAGATGTTATTTGGCAAAAGTCTTAGTTCAGGTCTTCCTCCATCACTTAGTGTGGGACAAGAATTTGGTCATGATTTCTAGACTTTAAAACTTCACATCCAGTGAAATTCTGTCTGTCAATAAACCTGATGTGCAGAACAAAACCAACAGTGATACATCTTTAAAGAAGTACTGAAAAAGTGTGAACATGTTTGTTGGTTTTGGTCTATTCATCAGATTTGTTGTACAAAGAAACAAAAAAAAAAAAATGCTTTTAAATCCCTACAAAAAAATCTGGACTATTAAAAAAAAAAGGGAGAGACAGGGAGGGAATATTTCAGGGTTAATACTGACCAACTTTCTCCAAATCCTGAGAAACTTTTGCAAAGTTTCCTTTAAGTTATTTGAAGACAGTCTTTCATCCAAAGACAAGGCCCTACATGTACAGATCTGTTGAAGCTCTCAAGGAGGCTAAATCTGTGAATTCATTTACTGCTTGTAACCTGAAGTTAGGACCTTAATGACTCACCCAAACCATCCAGAAGTTTCCCAGACTCTCTTAAAAGTTTTCAGGATCAATTTGAAGATTTCTGGGATCTTAAAAAAAGTTTCTTCCTCCCTTCAGTTTCTAAGGATTGTCACTGAAATTCTTGCAAAAAGTTTCAGGATCTTGCAAAGTTTTACTCACAAATTTCTGGGCAGATCTCATTTAAGTTTTCTGTGGAAACTTGCAAGACATTTTGGAATTTGTAAAGGTCTGTTTGGATCTTCGAAAAGTTTCAGGAACTTGCAAAAGTATGTCTAGAAGTCCATAAATTCTCCTGAGATCTTGCCATGAGATCCTCAAGACCTTGCTAGAGTTTTCCTGACAATTCTTTGGGGGAACTTTGGTTAAATTTTTTTGGTATCTTGCAAGACATTTCAGAAGTTTGTCCAGTTCAATAAATAAATAAATAAACGAATTCCAGGGTCTTGCAAACATTTTGTTTTATCTGGCAAAAAGTTCCTGGATAACTCTCAAAAAAGTTTGTTGAGATCTCCCAAAAGTTCTTCAGGATTTTGAAAAACTCCCAACATCTCTCCCAAAGATTTCAGAGCTTGTAAACGTTTCACAGATCTGCCCCAAAGTTATTTTTTTAATCTTGCAAAAGTCTGTCAAGATCTTACAAGATTTCTTAGGATCTCTGATAATTTTCTCAGGGTCTTCAAAGAAATTCTCGGGAACTTAAAGGTATCCCGAGACCCCACAAAAGTCTTCAAGGATCTCAGGGGAGGAGGTTTGGAAACTTGGAAAAGTTCCTCAGACTCTTGGGGAAAGTTTCTGAGGCTCAAACTAGAAAGGTTCCCTCTCCCTGTCCCTGCAGGACTCTGTAGCGGTGTGCGTTATTGACCTTTTGAGGCACTTTTAAATATCAAGTAACAGATTATTTAGGAGACGTAGCATCTCATTCAGATGTGATAATATCTGACATGTGCTACAGGTGATCTGACAATGTAACATTTCAAGCTTTAACATCACTGTGTTCATTACAAAAAGATACTTACAAGCCTGACACCGATACTTCTCACAAGTACCAATACTTGTCAGTGATAGTCCAACACACAACAACAGGAGGAAACAATACATATAAAAATAAAGTCATATCTTTTTGGCTGGTGACAACGACACAGAGAAAGCCGCTAATAAAGTGCTGTTCATTGTGTTCTAAGGCAAAACAGGAAAGACAAAACTCTCTCAGGAGTGAGGGTCTCTAAGAGCTGAAACTGTTTTTACGTGGCGTGATAAATCAGAAACAAACAGCTATGCAGGGCTGTTTTTAAAAAAACAGTCAGGGTAGCCCTCAAAGACAATTAACTTTTTTGATAATTACTGGAGTGTAGTTCCCATGGCTGCAGTAAAGCAAGATAAATAGCATGGCAGGCTGTAAACTAAAAAACCAAGTCTTTAATCCCCTTCAGGTTTGTCGTTAGAGAGGCCTCCTCTTCTCTGACACAGACTTGGTAGTTTAAAGGGTTAATAATGTCAAAGAAAAACAATAAAGAATAAATATAAACACGTTTCTTACACGTGTCATCAGTCAGCACGGCAGGCTGGAGCTCAAGGCCAGCGTACATTTCTTTGAGAACTCAGAGTTAACGAGATGAAGGGTCTCATCTCCTTCAGATCAGTGGGGCTGCAGACTGAGCTGCTGCTAGTCTATCATAAGTCACCCAGGGTGCTTGTACAAGTACATTTCTTCAGTGCTGTATATGATGAAGTTTTAGTTCGTAATAACCAGTGTTTCTACCACACTTGATGGCAGAGGGGCTGCGAGCTGAGCTACCGATAGCCTGTTAAAAGGTGCCAAGCTCGATTTTATGCATCAAATTTCTTCAGTCTAGTACATAATAATGTTTTAAGTTCATAATCAGTGTTTCTTGAACACTTTGTGGCAGAAGGGGCTGTGAGCTGAGCTGAATATGAAATTACTCTGCTGGACTTAGAATGCAAAATTTTATTCAGTGCTGTTCCCAATCTGTTGGAGATTCCCCAACAGCTATGGTGGAGGGGCTGCAGGCTGAGCTGCTGAGCCGTCAGAATTTGGATTAATGGTGTTGTAGTGGGAGTTGAATCCTCATCTGATGTCTCCTTTGTTGTAAAACATACAGAGTCAAAACAATTAAAACACTGAAGTCAGCACTTTGCAAAGAAATCTGTTTCTTGGTTACTCTTTGGCAAAGTTTTCTTGGCTGCAAGTTGAGCTACTTCTAATCTAAGCTCATCAACTGACTAAAGTTTAAGATCAAGCTGAAAATGGTTTGAAACCAAAGACTGTATATAGAATGGACGCCGTCTGCCTCATCGCTGGGTGAAGCCACTGCGAGAACAGCACCCTCTGGTGACGGGATGCAGTATAGGTCATAAATCCCGCCTCCTCCAGCAATCCCTATGGAGCTGTGGACAAACTTTAGAAATTTATTACACAGAATATACATTTTTCTCCCCCCTGGTTGTGATGTTGACATGTAGTTATTGTAAGACCGGTTTTTGCTCAAGTCCTCTTTTTTCTGTACAGCTCCATTTTTAAAAGTTATTAGATGGTTCATGTTTTCAATGATTGACACTTGATACAGCCAATGGGCATATGGTGATTGCATAGCTCACCCTGAGGATATGCTGTTTGTGTGTTTCATCACAGTGACTCTCAGCGACTCTCAAGTGGTGGAGTGCGTACAACGCTACTGTGCAATGTTGGTTTCAGGAAGTGGAGAAAAAAAAACAAATTACCGAGAGCTTTTTGGCTTCAAATCCATATACTGGCGGAAGGCAGAATCAAGTTGTCCATAGTATATACAGTCTATGTTTGAAACTCAGAGAAAGTAGTTATCTAGAAATGTTTTTACGTCTGTTTGAATATGAGGCTAGTTTGTGATGAACCGCAAAATCAAACGAAACGGTTGACTCTTGGAGCCAGGAGTGATTCATCTGAAAACAGTCGGTCAAACACAGCAACGTTGAGTCCTTACAAAAATATATATTAGTTCTACATCTACTGTTATTGTGCCACTGTGTATTTCGACACAAACAATAAATTCTGAGTGACTGCGCTCACTCACCTTTTCTCTTTTAGTATCTGAACAGCTCATAAATACAGATCTATGTTAAGTGTGATCAGCAGGAGCTGGCATCACTGACGGGAGGAGAGTCAGACCCTGTTTGTCCCGAGCCGTTGGCCAAAACCTCCTCCTCGGAGCGCTTCCTGGAGGCCAGTTTGTAGAACCCAGCAAGGAGGAAGATGACGGCGATGAAGGTGAAGTATCCACCGTATATGAAGAACTGAGATAAGGAAACAGTCAGATGTCAATTAAATCTGCAGAGTTACAAGAGAATCAAAAGCAAACCAAAACTTAAAACTGTGATTTTATTTATTTAAAGATGTTTCTTCTCCACCTGAGTGAAGACGTCAAGGCCGAGGCCGGCTGAATCCACCACAACCAGAGTGAGCAGAGTCTGCAGCAGCAGGGCCATGAAGGTGTTCACTCCGAACACCAGAGCGTAGCGCTGCATGTTGAGACTGGCAGCGATCTGAAACCTGGACGGTCAGAGGGAAGAAGGAGATCCTTAAACAGGTCAGGAAAGTTTGAATCTATACGCAGTAGTTTAAATATATAACCTCCAACAAATGTGGTTAGAAACAGTCGGAAAAACAAAATATCCAAACGTAACAACAGCCGAAAGAAAGAGAGGGTACAGTAATCCTTCATGAGTCAGCGGTCCATCTGCTTGTTTAATCTCAGGTTTGGTTTTCATAGACGGTAATGATTCAGCAGATTTTCAATCACATGTTCAAATTCCTGAGGTTTGTTATTACAAAACTATCAGGGTTGGTTTGAACTAACAGGGAGATGACTCCAGGACGTTTGGACAGTGAAGTCATGGGATGCTGCAATCATGTGTTTTTGATCTCTTTGTTTTCTTTTTGGGTGTTTTTGCATGTAGGAGATCACAACGTTCATTGATAAAATATGAAAATTAAATGCTGGAAAAATGGAAAAGGGAGCCAAGCACACCAGATAAGACAAATCTGAGGAATGCGAACAAACCACATTAAAATCAGAACTCTACAATCTGCATTCATACCATCATACCATCATACCATCGTTCCAACAACCAGTTTCGACTTTGAGCTGAGGAATAAAACAACCTCCATCAACTGTAAAATACCAAACTTTATCCTTTTCCAACGTATCAAACCTCCAGCTGGTCCCAGTATCTTCGTACTTACGTGGCCACAGTGATGAGCAGCATGTAGGTGGCTCTGAAGAGCACATATGAGCCGTAACACAACCAGATGTTCTTCAGCATGTCCATGACGAAGACACACACCGCCATCAGCAGGGAGAGGACACACAGAGCCAGCTCCCCCCACACGGACCAGCACACAGGCAGGTAACCCACCAGGAGAGCTGCCAGAGCCCCTAAAGACCAGGAGAGGAGCTATTAGAGCTAGTCCTCCATCTCTTAAGGTACTAAAAATAAAGGTAATACTCTTTATCTCTGTACTGGGAAGCATCATGAAGTAGTCTACAGTGTTTCCCTCACCCAGCAGTGTGGACAGAGTCTCCACGTATCCGTTGTAGATCTCATAATCATGAGAAGGACGAACTTTCTCCCACAGCGGCTGAGCGTAGTTGATGACCTGGAAGTATCCGCAGGTGGCCAGAGCCCACCACAAAGACCAGGCCAGCAGGGGGCGACACCTGTAGCACTGCAGGAAGTCCTCGAACAGCATTCGCAGCACATCTAGGAGGCCCCTACTGTGGTTTCTCGTCTCAGAGGACTGAGGCATCTGTAAAGAAAAGAGTTTGATTAAAAGGGCTTTTAATTTGAAAATCTGATCAAACACAGGCACAGACTCATAGCCTACAGGGAGACTAAGGTCTAGGCCTGCTTTCGGGGTATTGAGTTCACATACTTTTACTAATGAAGGTCATTTAAATCCAAGGTTCAAACATGGACCTACGCAGCTTGTCATCTAGGCGTCATCTAAGCTACTAAAACTCTGGTATCATTCAGCGTCTTCCTCCAAAAATCACCTCCAACCATTCCACACTGGGTTTCAATTCCACATTAAAAACAACCCTAGAAGATCGTGACTCACCGTGGAGACGTCCTGGCCATTCAGAGGCACTTTACTCTCTGTATCTTCAGCCTTCTCCTTCAGCACGGCGCTGCTGCTCCTCAGACTCCTCTCCTCCCCTGATCCTGAACTCTTGTGGAAGAACAGACTCCTCTTAGGCATGGGCAGAAACCAAGGAGCGATGAAGGCCACGGCGGCCGACGCCAGGGTGATGATGACGAGGTGAAGGAGCTGAACTTTGGCCAGGGAGAGCAGCAGCTGACCGGTGAGCGATCCGGCGGCTGATCCGAACAGCGTGATGGAGCGGCAGTAACCCGTCACTCTCTGATAGTGAGCCGGCTCCACCACGCTGTAGATGTAGGAGTAGTAGGCCACCTCTGAGGCTGTAGCTAGGCCGAAGAAGAACTCCAGCAGCTGCATGGCCACCATCCCCTGTGCCTTAAGCAACATGGAATAAGTCACGACTAAACTGGTGGCCTGCAGCACCAGAACAGGTTTATAACAGAGGTAGTCCGTCGCCAAGAAGACAGGAAACAGCAATGCCAGGTAGGAATAAGTCCATATGGGGAAGATCTCATTCACAACCTGCAAGAAAGAGAGGCAGATTTACAGTTTTTAGACTCAGTTAATGTCACGTTCCTCGAATTTCTTGTTTCGAACTGCTCAGGATAAAGCCAAGAATCTCTGAAAGTAACAAAAGAACAATTTAAGATTTATACACAACTTATTATGACCATTCTAAGAGCAACTTTAGATGTCAGAGCGAAGGACGCAGAAGAATGGTCTCTCTCTCTCTCTGGTCTCTCTTTCAAAGAATATCAGACTTTGATTCATCAGCTAACAGGACAGATTTTCTCTTCCCCTCAGTCCACCTTAAATGGGCTCAGGTTCAGATTAGTCTCTGGTGTTCTTGGATCAGGTTCCTGTCTGGTTTCCTCTTTGCATGGTTCAGTTTAAACCTCATTAGTAGATGCAGTGATGAGCTGTATTCACATACAGTGGTTTTTGAAAGTGATTTTGAGCCCATGCCTGAGGGCCTGAAGATCAGAACCATCCAGTCTTGGTTTTGGTCCTTATCTCTTTTGTACTTTGATTTCTCCAGATTTTACACTCGGGAACATTATTGTGAAACTGTTGACCTCTTTCAGCTAGGTCTGGGCGATATACCGATATAAAAAATATATCGATATATTTTTAAATGAGATATGGAATTGGACCGTAGCGCATATTGATATACAGATATCAGATGCTGTTGTTGACAGGCTGGTGTTCCTCGCATAAAATCTTTAACCCATTTAAACCGGGACAGCACCGGGACCTCAAGACAGCACTAACTGTTTATCAAAGTAAAAAAGAAAGAGGGGGAAATGTTTACTGAGAGCATAGTCTGTTCATAGTCTTGTGCAACTGGTTTAGACTGTTAAAAAGATAAAAAGGACAGATAGGTGATCTCAAAATGATGTTTAAAAACAATTTTCTTAAACTGAGCACTTTATTTTGTTCTGTCTTTATACACGTACATGCTGCCCTTACTAGGGTTTGTCATATTTAATTCTTTTGTAGTGTTCCCTGCTTGCATCTGTGGATTTGTCAGAGAGAAGAAGAAAATCTACTATTTGATAGGCCATTTATAGTTGTCAAAATGTTGATGCTTTTCTCATATCAATAAATCTATTTCAGAAAAAGATGGCCTATTTGACTTTATGGGCTATTTTTATTTGAGATACATTTTTCATTTAACTGTGCACCTTATAGAGCTCCAATTTAACACTCCTGTGGTTATACAGTATTTATGTTTAAATTTTATTGTTTTTTGAACAGCTGAGCATTATTTCATCTGGCCAGTTTGTATAGAACTACTTCTGACATGTCATATTTGGCTTTGACTGTGACTTAACATTTGCTCTCACTTTGCAAAAACAATGTCAGGATATATATCGTACATCGATATACAGCCTAAATATATTGGGATACGACTTTCGGTCCATATCGCCCAGCCCTACTTTCAGCTCACACTGTCTCCTCCTATAACACTTGTTTGGTTGTTCGTATAATTTTCATTAGATAATGACATTTATCTGTTTTCACATTTGATTGTAGCCTTTGCAATATTTTCAAGCTTGAAATGATTTACAAACAATAATAATAAAACAATTTTTATCAACACTTGAAGAGTCAATGCTACAGTTTTGTTTTTCCATAAACAGTTTGTGTATAAAAGTATCAGAGTTTTTATATCAATAAATAACGCAGCAGCAGCAGTAACTTCCTCTGTATTGACTTCTGCGGATTATTTCCTCCTGCACTTCCTCTTCATTTTCTTTGATTTAAGGTCGTAGAAGTTAAACCTGCTTCGGATCCAGTTTCTTTAAGTCTCTCTTCCATAAAAAGTCATGAACAGAGATCTTAAAAATCATCGTCAGAGATCTATCTGGGCCAGCTCACAGATCGGTGGAGGTCATTATTTTAGGATTAATCGAAATTCCAGAGGATTCGGGATTACTCTGAGCCGACATGTTGTTGGAGCGAGCCTGTGAAAACAAAATGACCGTGGGATCAGAGGACATGAAGTTCTTTTATAATGCAACAGACCCCAATAGATCAGACGTTCTTAAAACAAAGACAGGCTGCTGTATAAACACACAATTTTATATTGAACTGTTTCCACTTTTTGTTCAAGTCACAGCACGTGAAATTCACCCGTGTGCCTCTGTCCAAAAGTTACCGTAAACTTCCATCCGAACTTCAAGGAAATGTAGATCAACAAACGAGGAAATACAGATGCAGAAAAATAAAGCTGCAGAGCCTGATCATGAGGAAATGTTCTGTATGGGAAATGTGTGAAAACTCTGCAGCTCTGACTCAACCGAACAACTGCAGAGCTGATGCAACAGCAGCAGAAAAAAAATACAATGAACACATCTCTGCTGTAGTCTTTGGTGGGGGAGGAGGTCACATGAATAAAACCTGAAAGAAGGTTTAAAGTAGGACTGCACAGTGCTGGGAAAACATTAGTGAGTTGTGAGGCTGGTCAACAATGTCACAATGAGTGATAAACAAACACAAACTAACAATAATGTGTTTGTAACATGTCCCTCATTAAAATAAACTCACATTTTCAAAAACAGACAATGGCTGCTGTTTCATATAATTTCTGACAGAGTCTGAGTCTTTAAGCGCTTATAAAACCTCAAGACTTTGGCTTTTATGTTTTTGTGATTCTAACTGATGGCTCTCACTCTTTGGACAGTCATTAGCTTCCTCCTGCTCCTTTCTCCTCTAAAAGTGATCTCTGAGGACCAAACGGGGCTGACTGTCTTGGTTATTTGTCCCGTTGGGAGATTTTTCTTCACTGACAGTACATGTGACTGAACTTGCTCAGAAACTTGGCTGTGAGTGTGAGAATACAAAAATATCCTGATGAAGAATCAAAGTGGACAAATTGCAACTCAAAAGATTTTCATATGATATCAGGGTGCCTCGAATCTTTAGTTAGGACTAAAACCTGAATGGTCATTCTTCTTTCACTCCAAATAATAATTAGATGGTATAAGTGTTGACTTTTTCCCACTTTAACTCAGATATTTACCTTGTATTATCATTTTACAAAACCCAATTCCATTGAAGTTGGAAAATTGTGATAAACATAAATAAAAACAGAATGATTTGCAAATCCTTTCCAACCTATATTCAATTGAATACACTACAAAGACAAGAGATTTAATGTTCAAACTCATAAACTTTATTAATTTTTTTTTGCAAATAATTAACTTTAGAATTTTATGGCTGCAACACGTGACAAAGAAGTTGAGAAAGGTGGCAAAAAATACTGAGAAATTTGAGGAATGCTCATCAAACACCTATTTGGAACATCCCACAGGTGAGCAGGCTCATTGGGAACAGGTGGGTGCCATGATTGGGTATAAAAGCAGCTTCTCCAAAAATTCTTAGTCATTCACAAGCAAGGATGGGGCGAGAATCTGGAGAAATCACTGCACTTAAGCGGCACGGCCGGAAACCAACACTGAATGCCTGTGACCTTCGATCCCTCAGGCGGTACTGCATCAAAAACTGACATCAATGTGTAAGGGATATCACCACATGGGCTCAGGAACACTTCAGAAAACCACTGTCAGTAAATACAGTTCATCACTACATCTGTTACATTAAATATCTTGTCTTTGTAGTGTATTCAATTGGAAATAGATTGAAAAGGATTTGCAAATCATTGTATTCTGTTTTTATTCACGTTTATCACAATTTCCCAACTTCAATGGAATTGGGTTTGGTATTTTAGTAATTGCAGATGACTGGGCAGTAATCCAGAGGTCTTTTGTGAAAGAATTTACTGGGCAAACACCAGAGAAAGTAAATGATAGTAATAAAATGATCATTCAGGTTCAGCAAATGCACCAAAAATGCAACTCAGAGATTTCTGCGATCAGATGACCTGCATGTTTAGTAGGTTAAACTGAAAATACTGTGACATTTACCTCTAAGAAAACGTTAAACTTGTGTTTACTTTAAGTCCACTTAAACCAGCTGCACACGTGCCTCTATGAAACAGCCTTCAGGGTGTCCTTTTCGATGAATAAACTAGTTAAAATGACCTTTTAAAAAGGGATAAACTTGATAAAGAGTCCTTCAGAAAAACACAACATAAAGGCAATTTTAATCAGAGTTACAGCAGCTGCTCTCTGATGCCTGTTTCCTCAGACCTGAACCCTGGAAGAACCAGCTCCAGGATAACACCTGACAGTTCCTGTATTTGATGGTATAATCTGACTATAATGACAGAAAAACGGTCTCCTTCTTTCTCTGTCTTGACTATATTAATCTACGCCACAGTAAAATAAGTAAATATCAAATTAAAGGAAAGAAGAAGCCTAAGGAATTAGAAATAAGTCAAATAAATTCAGTTAAAGTGAGTCAAACCTTGACTGTGAAGTCAGCTGCTGTTAAAGGTAGCACTAACTGTTTATTAGCCTTGAGCTAACTCACCTGAGTCTCCGTTAGGTTCTTGTCCGGTCCCATCAGGAAGGCGGTGAGGAAAGGTTCCGACGGCCGCATGTTGGAGAAGAAGCCGTAAACACAGAGCAGGAGAGTGGGGTAAAACACGGACATGATGAGGGTCCACACTGCAGCGTGACCTCCACACACTACTGACTGACAGCATACTACTGGCCAACTACTTCTGTGGTGCCTGTTTTGTTGTTATAGTGGTAGATTAAGGTACATTACCGCCACCTGATGGTCAGAGTTTGCAACAGCGAAAATTAAATAAAATGAAATTTTATTAAAAACAACTAAAATAGAATTAAATATATATTTTTCAAATTAATTTAATTTAATTGAATAGAATCAATATTATAAAAAATAGATAAAATAATAACAAGATTTGATTATTTTTACATTATTTGACTATTTACATTATTTATTTATTTGTTTACATTTAACAAAATCAAATTGAATTATATTAAATCAAATTAAAAAATAGATAAAATAATATAAAATAATATTTAATCATTTACATTATTGTTTGACTATTTACATTTTTTAATTTAATTATTTACATTTAAAATCAAATAATATTGAATTAAATACAATAAAAAAGAATGATTTTTGAAATTAATTAAAATTTAATTTAATCAAATCAAATAATAAAAAATAGATAAAATAATATTAAAATAACATTTAATTATTTACATTTAATCAAATCAACATTTTTATTTAATTTAATAGAGGAACATAGGGACTGTATTTGAGTATTTCCTACCTTTATAGTCCTGAAATGTTTTTTTCATGTTCATACCAAAAGAAGCACATTACATTGACCTTGAAAAATTAATTCACCTTTTTGGACGCCTCATCCAGGTTAAAGCTCAAGCTCAAACAGTTTTTGTCTTCACTGCCCACTCTTTAAGATCTCACTACAAAACTTTCTGTCCCTGTCCTTAAACCTCCTATTATCCTCAAATTTTACTAACACATTTTACCCTTGGGGTCAATCTGACCCCAGGTACATTTGCCTCCAGAAAATAATTTACACGCAACTGTTGACCAAGATTTTTTGTCAGGCGCTCCCATGTCACAATAGAAACCTTTCAACGATTTGACCTGTTCTCTAGCGCAATTAATGTATCTTGAAAAGTTTTCATACAAATCTTCTCAAATTTACTGACAACCTTTATGACCACAAGAGGATGAACCCCACTGGTTTTGGTGATGATATGACCTTTCCTGTAGCGCCACCATAATGAACCATATTGATTATTTTGCATGAACTACCCATGTTCTTGAGGGAATACCCTACTCTCCACAGCTCAGGAAATACAGTATCAGTCCTATACTTCGACATACAGTACAGTCGGTCACTCATACACACACACCCTTCATACCCATGGTGCAGGACAGTTCTCATGAGAATATTGTTTCCCCCTCTCCCATGTCACAGTAGCACCAAAAATGGAAAATTATGGTCTCTCTACTGACGTCAACAACAAGGTAGACGTGCTGCCATGAGCGTGTTTCACCAGACACACAGTCCGCCATGTTAAAGGCTTCATTATTCAAGCTCTTCGTATAACCATTAATTGAAAATATTGTATTGAGATGATCATTTCAGAGATATTTGTAGTTGAAAAGACTTGGATGTGATCAACTTGCAAGCCTACAGTGGCTTCCTCATTTTGGCAGGAGTTCAAGTCATTTTGTTTCCCACGAGAAGTGTCCCCCTTGTTATGTATCAACTCAAAAGTATCAAGTCTGCACCTGTAGGTATGGGGATGTTAGGTCACACACGCAGACAGGCAAGTTTTACACAGCCAAAACAGCTTGGGGTCAAATTGACCCCAGAGGAACACCGACGCGTTCAAATCAGTTGTCCCCATCAAATTAGGAAAAGTCATGAAATATGAAGCAAAAAAAAAAACAAGTCAACCATCATTTTTTAAATGATAAACATTGAATAGGGTCAAATTGACCCCACGGATAATCGGAGGGTTAAAAAATTGTATTTTTTTTTAAGGAGAAATATGAAATATTGACCAGGTTGTTGCGAAAGCTCACAGTCAAAGACAAAAAAAAGTGATAATTTTCATGATCAGGGTTATTCCTCGCACCACGTCTACAAAGTTTAAATAAAGACAAACATAGACTTCTCTGTATTTATAACATTTGGGAAACTCTTTATTGATGAACGTTTATTTCTTTAAAATGTCCATCCAACACATTACATCAGAACAGGCAGTAGTGAATATTTGATCCAACCAACAGACAAGGAAAATAAAGCGAGTACGGCTGTAGCAGTATTTATCTAGTTGTGTGAGTACTGTCAGAAATATGCGGCTGCGATGAGCCAAAGTACACTATCCAAACCAGACAGAGCAGCAGAAATTCATTGACGGAGTTTTTGAAGTACACTGAGAGGCTTGTGACAGTAAAAAAAATTCACTTTGCTGCATAATCAAGCTCACAGCTGACCTTCACAGAGCTATTAGACACAACAGGTAGAGATACGTCTAAACTGCAAAACAAAAAAAAACTGTCTCAAGGTTGTTACAGCAGCTGCAGAGAAGAAAAAATCAGTCTAAAGCTGAAGGAATTAAAAAATTACATAAAGCAGAAGCATGGAGGAAAGAAGGGGCTGGTCTTTGACACATTCAGAGAAGAAAGCAATAAGACAACCTGGCATAGAGAGCTGATTTACAATACTGAGGTTCAGCCGTGACTCCTGCAAAGTGCATCAGAATGGAACAAGAATAACCACCACAGTGAGGCAGTGAGCGATATACAGATAGTCAAGAGGCTTCAGGAAGCACTGCTGCAGTTACAGAGACTTTAAAAAGAGCCATGGTAGCCTGAAAACAGAGATTTTCCTACGTAAAACTGCCCATATCCACACACACAAACATTTCAGAGCCGTTCTTCAGAAAGTTTTTTCATGGATGAACGAAAACAGAGTGTTAGAGACAAATTAAACTAAAACAAATCTGAGATGAAGTTATAAAAACAGAGCTGTAATATTTTTAAAATGGGGTCATAATCTCATACCCACATGTGCCAGAGTCCTTAGGGTATAAATTCCTACAACTTGGGGGGGGGGGGGCTGTAATACATTTGTAATATGAAGTTGTTGTATCCTGTGAGAATAGTTGTATTATTATAAGAGTAAAGCTGTAATCTTCTGACACACTTTTTAAGATTTTAGTTGTGGGAAATTAATAGTTATGTTTTGAAAATAAAAATTGTAACTTTGGAATAAGTCCGGGACAGATGTGAGTCATAAATATACCAGAAGTCCAATTATTCAGAGCAGTGACTCTCAAGTCCAGTCCTCGAGGCCCACTGTCCTGCATGTTTTGGATGTGTCCCTGCTCCAACACACCTGATTCAAATGATCAGCTCGTTAGTAAGCCATAACAGAGCTTGATAATGAGTTGATCATTTGAATCAGGTGTGTTGGAGCAGGGAAACATCCAGAACATGCAGGACAGTGGGCCTCCAGGACTGGACTTGAGAACCACAGATTCAGAGGATACAGATTGAAGCTGTAATATTCAATGCCCAAAACTGTTGTATTTCAGGAACAAAGTCAAAACATTATGAAAAGTCATTGGAGAATAGGATCATTTTAGAGTTGTTGGAGTGGCAGGAGATACTGAAGAACGAGGTGGTTAAAAAAAGTCACAAGAAGTTCATTCAAGTTGTTTTGTTGTGACATGAGAAATTTAGTCATAATGTTATAAAGTTGTTAAAAAGTCATGATAAAGTAATAAATTGATCCTCAGAGTTTTTATATTTGCACAAAAAAAGTTTGTGAAGTCTTCATGAAGCCTTTTTTTTTAAGTTATTGAGTCACTGTAAGATTAAAGTTGTTCTAGTTTGAACATGTCTAAGCAAGTTAAGTCTGTCAACATCCGGTTAAATTGAGAGATTAGTCCTAATATTATTAAAATTAACTTGTCACATGACAAGGCCAGAATATCGATCTCCTTTTCAACTTAGCCCAGTTTTTCAAAGTACGGACAGAAAAAAAATCTGAGCTATAATATTTTGCAAATACAGTTAATATATTTTTGAGAATTTAGAATCTCCATAAGAAAAATGTGGTTGTAAAAGTTTAAGATTAATGTCTTCATAAAGAGGAATTAAGTTTGCAATCATGCTATTTAATTTGTTGAGAAGTAAACTGAAAAATATCCAGATTTAAAGAGACAAGAATTTGAGATTAAGGCCAAAATAAATCATCGATAATAAAGTCTTCAGACAGGAGTCACAATATGAAGAGAGCTGAGTTTTGATATTTCAAATGAGACAGAAAACCTCTTCCTTTTAGAGCTATCATCTCTATTAACTCTAAAATAAGTAAGAGCCAGAAGTTGTGACTTTATTCTTGTAATATCACAGTTGAAGTCATGAAGTTCTGACTTTATTCCCCCCAAATTTCCTCTTTCATGGTGGAATCTCAGATTATTTCTCTTTTTTTGAAGGACTCTTGAGAGATACAAGCAAGAAAAGATGAATTTTTGTATGGGAATGTGTCCAAATCTGTGTGAATTTGCTCTTTAGATCATTGTTACGTAGTAAATGAGAGATGGCGTAATTAAACAGACATCCAAAGGTGGTAAAATGGGACTCAGTGCAGGGCTGGGTACACTCTGTTTTGGTTTTACAGCCCAGGTAGTTTTCTCTTTTTTTGGTTCCTGCATAAACTTTTTTTTTTTTTTAAAGATAACAAACAAACAAACAAACAAAAACAGAGCGTCTGCTAAGGCTGCATCTACTGATTACTGTCATTACTTTTATGATTTCTTTTTATTTGTAGGTTAATAATCCTTGTCGTTACAGTTCCACTAAAGCTTTCATTAAGACTTTAAACACTTTCTTTTGTTTAGCCAGCACACAAAGTATAAATTTTTAACACAGTCAAATAAAAAAAAAAAAACAAGAAGGAAATCCTCACAGTTCACACACAAAGACAAAGACACCAATAATCATTCATTGTGAGCCAGGATAATTGATTAAAGGCAAAAAAAACAGTTTGAATATTGGAAATTCAGTTCATCCAGGGCATGATCTACTCCGATCATGCTCAAATAGCTAGTCTGATTCTGAATTTTTGAGTTAGTGAGTCTAGATCGCCTCTTTATTCGTGATACATTCTTCAGGGGAAAAACAGAATATTTGCTTATTTTGATATCAATGCTTGTTTCCAGTTCAGTCTGCTGCCCCCTGGTGTCCATTCAATATTAAATGCTGCTTTAATTTCTGTGTTTGCTTCTATTGTGTCTACTTCTGTCTACTAAAGGTTTGAATCTGATTCTCAGTGCGTCATAGAGGTGATGCTTTGCAGAGCCACAGCTTTGTGTTTGTAAGGATGTCTAACATTTAGAGCAGAGTGGACTGAAGTGAGTTTTTGTTACAGCTTTGAAATCTTCCGAACATTTTGTGGTCTTAATGCTAAAAATTGAAGAGAGACTTTAAAGCAGTGGTTCTCAAGTCCAGTTCTCAAGGCCCACTGTCCTGCATGTTTTGGATGTTTCCCTACTCCAACACACCTGATTCAAATGATCAGCTCGTTATCAAGCTCTGCAAGGGCTTACTAACGAGCTGATCATTTGAATCAGGTGTGTTGGAGCAGGGAAACATCCAAAACATGCAGGACAGTGGGCCTCGAGGACAGGACTTGAGAACCGCTGCTTTAAAGGAAGAGTCGGACATTTGGGATGAAGGTTTGTCTACAATCTAACCTCGAGTTTTTTTCACGTTTTATGTTCTGAAACGTGAAAATAAGACTGCTCTGCATACGTTTATTCTATTGTTGCTAAAAAGATAGCAAGCATCCATCTTTGAGAGTATCAGGGCAACATTAACAAACTCGGTATCACCAGAATTAAGGCTGATAAGATCCAACCAAATCTTAATAACTCCTTATATTGAGACTTTTTATGTCCAACAAAAATCTGTTATATGGGTAGAATGTTCCCTAAGAGACTAGAGTTGTTATAGATACAGAAAATAAACCCTAAGAGAATAAAGTTATTATATGTCAAGCAAAAGTCCCACGAGACTTAAGTCGTTATGTGTCAATTTAGAAATTCCAAATAAAACAAAAAGTCCAAAGAGAGTGAAGTCACTTCATATCCAGAAAAAAATCAAAGTCCATTAAAATGTTCCCATGAAAATAATTTAGTTGAACCTTGAGCTAAAAGTTGCAGCAGATAAAAATCTAAGAGAAAAAAATTCATCAGAGCACACAGTCGATATGTTGTAGCTAGGTCCAAAGGGGACTGAGTCATCATGTGTTGAGCAGGAAATTCATGAAAAGCTCTAAGAAAATAAACTGGAATATTTTGTGAATTGAATGATAAGAAAAAAAGATATTCTTCTCAAATAGCAAAAATTTCGAGAATAAAGTTGTGATATAAGCCAAAAAAAAGAGAAAATTTTTAATGCTACAAGAACAAATTCATGAGAGAACAGTGTTTGAGTATTTAAAAAAAATGTCTGAGTGTTTTTGGAGTAAGGAATTAAAAATATCTATGCATTTGAAGAATAAAGTTCTATTTCATGAGTAATTTCTGAAGCTGTAACACTCTAAGTTGAGCTCAGAGCACCACAACAATACTTTCACAAGAGAATAAAGTCATGATTCAACAAGAATAAAATCCTAACATAGTGTGATCAGAGCGGTGAAAAAATAAATTGAGGATATTTTGAGTTCATGTATTTTAGAGGGAAGTTTCAGAGGAGCAGCTGGCTGCCTTGAGTCAAATAACATATTTTGTTGTTTCTAGAAGATTGACTAAAGTATAAGTTCATTAATGCTCTATATTCTTCAAAATAGCTTTAAGGTGAAGTGTAGCCTACAACTCAGGACTTAATTCATTCTACATTTCATCTTTACACCTTAAATGTCAGATTTTCCTTCTTTAGTGTAGCCCTGATACTCTGCACTAATCTAATCTGACTCGAGTCAAATAATAAACCTCTATCCCAAATGTCAGACGGTTAACATTCCTCGTGTCCTGCACTCATGCAGAGTGTCTCAGAGTAACACAAACCGGTTATAATCAGAGCAGATAAAATCTCATCACAGAGGCAGAAGAGCTGATCCTTCCTGTGTACGGATGTTTAGCAGCGGCAGGTTCATGAAGCTACATGGTGAAGTGTCGTGTGTAGTCATATTCTATTGTGGGAATGACGGCCTGGACAAACTTCAGGAAAATTAGAAGATACCTGAAAGTTTCAGTTAAAGAAAACAAGAGGGAAGGTATGAAAGGAACTAAAGAGAGGGAACATGGGGTTAGGATGCTAGGGACATCCATAAGGTGACGATCTTTTTGAAACTCGTGGACATGGCCCCCCTAGCTCTAAAGAGGAGAGGGACCACTGAAATTTGACCTTCCTTGAAATTGGACTTTTTTGGACTACATGCATGCTGTGTCCTCTGCTCTAAAGAGGAACAGGATCACCATTATTTGACATAGTTTTTGTAAATCATCTTCCCTGCATGCTCTGCCATAAAGCAGGGTTCCTACGCAAATATAGAAAAGTGTGGAAGTAATTCGATCAATCTCCAGTTCTTAAAAAGTATGATAAATGAAAATGAAAGTATGGAAAAATATTTAGGTTTCCAGACTATTATCACAGTAAAAAAAATACTGTTTTCTAAAATAGAAAAGTAGGTATTTCCAAAAATAATTCTAAAAAGTAGGATATGGAAAAGTATGGAAATTCCTACTGTTTAGGAACCCTGATAAAGTGTCCACCCGGCTTGTTATCTGTTCTCAGCTCAGAGGCAGCATCCCTGATGGTATGGGGATCATAAATGTCTACGTCATGAGTAGCTTCCACATGTGAAAACAATACTTTTGCACTTCAACACAATTAGAGGTAAAACTTACAACTCACATGTTATCAAAATGAAATATATGTGACCTGAACATCACTGCTGTTTGTGTACATGATGACTAATTATGGCAGAATTCTCACATGAAAGGATACATATGTACTCCCAGCTCTCCTCCTCCTTCTGCCACAGTCTCAATAATCTTCTTCATCACTTCAGCATGTCTGAAAATCAGATGTTAGGTCAGCCAAAGGTTCAAAAAATCACTTAAGTTAACAGTCATTTCATTACGAGTCCCCTGTGCCAATACTTTATAAATCCCTGTAGTTCTACAGGTTGACAGATTTCTCCAGGTGATTCATTGTTGGGAGGATCTGAATACTGTAAAGGTACAGATTTACCTGCAGGGGTGTACAGAGCACATGGCAGGTGGAGGCAGGTGAGGGTGGTTCTCAATGGTGACTGTTTTCTTCACATGATCCTGACTGATGTCCTCGTACATCTGTTCCACTGTCAGCGGTTGTCTGTCCTGGTTAATGCAATGACAGGCTCTGATTACAGAAGTCGAGTCTGGTAGCATTTAACTGCCTCATAAAAACATACTAACAAAAATAATGAAAGTACAAGACGGAAAAGATCAAAAACAGAAGCTGTGGTGTACATACTTCATCGTATCCAAAGAGCCAGAGTCGAGGGGTCTGGTAGTATTTATCATAAGTGATGTACAGGTCATACGTTCTCGTCTGAAGGATGGCGTCTTCGCTCCCTGGCTCTACTTTGGTTTTGGTTTCCACCATTTTACTGGTGTCCAGAGTGGCCTGAGCAGAGGAAACGTGTCAAAATAAAGTCTAAGAGAAAATATACGACCTGAGAATAAATATATTTATTTATACGCTCACTTCGTCTGTTTCCAACAGGCCGCTCTCCTCGTACTCTGAAGAGACAGAATCAAGATGAGTCAGAGAAAAAAACTAACCGACTTCATGCTTTTTCACCCACAAATGAAGAGGAGTACCTTCCATATCTGCTGCTTCTGCATCTTCATCATCCTCCTCATCATCATCACAACATGCTGCAGATGTGGCGTTCATATTCTTGTCCTGAGGGAATAAAATTCAAACAACAGCACGGTTTAGATTTTCGTATTTCATTCAAATAATCAGAAAACTAAGAACATAATGAATCGAACCTTGCTATTGTCCAGAGAGATTTCCCGCACAGTGTCTGTGACTCCTAAAACAGCTGAAAAACACCAGAGAAGGAGACACTAAATCACTGTCTGTCCTTATCAAGAGGGGGTGATCAACTTGTTTCATGCAGTCTGGACTCTTCTGTAAGACTTGGGTCCAAGAGAGCAGGTCTAGTTAAACATTTTAAAAGCAGATTGAAGGTGTTGGAGGAGGATGCATCAGGCTGTAGATGCTCCTGCTGATGTCTTTCTGTTTTATGATTCAGGATAGGGGTGTCCCAAATATAACTTTTTGATTTCCGATACGATACCGATATTGTAGTCCTCAATATTGACCGATACCGATATTGATCTGATATCAGCACAAAATTATGCATGACACGTTTTTCACTCAACTTTTTCAGACTGAAACAAAAAATACTGCCAGAAGGCCAATATCACTCTAAAGGTCCTTATACACCGGGGCCGACGCATCAAGCCCTATGCGATTTTGCAACTTTCCGGGGGGAAAAGGACGTATCCCGGGGAAGACCAATATTCAATATCAATATGGCATTGGGACATCCCTAATTCAGGATATGCTGACATTTAATTCATGTTTTCAATGTCTGTAACTTTGCTGTGCAGCTGCAAATCTGGGTCAGACAAAAGTTAAAAGAGACTTATATAAAAATAAAGATGGAGACCTGTAAATGATATATATCAGAAAAAGACAGTAAAAAATCTAATGCATTCAACAAATGCAACACCTAAACTTTGATAAGTGTTACTTATTAGCTGCAGAGGAAAGTCAGAAATCGATCCTGAGACAGGATTTATAAGCAGAAACTGTTTCAGTGGATCAGATAAACACCGCTCTGAAGCTGAGGTGCCTTCACAACAGCAGCTTGATCTGCTCAACTTTGACTCAGGAACAGGTAGCAGGTCTAATGCAGTTGATCTCAGGGGTCTTCTCAGGGAATACGGAGATGAAATATTACTTACATACTCTGTGCCAGATTAGGGCTGGGTGATATGGCCTCAAATCAATATCACGATATATTGAGCAGTTCACCTCGATCACAATAAATGGACGATAACTACTCCACACGCTGCTAACCCCCTCCCACATTCACTTCGTCTACTTCAGCCACCACTGCAGCCGCTACAACTTTTGAACCATCCTCCATCTCCTCACCTGTCTTTCCCTCTTTGTTATGGACTGGATGGGGTGGAGTCACATCTCTGACGCAGGATTAAAGGGACATAAGACCATAGCCTACCTATGCACATCCAAAACCGACTTGTATTTATTTATTTTGACACTGACTGAATATACCGATATGGGCAAAATTACATTTGTTATTGTCGTAAATTCCGGTATCGGTAAATTTTCGGTTTATCGCCCAGCCCTATATCAGATTATTACAGATTAGTAAATTATGGTTCAGTTCTTTGAGGAAGTTGTAACCAGAGCAGTGAAGCTAAGATGGGCTGATGTAGGTGGTGCACCTTGTGTTTTGATTCTGGCTGCAGAATTTGGGGTAATCTGAAGTCAAACTCATTCACTGAGGTAGGTAAACTAGGTGTGACAATAATCCAGGTGAGAGGAGATAAAAGCGGGGATAAGTTTTTCAGTGTTGTTAAAGAATTAAACTCGCCTATTTCTGGGAATGTGAATAAAAAACAAGACTGCAACACTTTAATCAAGTCATGATTGAAAAAAAAAAGACCCCTAAATTTAGAGCAGTAACCTTGATGTAATCCCAGTCAGGCTTCACTGGTTGGATTAAATTCATTTAAGTAAATAAAAAAGCTCCTCTCCTCTACAGGTTTTCTCTGTGCAGTAAAATGTTCGTCATGTTTCTGTCCTTTTACAGCTCGGCTGGAAATTTTATATTTTGGCCTCTAAATAAGTTTCTGAGAAAAAATACTTGATACAGAAAAGATGTTTAAGATTTCAAATGGACCTGGACTGAAAGACGGATTTCTAACCTGAGTTGTGGTACGTGTCCACCCAGCCTCCATCTCCATCATCCTCCTCTATGATGGCCTCCAGCTCATCTGAATACTCCATCTGTTTACAACGTTTGTAACAGGGAACTGCAGGAAAAAGGACACAGATTTTGAACCATCACTGCCATGATTTTTTCTTTTTATATATTTTTAGAGGACAAAAAAAATCTAAGAATTTAAACTCAAGTATATCTCAAAGCGACAGCGTTGTTGCTGTCATTTGTTTGCTGTCATCGCTGTCGCCGGTATTTCTGGTGTTGTTATTGCTAATGCTATTGTGGTTGTTGTATCGTCGCTGTTGTGTCGGTGATTCGGGGGGGATTGTGTGTGTATATATGTGTATATATATGTATATGTGTGTATGTATGTGTGCATGTATGTTTGTATGTGTATGTATATGTATACATATAGTTATTATTACATAGATATTTATCTTTTTGTTGTTGTTGTTGTTTCTGTTGTTGTCATCACTCTGTTTTGTTGTCAAATAAAAAAAATAAAAAATAAAAATAAAAAAGTATATTTTAAAGCTGCTCCACAGGAAATAATTCAAGAGTTAACTGGACAAAGGAGGAAAACAAACTGTTTCACCACACAGTGAGTGATTTAGTAAAAAAATAGTCGAGAACAATGATGATACTCATACGTATAATGAACAACAGTTTCCACTTCAGATTCTCTCACCATTACGTGTCAGGAGGAACTGTTTATCCTGCGGCAAATATGGCTTCACCTTCACTTCTTCCCCGGTGGCCCTGAGTAAAAAGGGAATCACAAACATACAAATAAGTTTTTTAAAGCTCTTGTGAGTTTTCAGCTCATTATGAGACACACTGATGTTAACATTAGTGTCTATTTATGAGCTACAGAAGAAAACTAGACAAACAGAAAAAAGACTGACTATTTTTCGTGTGGTAAATGTTAATGTCTGAAACTTCTGCAGCTGATAAAGTGATTCATTTGATTGTTTAAAGAAAGAGGGATGATATTTTCATTGAGGTGCAACTTGCATCTGAGCATGTCAACATTAGGAAAGAGCAATGATGTGGTACTTAGTCTACAGGGGGCAGCAAAGTCAAAACACAACACAATTTCCTCATAGGAGCTTCAGATGAGGTTATGCATGGTTTTCTTATCATGCCGTTACTCATATAACAGCACCAACTTCCCAAACTGACTCATCTTCAGATTAGGAATAACTTTTTGAATGTATGCTTACAAAAGGAGATACAGAACTATTTATTTCCATAAACTGTGTCTTCAGTTTCTTTCCTAAGCTGGTGGGAAAGCTCCAAAAGGTGAAAGAGGAAGTTCGAGCCAAATATTGCACTATACTGTAAAATCCAACAACCACAACAGAGAAGTGAAGCACAATGAAAAACCCACTATCAGGTCAGACATAACTGGAAAGATTTTGTTCATTGAAAACAGCATTGTATTGCCTGGCTGATGTGAATATTTGATTTTGAATAAAGACGATTATTTTTACTACAAAGTCATGCTGTTGTAGTCCCTGCAGAATGTGGTTTGTTGTTGTCTTGCTGAAATATGAAGGAATGGAGCCTTCATAGATGTGGAAGCTACCCATGACATTCGGGAGGCTGGTTTTGAACTGAGAACAAGCAGGGCAGAGGACGCGGTGTCCATGGTTCCAACAAACAAAGTAATTTTGTGATTTCCAAAAAGAATGTCAAACTTTGATTCATCAGCCCACAGGACAGTTTTCCTCTTCCCCTCAGTCCACCTTAAGTTTTAACCTCATTTGTGGATGCAGGGAACTGTGTTCACAGTAGGGCCCGACCGATATGGATTTTTTGGGGCCGATGCCAATACCAATAATTACGGGAAAAAAAAAATCGATTTTTTATGAAGTTATATAAAAATATAAATAAACTGTAGATATCTACTTTATGCTGACAGGAAGACCGACTGGTCAAACTCGGACCGCCAAGGCCTCCGCGTCTTAACTCATGTCACTCGCTGCCTCAGTAAGAGAAGTAGCGTGATCACGTAATGTGTACCGTTACTGGCACAGCTAACAGTGTAGCAAGGCTAATAGCAGATGGCTAACTCTAACTTTAGCTTGCATATTACATGGTGCTTCACTGTTAACTCGGCATGATCGAGACCAGCACAGTGGGGAACATCGTGAAGTGGGCTGAACTGAAACTTGTTGACTTATTGTGTACTTCACAAACCGAATCTTATTCTCCCCATTTTATTTCTGAAAATATCGGCGAAAATCGGCAAGTTTTGGCCGATTACCGATTAGTCTCAAACGGGCTAAAATTGGCCGATTTAATCGGCTCGCCGATAAATCTGTCGGGCCCTAGTTCACAGACATTTTTTTTCAGAGTTGAATCTGAGGTAATACAGTGATTTCCACAACGGAGTCCTGTTTGTTTTTAATGCAGTGCCGCCTGAGGGCCTGAAGATCAGGACCATCCAGTTTTGGTCTCTCACTGAATGGTGAACCCCTTTCCATCTTTCCTTCTGAGAGATTCCGCCTCTCTGAAAGTCCTTTTTATACCCAGTCATGTTACTAACCTGTTTAATTTTTCCTCTATAACAACTTTTTACCTATTTTTGTTGTTTCTCTAACATCTTCTATCATAATAACTTACTATTTTTCCATTAAACAAGATTCAGTTTTGACATCTGATATGTTGTTTTTGGAGCTTTTTAAGAATAACTAAATACAGAATGTAAGGTAATCACTTTCTCTCACTGCTCTTTTGTTAGTGGGGTGATCTGTATTGAAGCTGAAGGTAAACTCTTACCATTTCCATGTTGGACAGTGATGAACCAGGTGATCTCCAGCAGCAACAAACTAAAACCAGAAAGAGAAGATCATCAGATAGATTTTGTAACTTCCTTGAGGTTCAGGAGTAAAATAAGTACTTTACATGAGTGGATGTACTCACTTCCTCTGGTGTGATGACTCCAGTCTCTTTAAATTTGGATTCCTGAGTTAAAAATCAGAAACAGAGACTGGATTAAGTGAACAGAGTGACTTCAGTTTGTCTCATAAACCTGCAGGTGTACATATAAACTGTGTCGATGTTTTAGTTCGAATAAAGTCAATGATTTAGGCCCTTACACCATAAGTTAAAGTCTCGTGTTAGTCTAAGCTACAAGGCTGCAGAGATCATCTGTTCATGTGTTTCTGAAATCTCTCAGCCTTTAGCCTCCTCCATCAACAAGCTAGCTGTTAAAGTTTACCTTTAACACAGGCGTGAGGAACTCCGCCACACCGAGAGCCGTGCCCTTCACTGTGTTTATCACGTTCTGCATCTTTGACGGGTCCTACGGGGTGACACGAAGCCTCCTTCTTCAACCGTGCTGTTGAAATCTGGAGTTATTTTGGCATAGCTCCTCAAGCTGTGCCAGCAACTGCAAATCACATGATACGTCCCGAGACTTCCGCTATCTCACTCTCGCGAGATGTGGAGAGGCGACGAAAACAGACGCACAATAAAATAAAATAAAATAAAAAAAAATTAAAAAAAATTGAATTAAATTAAATTAAATTAAATTAAATTAAATTAAATTAAACTGAATAGCTGGAGAAATTTTTGTGCATTTTTTTTACCCATATTTTTTTTCTACAAATTAAAATTTTCTTTTTGGGGAGTCAAGATGTACAATTTTTAATTTTCTTCATTCTTGTGTGAAAATGGCCCAGAATAAACCCTAAATCCTAAACATCTTTGACCTTATGATGCCTTAATAATCCATTATATGTATGGATATGACCGTGTTACAACCACAGAGTGGATCAGTGGTTACAATGTTTATTTTTCTCCATTTTTCTGAATTTTAAAATTAGAAGTGTGTTGTTCATTACTCTTCCCTGACATACGATGTGATTTTAAATGCAAATCGTTATCGGTTAAACTCTGATTTTCATCCAGAAGCCCTGCTCTACTGGAAATTACTTCACTGTCATCATTTTTATTCCATACAATACACCAATCTGGAATAATAGATACATATTGATTGATAGAAATTCAGTTTATAAGGATGAATGGAATTCAAAAGGAGTCTGGGCTGTTGCTCACTTGTTAGATGAGAATGGGAACTTGTTGCAACATGAGGACTTTTGTACAAAATACCAAATACAATGTAATGTGAAGGAACATACAAAAATGATGAATGCAATACTGATCTCTCTGAGGGTAATGGTGAGAGAAGATGTTTGATATTCCACAGTCTCCCAAAGATTGAGACAACTCTACATTGGGGGGTTAGACTTTTGTGATCACAAATGTAACAACAAAGCTCTCAGAAATATGTTGGTAAACTAATATTACCCTAGCCCAGTGGTTCTCAAGTCCAGTCCTCGAGGCCCACTCTCCTGCATGTTTTGGGTGTTTCCCTGCTCCAACACACCTGATTCAAATGATCAGCTCGTTATCAAGCTCTGTAATGACTTAATAACGAGCTGATCATTTGAATCAGGTGTGTTAGAGCAGGGAAACATCCAAAACATGCAGGACAGTGGGCCTCGAGGACTGGACTTGAGAACCGCTGACCTAGCCCGATTGAAAGGATGTATATTTTGAAGCAATTTGATTTGGATAAGATTAAAAAGATAAGAAAGAATTATATCTCCTTGCCATTACCTCCCAAGGCAAAAGAAGTGTATTTCAAAATCTTGAACAAAATCTTTCCAACAAACGAACTTTTAAGATTAAGGTTTAACTTTGAAGCAAATAATTGTGTGTTTTGTGAGCCATGTTTTTTTGTCACTGTAGTGTGATACATCCCTTCTGGAGTAACAAGTGGAGCTGGTTGCAGTCCAAAAACATTGACTTCCCTTTGTCAGCAGAAACTATTTTGTTTGGTGTTTTTAATGAGTATAGGAACTTGGATTTTGCTCTAAATGCTTTGTTGCTTCATTTACAAGTTTCATTTACTGCTACTTTTTTTGTAAATCCTTAAAACTTGTTACAGACAAGAAAGCCCTATGCCTATTTTCTTTACTAGAAATGTTCGGATTGATATAGAATGGCCTCTAACACTGAAATTGTGTTTTTTTCTCTCTTTTAATGTTATTCATGCTCAATCTAAGGCAAATACTCTATAATTTTCTTCTATGATAAATAAGTGCCTTGTTTGTTTGTTTATAATTCAATAAAATAAAATAAAAACTCTTCCCTGACATACACTCCGCTCCAGTAGGGGGCGATAATGTCTCTTTACGTTATCCTCCTAACACATCACATCTTCAAGAAGAAGACAAGAGGAGGAAAATAAAACACATGACAGTAGAAACTACTGTGAGCTTATACTTTATCTCTAAACCTTCAGAGTCTGTCAGTATGTGGTCCGAGCAGTTGGGCTAATCTTCTATACTAATGCAGCTTCATTCACATGAACGGGCTCAGGATGTGGACTCGCTCTGTACAGCCGCTCCTCTGGAGGTCCAAGGTCCTCAGAGCTGCTCTGACACTCAGCTCCAGATCTCACGGCTCCTGTGGAGGGGTTTCAGGGAAGTCATGGATCAGACCCTCTGGATATGACACAGGGTTAAAGACTTTTAACAGCCTGACCAAACAGAAAGAGCCTCTTATCCTGTCCAGAGAAGGAGTAGCTACATGGTACAGATCACTGGAATAAACCTGTTCAATATACAGCATGTCTTCGTACTAACCTCTGTGCTTTCATTTAAGGTATAGCTGTGGACCCACTGTGTACGACCAGGCCCACTTGGGACATGCATGGTAAACCCTCAATCTTCATGCACAGGCTAAATACATTTATAAATTTATGGTTACAGATGGTACAAAGCATGCAGGGAACAGATTTTGTGTTCATTTGGAGCCCCTGAAGTCCAAGTTTCTGTTAATTTGTTAGTTTGCCAATATTAAAAACCTTTAAATAAGTCTGAGGTGAACATCTGTGTTTGTTGGTGTCACAGCTCGTATGTCAGGTTTGACATCCTGCAGAGAATCCTCTCCAGGCTCTTTGGAGTCACAGTAATTCATGCCATGGTCATCACCGACATCGACGACAAAATCATCAAAAAGAGCTGGGAGGTAAAACCACAGCCGCTTTATGATCAGTATTAAGGATCATTGTCTTTGAACTCCAGTTTAACTGATGAATTTCTCCTTTCTTTAAAAGGAAGGTGTTTCCCCCTCAGTCATTTCCTCCATGTACGAGGATGAATTTAAAAAAGACATGCTGGCTTTAAAGGTGTGTAACTATTTTTTTATTTTTTTATTCAGGAGAGATAAGATTTGATTTGTTGAAAATCCTGCTGATTATTCATAATCACTGTGCTAAATAAAGATAGCATGCAAATTCCAGGACCACTCTTACTGACCTTATTCGCCTACATGCAGCTGTCAAATCCACCCAAACCTACTTTACCCTCTATCACTATTGCTGGGTGAAAATCACCCGAACATGCGCCTGTAGGAAAAAGCAGGTTTTAGATCAGGGCAACAAATATGCCTTCAAAGATGTTAAAGGAAATACTGAAACTACCCAGGGACCCATGATACTCAGACAAACGCAACTTAATGAAAATCATGTAAACATGTTTGGTTTGGTGAAAATCACCCGGTGATAGTGTTCTAGGGTTAAATAATTGTTTCATATTATTAATGAGATAAAATGTGAAAACTAACCTGCCTTTGTGCTCTTTTGTCATTTTTGAGGTGATTCCTCCTGCAGTGTATTTAAGAGTCACTGAAAACGTGCATCATATCGTGGCATTTATTGAGCAGATCATTAAAAATGGACATGCCTATTCCACAAAGGAAGGTGAGGATTTAAGATAAAGATGCTTCATGTTTTTCTGTCTGTTCCTGAGGTAACACTTTATTCTGTTACAGGTGATGTTTTTTTTGACATCCAGTCCATTGGTGATCGTTACGGCAGGTTTGGAGGTGCTGGAGACTCGCAGGGAGAACCTGGTGAGTGTTTCTGTCGTCTGAATCGTTTAAGGTTTATATTTGGATGATGAAGAGATATATAGTTTCTGTCCAAGCTTCAAGTATCTTTAGCTCATGTTTTATCTCGAAAACCAGGCAATACCAATAAAAGGGACTTAAGGGATTTTGCACTTTGGAAGCCGTCCAAACCTCAGGAACCGTTCTGGGAATCACCGTGGGGCAGAGGAAGGCCTGGCTGGCATATTGAGTGCTCGACCATCGCCAGGTTAGAATTCAGTATAATCATGAGTGCAACTCTGTGAAAAAACATAAAAGTCACAGCAAATAAAAAAAATTAAAATCTGAACACAAAACTAAAGCAAAAGGGATCATTACCTAAACAGTGAAACTTTTTTATTTCTCTACAAACAGGACTGGAACCTGTCACTTCATGAGAAATAATAATAAGGCGTTGGTCTGTGTGTTTATTTTAGCGCGGTGTTTGGGAGTCAGCTGGATATCCACTCAGGAGGGATCGATCTTGCCTTTCCTCACCACGAGAATGAGGTCGCTCAGAGCGAAGCCTACCATCAGTGCGAACAGTGGGCTAACTACTTCCTCCACTCAGGTTCAGATCAAATCCAGGCCTGTTTTTACTTATTCTAAACTTCGAACGGTGAAACTGAGACCCACCAAAAACAAAGAACCAGGAAACCTGTGCAAAACTTAGGATCCACAGTGAAATAAGACTCAGACGAAACAGATGAACGATGAGACTCAACTTTATCATCCTGAGAAATAAATGAGCTGCTTCACTGAAGAATGTAATAAACCAAGAAATAACTGCATTTAATTTCTTTTAACATTGTCATTTCTTGATGCATTATATCCTCTCGAGGCTTGTCTGTTCTTGTGTTTCTGGTGAGTTTCAGTTTCACTGCAAACAGTAACACAGAGGGTTCACTCTGCAGGATAAAGAATGAACAACATTGTTTTTTGTGGCGTACAGTGGATATAAAAAGTCTACACACCCCTGTTTAACTGCCAGGTTTAAGTGATGTAAGAAAATGACAGCAAGATAAATATTTTCACAACTTTTTCCACCTTTAATGTGACCTATAACCTGTACAATGCAATTGGAAAAACAAACTGAAACCTTTAAGGGGAAAAAAGTAGAAAAGTTAAAATAACCTGGTTGCATAAATATGCACACCCTTAAACTAATACGTTGTTGCAGCACCTTTGGCTTTTATTACAGCACTCAGTCTTTTTGGGTAGGAGTCTATCAGCGTGGCACATCTTGATGTGGAAATATTTGCCCACTCTTCTTTGCAAAACCGCTCCAAATCTGACAGACTGTGAGGGCATCTCCTGTGCACAGCCCTCTTCAGATCGCCCCACAAATGTTTGATGGGATTCAGGTCTGGACTCTGGCTGGGCCATTCCAAAGTCTCAATCTTATTCCGGTGAAGCCATTCTTTTGTTGATTTAGATGTGTGCTTTGGGTCACTGTCGTGCTGAAAGATGAAGTTCCTCTTCATCTTCATCTTTCTAGCAGAAGGCTGAAGGTTTTGTGCCAACACTGACTGGTATTTGGAACTGTTCACAATTCCCTCCACCCTGACTAAGGCACCAGTTCCAGCTGAAGAAAAACAGCCCCAAAGCATGATGCTGCCACCACCATGCTTCACTGTGGGTATGGTGTTCTTTTGGTGATGAGCAGTGTTGATTTTGTGCAAAATATACCTTTTGCAATGATGCCCAAAAAGTTCAACTTTGGTTTCATCAGACAATAACACATTTTCCCACATGCGTTTGGAAGATCTCAGATGTCTTTTTGCAAAATTAAGACGGGCTTTGATGTTTTTCTTTGTTAGATAAAGCTTCCATCTTGCCACCCTACCCCATAGCCCAGACATATGAAGACAGCGGGAGATTGTTGTCTCATGTACTACACAGCCAGTACTTGCCAGAAATTCCTGCAGCTCCTTCAGTGTTGCTGTCGGCCTCTTGGTAGCCTCCCTGACCAGTTTTCTTCTTGTCTTCTCATCAATTTTGGACAGACGTCCTGTTCTTGGTAGTGTCAGTGTTGTGCCATATTTTCTCCACTTGATGATGACGGTCTTTACTGTGTTCCATGGTATATTTAATTGGTTGAAAATTCTTTTGTAGCCTCACCTGACTGATATCTTTGAATAATAAGATCCCTCTGATGCTTTGGAAGCTCTCTGTGGACCATGGCTTGTGCTGGAAGATGTGGCTACAAAAATGTCAGGAAAAGCAACTAGAACAGCTGAACCTAATTTGGGGTTGTTCAGAGGCACTTTAATTGGTGACAGGTGTGTGCTGACTCCAATTTAACCTGAGTTTGAATGTTATTGGTTAAATCTGAACACAGCCACATCCCCAGTTATTAAAGGGTGTGCACACTTATGCAACCACATGATCTCAGTTGTTTATTTTTACTTCACCTCCCTGAGAGATTTCTGTTTGTTTTTCAATTGTGTTGTACAGGTTGTAGGTCACATTAAAGGTGGAAGAAGTTGTGAAATTATTTATCTTGATTAAATTTTTTTACATGACAAAAACCTGGCAGTTGAACAGGGGTGTGTAGAATTTTTATATCCACTGGACCTGCAGTTTAAGTGGACGTCCTTAAGGGTAGACTGTAAACATGTTAACTTTATCTCTTTTGTTGGTTCAGGACATTTACACCTCAAAGGCAGCGCAGAGAAAATGTCCAAGTCTCTGAAGAATTATATCACAATCAAGGTAACGTCTGTTTAATTCTTTGTACAAACAGTTCGGAGTCAGATTCTCATATTTGCATGTGAAGTTTGTGTAAATCATGGTTGTGCCTCCTTTGTCTTGGGTCAGGATTTCCTGCAGTCGTACACAGCCAACGAGTTCCGGATGTTTTGTCTGGCGAGCAAATACAGATCAGGTTGGAAACACCTTTCCCTGTCTCAGGCAGTGTTTATCATGTAAAGAAACAAGCGTATTGATGATCCTCTGTGGGGTCTCTGCAGCGATTGACTACAGTGACAGCAGCATGTCAGAAGCTCGCTCCTCTCTGGGAACCATCTCCTCCTTCATCCACGATGCTCAAGCCTACATGAGGGGTCAGCTGCAGTGCTCACCTGTGCAGGAGACTCTACTCTGGGAGAGGTTTGAACTCTTTAATTCTTCCAGTAATGATTTTTCTCATTAAGTTTCTGCTATTTGAAAGGTTTTGGTTTTCTTCAGGTTGGCTGAGACTAAATCCAGCGTGCTCAAATCTCTGGCAGATGACTTTGACACTCCCAGAGTCGTCGCTGCTGTGATGAACCTGGTTTATCAGGGAAACTGCCAACTGCAGCCCGTCTCAAAGGCAGGTTATTTTGTTTTACTGAACCTGAATCTGCAGATAGAAATCACCTTCATCGTTTTTGTTCTTATTTCTCATAATTTGACCTCGTGCTCCTAAAATGATCGTCTTTAGTGCACTCTGTTTGCCTCTGTTCAGTCTGGTGGAGTCGTTCGGAGCCCTGCGGTGTTCGCAGCGATTATCAGCTACATCAGAGATCTCCTGGATGTGTTTGGGATCGACCTGCAGCACAGCAAGGTCAGAGACACACATGTCAGAGTTATTTTAGTTTTAGAACACAGCTTTTCAACAGCAGGTCCAAGTGAGATTGAAAGAGGCTAAAAAACACCTCCTCACCTCTGTTGCGCTGTCCTAACCTGCAGGACTCCGACAGCGGGAGGAGCAGTGCCAGTCTGGAGGCCGTCGTTGAACAGCTGACTCGGTTCAGGAATGAAGTTCGAACTTATGCACTCACTCGTCAGGATGCTCCACCTACAGGATCCTCCAAAAAACCAGGACTCTACCCAGAGAGGCTCCCTCTCCTCAAAGCATGTGACACCCTCAGGACTGACCTGGCTCCTCTGGGAGTGCTGATAAAGGTGATGAAGAACCTTTTTATTAGAGGAAAACCTGTTTGGAAAGTGAATCCAAGTTTATAAGAGGTTGTTTTTTGTTGTTTCAGGACCGAGGAGCCACATCGACGTGGGAGATAACTGAGGGGAAACAAATTCAGAGAGGCGAGGATGAAGACCAGAAGACGTCCAGTTGAAATCCACCTCTGCCTTTATATAAAAAAAGACTTTTTAATTTCAGCTCCTGGACGAAATTAAATGAAAGATCACAGGACCAACAGAGAAACCGCCTGATGTGCCAGAACTCTTTCTTTGCTGGAATCAGAGGATGAACTTCAAAATAAAAGCGTCTAATATATTTGATTGTAGTTTTAACTGAATTATTTTCACTGTGCTGTAAATATTTTGGTGTTTAAGATCAAACAATTTTTCATGTCATTAAAGGCTGACTTGAAAAAAATCTGGTCTTTAAGTAAAATCATTCATGAGCTGGCATCTTCCTCTGCCTCCCATCAGGCCTGGGGCTGATCCTGCAGGATTTTAAAAGTTGTTTAAAAAAAGTTTTGAATGTCCTTTTAGCAGCAGCTCTTTATTTTTTTGGACAATCTCAATAAAAACTGAACATTGAGAAGCTTCCTCATGAGTTTATTTTGTGTTTGGCAACTCTGAAGATACAAGGGGACCAAGATCTGGAGAAAACAACCAGTACTGACTTATTTAATCAAAATAAGGTCAATAAAATGCAGTTATGCACGTCCAATTGAGGGCTTAGATAATTTTGCTCGGCTCAAGGCAGAAAGAGGTTCAAGTGCTTCTACCAAGTCTGATTATTTTAGAGTCAGATAAACCAGAAAGTCACTTCAACCTCCAGAATGACACTAGGCTCACCAGAAGTCCTGATACAGATAAATACAAAAACTCTAAGTTACAACATGAACTCGTCAAACCCTCTTAGCCAAGAGGACAAGGGGGCCTGACATTATTAGTCCAGATGAGACCAAACAGATTTAAATCCAGATCACTGCAGGGTCAGAGGTCAAAGTGTCTCTAGAGCACATGTAGAGGTGAAAACCTCAGCAGCAGTCCTGCTTCTGTCAGTGTGTTCCTCCGCTAAGCTGTGCTGCGGCTCTCCGGCTGCAGGTTGATCAGAGAGTTGCTGGCCTGAGCGAGCTCCGTGATGGACACTCGTCCTCTCTGTCGGATGAAACGAGCCACAGAGTCGAGTTCCTCGGGAGTGATGGAGATGAACTTTCCTCTGTCGTCGATCACGCCTGCACAGAAAATAAACAGAGAAATATTGACCTTATAGTGACAGTAAACATATATGGTTCATTCTCAAAGTCTCATATTAACTTTCCGTCTGCTGAGAGAAACATTCAGCTAAATACAGCAGACGCTTGTTGAGACGTTTGACCATCAACCGTATTTTGATCGTCCAAAGTCAGAGATGCTTCACACACACACACACACACACACACACACACACACACACACACACACACACACACACACACAGGAACATTGATTCTTTCAAACCTGTGAGGGACCCCTCAGCCAGCAGGTCCTGCAGTCTGCTGATGGCATCCTGAGTCCTCATCCCGAAGTGAGACGCCAGATCCTCCAAGAGAACCACCTTAGAGCTCTGCGAGCGAGAAGACAGCTTTAATTTTAACTTGACTTAATTTTGGAATATTTTATCACAGATCAAATGAATCAGTTCTTACCTGGATGTAGTCGATGAATTCTTGCAGCAGGTTACGAGACTGAAAGGAAAACGACACAAATGTCAGAAATAAATGCAGATTTTAAAAAACGCAGATGTTTGATCTCTGCAGAGATCACACCTGGTCTTCAGTGAGCTTCTCTTCCTCCCCCTGCTCTTCTATGACAAAGGAGGCTTTCAGTTTCAGGTACTCCTCCTCTTCACGTCTCTCCTGTTCTTCTTTAGCCCGTCGCTCCTCCTCCTCCTAAAAATAAACACGGTCACACAGATTAATCACCTCCTTCTCTTCCTGCTGTGAACTGAAGAAAACTGAAAGAAAATAGCAGGTGTGCAGCGTTAGTGACCTGTTTCTGCTCCTGGAGCCGCTCCCGCTCCTCCTCCTGGTGCCGCTCCTGCTCTCTGAGCTCTTGCATCCTCCTCCTCTCCTCCCTCTCCTCCATCTCTGCCTGAAATCACACACAAAAAAAATAAATCCAGATAGTAAAACACAGTTTTTTTGCTTCGCAGTTGAGCTGATTGATAACTTAAGAGACATTTTTACATAAAACTGTGAGGAAATTTGGTTTTTAGCCTCAAATAAGAACTTTTTATCTTTTCCTATGAAACATTCAGAGTTTCTTGGTGACTTAGACTTCCAAAATTAGATGGCAGAGGATTTTAGTTTTTATCAAGAGACAGGCTTCCTACAGAGTTGGAATTTCCATACTTTTCCATACCTTACTTTTTAGAATTATTTTTGGAAATACCTACTTTTCCATTTTAGAAAACAGCGTTTGAGAACTGTGGTAATAGTCTGGAAACATAAATATTTCTCCATGCTTTATTTTTCATTTTTCCTACTTTTTAAGATCTGGAAATTGATCAAATTTATTTCCATACTTTTCCATACCTGCGTAGGAACTAGGGCTGGGCCGATTTAATCGGCGAGCCGATTAAATCGGCCAGTTTTAGCCCGTTTGAGACTAATCAGCAACCAGCCAAAACTCGCTGATTTTTGCCGATATTTTCAGAAATACTTAGTAGTAGTTGAAAACGCTTCTCTGGTCTGAGTTTGATCAGTCGGTCTTCCTGTTGGCGTGAAGAGCAGTAGCCTACAGTATATACGATACTGTAAATATGTACATATTTAAACTTCATAAAAAATTTTTAAAAATCGGCCAATTAATCAGTAATCGGATTTTTTTCTCCCATAATAATTGATATCTGCATCGGCCCCAAAAAATCCATATTGGTCAGGCCCTAGTAGGAACCCTTAAGAGAAGCAAAACAGAACTTTTCTACATTAATCTCAAAATCAGTTTAGCTGAAAAATGACAGGCAGATATATAAATTACTCATATATATACTGCATATACTGGTCAGGCGCAGTTCTCTTATACACGGTCACATTTGATGTTGTCAAAAATGTGCAACTTTAAGCTAACTGCCATATTTAATTTTCTAGATACAGTGACATAAAAAAACATGATTAAAAGTTAAGTACAGGAATATATCTGAAGTTTATTTGGTTTTGTATTTCTTTCCTGAAAAAATAAACTTTTTAATCTTCTTCCATTTTCTTAAGATTGAATTAAGTTTAAGAGTTGAGTGTCTTTTCACACCTGCACGCCTGATAGAAGTATTGAAGTTTTCAGAAACTCAGCAGGACACCAATTTCATCATAAAACAAAAATAATATGAGCCTCAAATGACGAACTTAAATGGTGGAAAAAATGCATCATTTAAGGAGAATTTCATATTGTTAAGTTGGGATGTTCAGAAGAGACTCATTTCCTATTCCAGTCATTTACATGGAAATTCATATTTCAGCTGACCTGCAGTTCGAAAGGTCAGAGAAAATATTCAAATAAATCATATTTCAATGTATTCATTTATTCTGCAGATATAATAAAGGTTGAATAAATGAATAGAATCCACCGTCAGGTATCTGCTTTAACTCACCTCTCTCTGAGCTTTCTTGGCTTGTTTCTCCTCCAGCTTCTTCTGCTTCTTCGCTCCAACTTTCTTCAACGGCTCCACCTCCACCTCCACATCCTCTTCACGTTCCTCCTCTGAAACTCAAAAATCTCTCAGTTAATGCACCTTTAAAATGTCATAATTGGATCTCAATATGGATATAAGGACACAATGTTACACTGAAAGAGAAAGTAGTGTTGATTAATTTAAGCAGTTTTTACTAAAAGTAGTTAAACACCTCATGAAGAAACAGAGTTCTAAGAGTCAGTGTTTACCTTGTTCAACAGCCGCTCTCTGTGGTCGTCGATTGTCGACTGCTGCAGCGAGGTTCCTCCTCCTGCGGGGCATCCCAGCTCCTCTGTCCTCTGCTGCTGCTGCCCGCTGAGGAGGTCCTGCCGCCCGGGCAACTTCTCTATGCTGCTCCTCATCAGCTAAGCACAGACAAGAAAGCGCAACATCGCTCAGGCTACATTGTCGACATTAAAATAATTATTCTATTCATGAAATACTTTTTAAAACCACGATTAACAATTAGAAACAGTAAGTATAGATAAAAAAAACAAAGCAGTTAACAGTTCAATCTAGAATTGAGTTTAAAATCCTCCTTATGACATATAAAGCGCTTAACCATCCATCATATCTCAACAAGCTTGTTATACCTTACTTTCCGTCTAGACCGTTACGCTCACAGTCTGCAGGTCTGCTCGTTGTACCAAATGTCTCTAAAAGTAGTATTGGAGGAAGAGCTTTCAGCTACCAGGCACCTCTTCTCTGGAATCATTTACTGCTCGAGGTTCGGGGGGCAGACACCCTCTCAATTTTCAAGAGTAGACTTAAAACGTTCCTCTTTGATAAAGCTTATAGTCTGGGCTGATTTGAACCAGCTCTTAGTTATGCTGCCATAGGTTTAGGTTCTGCTGTGGAACTGCCTGACCCCAGCCGCATCGTCTATGATTGTCCACCTAAGGCCCTGAGCTCCTTCTTCTCTTGGGTTCCTCTGGACTGTCTCTCTCTGTCTCTCCCCCTCGTTCTCTATTCTCTCTCCCTGCCTCTCTCTTAATCATTCTCTCTCTCCTTTCCTCTATCTCAGTGGTTCTCAAGTCCAGTCCTTGAGGCCCACTGTCCTGCATGTTTTGGATGTTTCCCTGCTTCAACACACCTGATTCAAATGATCAGCTCGTTATCAAGCTCTGTAATGGCTTAATAACGAGCTGATCATTTGAATCAGGTGATACAAAAAACTCAGTATGACAGATTACAAATACACATAAATAAATATTCAGCTTCATCACAAGAACTTAGACAATGAAAGTAAAATTTAAATAGTTAAAAGATGCAAATTTTACCTTCTCTCACGCTGACTGCATGTACAGCAAAATATTTCAAGCTTCTTTGGTTTTAATCTTGAGGACTTTGGCTTAGGGCTCATGATAATAAAAATTTCACTTCCAAGAGTAATAAGAACATTTCTTTTATTTGATCAAAAGAGGGACTTAAAATACAGAAAAAGTTCAACTTATTAAAAGTGTATTTTTATTCATACAGCCAACACTTGGTTAGGATCCCTTTACCATGAATTGCATAATTGTGTTTAAATTATAATAGAAATGAAATATTTTCATTTGACTCTCCTGATATTATTTTATAACTTTCATCAAATATTGTAAAGTTTTAATGTGAAATCATCCCTTCCACTGATCTGACTGAAATTATAAGGTAAATACCTCCTAAAATAACCCCATATTAGGACTGGGCAATTATATGATCGGGATTAATGATCGGGATGAATTTCAGTTCGATCACAGTGATCAGCTGTGAGCATATTTACTCAAACATAGCAAAAATGTGCATCACAACAGCCAATCACTTCTGTAAGTTGCCGGACAAGTAAACAGAGTAACCGAACGTGGAGCTGAGGGCAGTAAAATAGATGTCAGCCCCTACTTTGAGTCATCCTCCAAAGATGTTATTGTTGAGAAGAAAAGTTATTTAACGTCTTGTTTAGTATTTATCTATTTATTTTTTAGTTTTTTTAGTTTTAAGTACAGATGCGTTAAAACTAGCCGTTTAAAAATAAATCGGGATAATATTTGAGATCGGACAATTTGACAAAGTATATCGTGATCATCTTTTTGGCCATATCGTCCAGTCCTACCCCATATGTCTCATTTTTCCATACAGAACAGCCCTACTTTACATCATGATATTTTTTAACACATAAACACAAAGTTTTATGTCATATTTTAACATGAAAAATAATAATAATAACTAAAAAACAGACGTTAATTCTGACCTGGATGTTTTGGCGTTTGAGGCCCAATGTCCCTCCGCAGTTTCCGTAGTTAGATTGACAGCTGTTTGCTAACAGTCACTAAAACCTGCATTTCTTTAATATCTGCCAGCTTTGAGGTAACTTAGTGTACCGTTTGCTCTCTTAGAGTCATGGCAAATATGAAAACTTTGAGTGACTGATCTAACGTTTGTAAAAAGTTGTAAATAAATAAACACCAGTTAGCTTAGCTCAGTGTTTCGCTCACCTTCTTGAGTTTTCCCCCGGATCTTTACAGCAAACACGATGAGGATGAGGAGGACAGCAGCAGCGATCAGATACAGCGCGATATCCATGGCTGTAATGAAGATAAACTCTTATTTTAATAAAATATTATGTAGTACACGTCAGAGTTAGCTCACACACTCTTCTGAGAGGGCTGTCACTCTTCTTCTACGGTTTATTATTGCAGAGGATTCTTCTTCTGGGTTTTTAATTTGCAGTTATTTTATTTTTAAATCGCCACCTACTGTTCAACAGAGGAAAAATCACTTAGAATATGATAGTGTGTAAAAAAATAAAAAATATTCTTTATCAATATCTGCTCATTTAGATTAATAACAAAACCTTTTTTCGTAATGATATTTGTTCTTCTAACGTAGTGAGTTATATAAACATGTTTTTTCATCCTTACATTTACTCCATTATTTTTTTTACGATTATTCTCTCAGTGTTTTCCACAGATTTTCCACTTTAATAGCACTTTTATGACTCCATAGATGGCTCAGAAGTGTTTCTGGGTCATTCCATGAAACTGGTGCCTTTTCAGCTTAAAAAAAATAATTTTAAACTATATTTAGTTGTTAATTTAATAAACATAAACTTAACAAAATACAATTTTTTAATTAGAAAAATGCAATATATGATACAAATATTAGCAGTACTTTGGTGTCTCTTTCCATTGAGATTATTTTATTTTGTGGATTTTTTTCTCCAATTAGATATTTGTCATTCAGATGATCAAATAATATATATAATTCTGCATGGCGATCATGTCTCAACATATATCAGATATTTTTTAGAAGAGAAATGTTGAAAAATGGCCCAGTCTAAAACATAATGTAATATAAATTATAATGGTGAGTGTTGAAAGCCCATTTGAGTTATCATCTTTTATATTTTTATCAAATTAATGACAACAACAGGATTGACGTCATGGTAACAGGGCTGACAAGACTAAAAGTAACTGGACACAAAGTAACTGGATCTCCACCGGCGTATCAATCAATCAATTGATCAAAAAATAATTATAAGCTCAATAATGTTCACTTGATGACCTAAAAATGTTTTAGTTTTAAAAGGTGAACTTTTAAGAGTACAACGAGGGTAAACACTATTCTATGTCATCCCTGTGACTCACATGTCTGTTACTGTGGAAAGGTAACAGGGTTGACAGTAACAAGGTTGACCATTTTAAACGTATCTGCCTGTAGCTAGCTTAAGTAAGTGCTAGTTTAAGTGCAAACTAGGTACTTTGAAAGGTAATTACTTGTAGATATTGATTATTTTTTGAGAAATAGAAAACTGTTTATATGTTCAAAAGTGGTAACAGGGTTGACGTTGTATGCTTGTCCCCCCTGCTTAAACCTTGAAAAAACATAAAAAATAGCACATTAGAGATGAGAGAAACTTCATTGTCACTGAGCTGTTAGCATCCTGGCTCAGAGAGGATGCAACCTCCTGTCAATCATGTCAAATCTGGAATGTACCATTATTTTTTTAGGGTTTTTTAGTTAGGGTAACAGGGTTGACATGAAATCAGGGGACGCCAAGAAATTGGTAAATATTTATAATGAGTAATATATATTATTGACAAAAACACTGTTTAACAATAAAATCATACTTAAAACAATATGTCAATGTGAAGTTTTTGCCAACATTTTACAAATTTAAAGTCCTGTATATGTACAACAATAGTAGTGAGGGACAGGCCAAAAACCTCACCCTCATTAGCATAAAAGTAATTTATATTATTTAAAATGTTATTAAATTGACTTTAATTTGATGTTATATTAAGGAAAGAAAACATGGTAATGTTATATTTTTAAATTACATATTAATTTGTTGTAATAAAATTATCATTATTTTATGAATGATTACTTCTTGGGGACACAAAAGGCACCGATTTCATGGAATGACCCTTCTCTCTCTCAGTTTAAAGTGTTTGATGAACAGAAATGATGCGACTCCTGCAGATCTTATTCAGTGAGCACAGCAGTCTGTCCTGCCTCCAGGTATGACGCAGAGCAGGTTCATGCTCACTAGATGGCGCTGCAGGAGGAACCTTGACAGCTGAGATGGACTGATAGGAGTTTGTAAGCCTCTCTCTCAAATACACACACGCTCGTACACACACTCACATCCATCAAGCCGGAGGGAAGGTCACATTCACAGCAGCGTAGTCTCAGTAATGACTTTTTTTCCACAGACATCATTACAGTAAATCTAAAACTACACTGATAATACAAAGTGAGGACACAGCCAGATGAACCTGCAGAGCTATGATGAATCCTTCAACCTTCCTCTGCCTGGCACCAAGGCCAGCCAACAAGGGGGGACAATGGGGGCAGTTGTCCTGGGCCACGGGTCACAGGGACCTCTAACAGTGAAAAGACATACAGAAAAATTTTTTATTTATTCATTCCAAATGTATTTTATTTGAGTCTCAAACAAATATCATCATTATTTATTTTGAAAAGATCGAAGGTAATCTAAGAAGGGGCTGAAGAGGCTACTCCAATCACCTTATCCTGGGCACAGGGAAACCTGTCAGCTGGCCTGGGAGTTAAAAATATATTATGAAGAATGTTACAAAAGGGTGTTAGAAAGTGTGTCATGAAAGTGTTGTGATGGATGTGATAAACGGCTTAAATTTCTTCTTCATTGTGATCATTTTCAGATATTTAGGTCCTCTACAGAGATTTTTTTTTTTTTTTTGTCTCATTGGACTGTAGCTCCTGAGGGGAAAGGACGCAACATAACACCCCGGTTTCATGATGTAACAATTGTTATTTATTTAATTCAACAGGAAATAATGAAGTGCTGTTTAACACGGCCATTGACCAATCAGCAGCTGGTCCCTGTACAGTCACACATGCACACAGATTTCCTGACAAAAAACTGCTTTAAACTGAGCCCTAAAATCTACTGAAAACATTTTAAAAGATGAAAATGATTTCAAACAGCAGAGACTAAAAATTATAATTCAAACTGCCTCACAAATGAAGCTTTTTAAAATGTAACACTTGAAAGCAAAGCCTGGAAAACTGACATAAATAAATCCAATCACTATAAAACAAAAGATACTTAAGTTTAGCTAAAATCAGATGTTTTAAGAGGCTGACTTTTACTGAAACAAGAATGCTAGATTTAAACATAAAGTTTACAAGTACTTCAGAAAATACTGGTTATCTACTTTTACTTTTCTTCCTTTTATAACTTTTTCAGGCGTTTCAGTCCATGTAGAGGCCTTTTTATTTTATTTTATTTTCTTGTCTTTTTATTTCCGTGAGAGATCTTTGAAATGAAAGATGATACCCAGCTTCTTCTGTCCTTCCCTCCTGATGACACAGCTGTTTCAACCTGAACCTCATCAGGCCTCAGTGATATGGTCATTCTTGGTCGTTCTTGGCAGTTTCACCACAGATCTGGATCCAGCTTGGATCAAATGACCTTGTGCCCAATGAGTCGGTACACAATCTGGGTGTCATCATTCACCTTTAATATTAATGTGGCCTGGATTTATTCGTCATGCAAGAGGATCAGATTCTACCTGACAGGGCACCCAGCACAGATCCTGATAGAGGCTCTTGTATTATCACACATTAACTATTCTTTATTGGCAGGCCTCCCTGTGTACACAGTCAAACCTCTGCAGCGCCCTGTCTGGGTTTCCAGACAGGACATCCACTAAACTAGCTTATACACCTGCAGTCCCTCATGCAGGTCTACCCTCCCTGCTGTCTAGTACACCATGCCAATGAAACGTGTCTGGTGCTTTCATCACGACAAAGCCCTAAAGTCGCTATGGGAAGACTCCTCTCCTCTGTTGTCTCCTGGTGGTGGAATGAAATACCAAACTCAACAGAGTCGATCTCTCCTTTTATGAAAAGTGAAAAGGTTTAACCTCTAAAGCCCTAAGCATACTTTCAGGAAAAAACGCAAGACATACCCAAAGTAAATGAGGAATTACTTCACTTTACTAAAGGTTACATGCATTTTCTTGGTGTCCTTGGATATCAAGAGACTTCAGAGAATGTATTCCAAGTGTCAGAAGGGTTGTATCTGTCATTATGCCTGAGTAAAGTGGAATAAACCAGAGGAAAAATTATGTTTTTTTACTCTTGCCAAAATGTTTTCTTTTTTGACAGAGGAAAACACAATGCTAGCAATGATTCCATGCCCCCAGATGCCATTGATTAGCTTCATCCACTCCTTGACCACAAATTTACCAAATTTGATAGAATTTGGGTAAACAGTGAAGCCTCCATGAAGGTTTTTGTAAGGACACACCCAGGCGAGAACTCAGTTTGGCACAATTTGGCACATTTTTATGCCAAATTGTGCCAGATTAAAATCGACATAAAAAGGTAACGTTTGCACTAAAACAGACATCCTAACCCAGTTTTGTGAACATTAGAGTCTAAGCTTTGATTGAGAATTGTAAGTAAACACCGCTGTCAAGTTTCAATACATTTTTTTTTTAGCAGTTATAGCGGATTTATAGCCGGTCAGGTGGAAGGAGTTGAGAGAAAGTTCATCTTGTGTCTCCCACGTCTGCTAAATGACATTACACATGAATTTTCCATCTTTTAAATGTGAATTATTTCTCAATCTTGCCTTGTTTTTTTTTTTTTGCTGCACCTTTGCAATAAGGTTTCCAAAAGTCTTTATTGTTGTTATTATTACAGGACTTCAAGGATATTTTGTTCAAACAAAAACGCTGACATTTCTCTTAAAGATTTTTGTCCAGTTTTGTTTAAATAATAATAAAAAGTGTGGGTAAGGACTGTAAAAATTCCTGAGATACTGGATTTGAAGGATGATAAAAAAAAAAGCTCCTGGTATAGGAGGGCTGGAGTGAAATGGGTTCATGATGACACATCAGGTCTGACTGTGGGATAATAATAAAGTGCCGTGAGCTCATTCTCCTCTCGTGCAGCAGCAGCAGGAGGCGGAGGAATGTCGCAGTCAGCATTTCTCTCCGTCAGAGAACAGCAGGAACGTAAGAACGAGTGAAAAGTGAGGACGAGATAATCATTTAATCCTCCTCTCTCCCTCTCTTTCTGAAGGGTAGGAGGCTCTGCTGGCTCTGGCGGTACTTTTCCGTCATTGGTGACATCTGGAGGACACAGCCTCCTCCTGCAACATGAAACCTTACTCTGTCTCATTTCTGACTGCGTGTGCATGTTGTACATATTCCATGTTGTGCATGGAAATGTTCTGTTGCTACTAATAACAGATTTCATGCTGGTGGAGGAAGAGTATGTGTGTATGTGGCTGCAGAATCTTCACTCTGGATGTTAAAATGAGAGTGCAGCATGATCGGAAAGATTCATTTTACACATCTGTCCTCATTTGTCCTCTGCTCTGTATCTTTAAGATGTCTGAGTCTGCAGAGAAACATGGTCACAATCATCCAAAACAGAATTCTCATAATCATCTACCTGCCAGGTGCTGTTTCAGAGCATGCACAGGATGCATGTACAGTCCAAAGTTGAAGGTGAGCCCTCAGAGGACACTCCAACTTGCCGCAGTCCTCATTTCCTGGTTTACCACTCAGGTGATCTACAAGGGGGCGGAGTTTAATGCAGTGAAAAACTGCAACGTCGAATCGAGAACATGACTGATGACAAACCTCCAGAGGTCAGTGTGGCTTCAGTCCCACGTGAGGTGAGCAGAGAACAGGAGGGGTGCAGGTGTAGCAGGGAGGATGCTGTCGTGCAGATGCAAAGAGGAAGTAGTAGTAGTAAGAAGAGGAGGAGGAGGAGGGGAGCACAGACAGGAAGAGGAAGGCATAGAGAGCTGCAATGTTCTGCAGGGACAAGGTGACTCCTCTGCAGGCAGGACGGAGCTGCACGAGCGAGCAGAGTCCACGGTCACCTGGAGAGTCAGAGTGAAACTTTGCTTCTTACATACTTAACTCAGGCAGACGACTTTAAAAGACCGAGGGGAAAGACAGTGCTGAATAAACTTTATTTTAATCTGAAATATTACAGTATTTAAGTTAAACTGTCCCTCTAAAGGACATCTGTGTCTGTGCAATGCAAAACCCTCTCCTCACCTCTTCCAAAACTTTCAAACTGAAACTTCAAACCAAATTATGACTCAAAGTTCTTCCCATCACTCTCAGACATTTACACTTCTTTTTTTTGAGAAGTTTTGACATATTCATCGATATATTTAGAATCAAATGTTACGTATCTCAAGCCTCTGTCAGCTACAAACCTTTAGTGAAGACCAAAAATTAGAAAAGGCTCCGAGATGAGAGACCCAGAGTACAAAAATGCTGACTCACTTAGCAAAAACACAGTGAGGTTACATCTCCTCTGCAGAAGTATCTCATTATGTATGTCTAATTAACAGCTCAGGACAATTTCAGGCATGCTGCTGCTTGAGGGACACATAAAGACTGTTGACAGGTAAGATGAGAAACCATAAATGTAGAGTTAATATCCTCTAAACCTCGTTAAAACTCGTTTAAAGAGTCATTGTCAGTCATTCAAACAGAATCACATTTGGCCCAGTTTTAACTCTTCAGTGCAGTCATGTGATGCTGCCAACCCGTAACAAAACCATGAAAAACTCAGACCACAATGAGGCCGACACAGTGAGGCACCCTGACTGTTTACAAAAATGAAGTCTTAAAATGGATTGTTAGAGTCAACTGAAGTTACTAAGGTCGTGTTCACGCCTAAAGGTCCGTTTCCTGATTCGAATCCAATCCACCTTGGACAAGTCACCATTTTACCGCAGGGCTGATATATAGAGACAAACAACCATCCACATTCACACCAACAGGCAATTTGAAAGTGGCCAATTAACCTAACCCCACTTCTGCATGTTTTTGGGATGTGGGAGGAAACCAGAGTACCCGGAGTAAACCCACGCAGACACAGGGAGAACATGCAAACTCCACACAGAAACGCCCTGGCCCGGATTCAAACCCAGGACCTTCTTGTTGTGAGGCGACAGTGCTAACCACTACACCACTGTGCCCCTCTTTAATTGGACAGTCTTTGTAAAAACACCAATAGGTTAATTATTCTTATAGGATTATTATTTTTTATTTTATAAGTATTTGTTTTTGGCAATTTTTGTCTTTATTGATAGGACAAGTGATGGATGGAAGTATGGTGAGATAGAGAGGAGGAAGGACATGCAGCACATGGTCAGGGCCAGACTCAAATCTGCGACCGCTGTAGGGGCCATGGTCCCCATATGTGGGGTGTGCTAGCCCGCTTGGCCATCACACCTAATCGTATAGGATTTTTGACAGAGACTTAGCACCTAAGTGGACTTATTGATTCAAAAGTTGGTCTTTTGGGGAGTTCTTGAGAGATATTATGGTTCTTCTAGAGAAACAAATTTAGCCCTCTGAACTAGCTCTTGACTTTTGACTATGTTCTTTGAGATATCTCATGTTGTTTTCAGGATTTTTTCAAAGGGACTTTTGATGTGTTATTTATCTTTTCAGAAACACTTGAGATATTCTGAAATTTTTATTTGTTTTAGAGAAATTTTGGTCCAATATGAGCATAAAAAAAGCTCCACTTAAAACCTACAAAACCAAATGAAGTGAGTCCACAGTACATAAACTCATTGAATCTCCACAGATTAATCTCTGCCCACCTGATAATTGACCACAAAGCATACGGCCATTTTCCACAGGTGAGAGCAGACAGGTGAAGGGCAGGCTGGAGGCAGATTGTCCTCCTCTGAAGACAGACTCTGTTGACAGTGAGTGCAGCTGACCGCTGATCCGTAGAGACAGGTTTGTTGTCGTCACAACAAAAGCTGATGACGCTCTCTACAACTCTGATGCATCTACAACCTTCCTGTTGGTTAAACAGACGGGTAGATCATACAAATAGAGTCCAGAGAGAACATCCCAGTCCTTCCTGTCCCAAACTAAAATTCGGTTGAGCACTTTGACATCAATGCAGCTAATCTCATAGTCAACTTCAGAGGGTATGGGTTTTAGGGTAAAGTCACAATTCTTTTGAACTTTTGTTTTAACCAGCATGCCTAAAGTCAGATTTCTATCTCACAGAAAGCCCTTTGCTAAGACTTTTATCCTGTAGGGGCATCTACGGAGCACCTTGTTTACTTTTCAATTGCTGGAAGGGTTCCTGGGGGCACTTTGTTAACATTTTGGCCCATTGAAAGTCAACTAGAAGGCATTTTCCTAAGACTTTTAGGAAAGACTAGAGGGGGGCACTTTTCTTTGTTCACATATTTTTCTATGGAAAGGCTTACAGAACGCACTTCCATACTGTCAAGACTTCTAGAGGGCACTTTGTCTACATTTTAGCCACACAAATAGGTATTTGGTACTCTTTTCTGCTCGATTTTCTGCTTTTTCCTAATCCTGTGAATACATAACGGTACTGATATAAAGGAAAAACCTGTCAGCCAAGTGTCAGACTGCGGCTTCCTCTAAGTCTGACACTATATATGTAAATGAGTTCTCAGTGATCTAGTTTGACAGCTCTGTGCTTTAGACTATAATTTTCCTCCCTCAGTCCTCAACTCGGGCTGTTAATGGTTGTGTGATTTTAATGACTGCAGGTCAGATCGGCTGAGACTCTCAGGGCGTGTGTGTGCTACTTTCACCTTGTGCTTCAAGGACGTCATGGCTTCAGTCAAACTCACAGAGTTTCCTTTGTCCCTCATGTTTGTCCTGATCCTCCGCTCTACCTTTCAGCAGGTGTTCATATGAGCTCCATGAATCTGTGACACTCACAGAGGACTCTGCCTTTAAGATTCAGGGAGGAAACACTTCAGACAATGTCAAACAGTCAGTGTTAAAAGAGGCAGAAGCTCTGCATATAATGTCCTCTGAGAGAAAGTTTCACCACATTGCAGTCTTTTAACAGACTTCTAATCAAGAGAAATCACACAATCCCTATTAGATATGGCATCTTAAACACAAACTTCAGATTACAAGAAGGAACAGAAGTTGATAAAATCTGCACATTCAGCGTGAAGTCCAGTCTTTGAAACTCTCTTCCTGGTAGAACACTTGACTATTTAAACACCGTGTATTTTATTACCCTTCAGTTTGCATGCCTTTGGAAAGAAACGCCACTTCCTTTGACTCATCAGGGTGAAGCGGTCAATGTTCATCATATTAGATTAAATCAATGTTCAAAGGGCAAGTCCCTCATTGTTACACCAAGGACCTGGTGTATATATATTTTAGATCTAAATGACTGAACGATTATAAAATAAAAGAGAGTTTTGGACTTTGGAGAAATGCAGTTGGTAAAAGTGCACCCTCTCTTATTCAGTCACAGTCCAACAATCAAACAAGAGTCCTATCAGACTAACTATAGAGCCTCTCGAAATATTACACAGTGACTACAACAACTCCTTAATGCCCCCTACCCAGACTCTTTTCCCTCTGTTGTCCTCCAATGGTGGAATGAGTTACCAAACTCCATTTGATCAAAGCAGTCCCCTTCTACTTCTGAGACACTTTTTGACCCAGCTCTCTGTGAACAGCTCAGATTTTGGTGGTCTGACTATGGCAGTAATGGCGATAATTTGTGGTTTCATAATGAGATTGATATGTTGTTGTCATGGTGATGATCATACAGTTATGCTGCGTTCGAGTTACCTCGGAAATCAGATGTCGGAGCTGGGAATGATGTCACACCCGAGTTACCAGCATTTCAGTTACCAAGTTGGAAAAAAGCAAAATCGGAGGCGGAAACAAGATGTTGCAGAAGGACTACATATTTGTCCAGAAGTTGCTTATATTCAGACAAGGCAAGCGCTAAAATAACTTTGGTAGATGTAGCCATCTTGTTTCCATCACCGATTCCATCTCGAACGCAGCATTAAAGTTCTTTCACACTGGGAGTGCTTTTTTTTTTCGTGCGGTTATTTCGGACGTCAATATTTTTTTTCGAACCCGCATCCTGTCAATACAAGCGTTCACATCAGCAACGTTTTCCTGTCCTGCGATATTACAGCATTTATTTTTCGGATCATGGTCAATTTTTCTAAAGTTTCGCATACTGTGTGTCCACTTCTGACCAATCAGATTGCATGTTGTTGCGATGTCAGATTCACCGGTATATCCAACATGGCTGACTGGCTGATTGTTTACAGAGTGCTTTTTGATAAAAGACACAAATATTACAAAGATCATGACCTGAAGGACAACTTGTGGAGAGTCATATCGTCGGATTTCTCATATGACGATGGTTTGTGTGCTTTAACAGTTTGCTAGATGTCTTTATTTTAACTTTCATCTGTACTAAGTAACTTTAGCTTGTAAGCTAACCTGTTCAGATACAACATACCATATGTATTTTCACTGTCTCAAACTCAATTGCGTTGCTGTCACAGCACCATTAGGTCTCGGTTGTTACCTTACGTTTATGGATTATACTTTAATGTGCTTATCTGGTACTGGCCCCGACTCAGTACATGCTATCATGACAGACAGTCATCTCAACACTAGTGTCTAATCAGAACTGAAAAACAGTCAGTCTGGTGTCGTGTCAGTCTTCTTGCTTACACTTGGCATGCGTCTTTTTCCCCCCCGGAAAATTGCAAAATCATATCAGGCTTGGTGTGTATAGTCAGGTGCATTAAAATTCGCCTCTGAATATTTCGTAATTTCGCGTTGTATATTTGCGTCGGTCCCGGTGTGAAAGGACCTTTAATTCAAAATTAAAAACACATACCATGCCTCCAGCATTGCAGCACTTTCCAATCACACCTGAAGTAAACTGTGGCACTTTCAAAGGTTGTTTCCTGCCGTCAAGATCTTTGCTGATGTTCTGTTGTACACTTTCCCAGAGAACCATCACAGTGAACAAAGGCCTCTGCTGATTGACACTGAAACATGACAAAAACGCAACATTGCAATATGGTAACAAAACAGCATTAAAACGTAACAATGCAACACTTGCATGAAATATTGTTTCTATATTGTAAAATGCACTGCTATCACCTGGTTTCATAGTTATATTGTTATAGTGTAGTGTTGTTAAATTGTAACGGAGCCAGACGTAAATGAAAAACAAGAACATAAATGGACATACTTAAGTCCATTGCGGTTTAATTGCTGTCATTACACTCATTTTAAGGCTGAAGCAATCTTCTGGATCTACTGTTTTCAACGTCTTTATTTAGTCTGTCAAGTAGAGTGAAAAACAAGAACAACTGGAGCCCAGGTCTAAACATTTTATGAACATTTAGTTTTTTAATGCTCATTTTAATCATTATTTTGGATGTTTTTAAATAGTAATTTCTGGTCTTTGAATGTAGAACATGACAGCCAAATTATGGGTAATCAAACATCTTGGTCAAGGTCAAGCAAGTTGGATGGATTATGACAAAAAATTCCACCAAGATGTCACAACTCACAATATGTTCAGGAAAAAACCAGACAGGATTGTAAAACAGCAGCGCTCATATCTGGAAACAACACAAGGACCATATATTTTAGATACTGGTCACCGAGAAGCTTGGATGCTCCCCCTCCTTCAAACCAAAACCATCTGAGTCTGGTTAGAGTGTAAACACATAGATCCACCCATCTTTAAAAAGCCGTATTCCCCCATCAGATGAAGAGTGTCCTCCTTGAATCTGAACTGAGGTTGAGTTGTTGCATAACATCTTTAGTGAGTCCATGAAACACTAAATTGCTCCGGTTCAAAGAGCCGCAGTCTAATTCTGCAGATCAGGTTATCTATGCGGTTCAAATATTAACCATCACATGAATTATTATGAGGAACGAGAGCTAAACTTTGTACTGGGGTGAGAAGCAACCGAATATGAGTGAGATGAGATTAATTTGTAACTAGTGCAAAGTTTCACAAGCGTATACTTCACAGCATCAGTGGAGAGGTGAGTCAGGATGGGATATCTGTGAACAGGTTTGGAGTAAAGAGAGAGGAAAACAATGAAAGTTTAATAAGGAGGGTGTTAATTACAAAGCAGGACAAGTACATGATAGAAAATTTCCAAAATATTGGCTTTGAGTGGGCTCATAAAGGATCATTTTAAATTCTAAGAGGACACACTTTCTCTGACTTTGACATTTCCCTCATCGTGTCTTCTGTTTGTTTCTGAATACACTTATTGATCGTCATGAAGGAGCTGATGAAATGTTAGCTGCCCTATCTAGTTCCCACCTTCGCTCCGCTGTGACATCATGTCCTGCCCTCAGGGGATTGGGTAACTGAGTCCCTCAGAGGAAAACATGAGTGTATCTGCAACACAACGACACGAACGTAAGAAAATAAGTGACATAGAAATGTTTTCACACTTACAGAGGGAGCTTTTCCACTTCTGAGTATAGCTCAGTCTAATGTTGTCCCATTCTTGTCTGATAGAGGATTTCAGCTGATCAACAGTTCAGGGTCTCCTTTGTCCTATTTTTGGTGTCATGGTGCTCCAAATGTTGTCAATGGGGGACAAGTCAGGACTGTAGTCGGGCCAATTTAGCAGCAGGACTCTTCTGTTACAGAGCCGTGCTGTTGTAATCCCTGTTGTCAGAATGCGGTTTGTCATTGTCTTGCTGAAATATAAAGGTCTTCCCTGAAAAATTCATTGTCTGGATGTCAACAGATGTTGCTCCTACGCTTGCAGATATTCTTCAGCATATGTTAGATTTTTTTGTTTTGTTTTGTTTTTAGACATTAAGACCCAAAAGTTTGTAAAGATAAAGCCCAGGTTTTAAAACCCAGGAAGATTGGGCTAAAATGGTCATTAAGATGAGATAAGTCCATTAACTCATTAGAGACCCATTATCTTGGCTTTTAAACACACTGGAAGCTTCATGTTTGGACTTTCACCTCCTGTATCTCTGCAACTATCAGTTTTCTTTCATTTTTCACAAACTTCCGCATGTTTAGACATAGATTATTTTGGATGTTTAGAGTCGGTTTAGAGCCAAGTTTAACTAGTTAAAAGTAACCCAAGACTCCTTTCACAGCTCTTACACATTAACCCGTTCCTTTGAGAGAGAGGACATTTAAACTTTCCATAATGATCCCTGTCAATTATTGACCCCAGGGGCATTATGCTGCAGCCTGACTGAAGAAGGACTTCAGACGTTATATATGACAGAGTTTTTACTGTCGACATGTTCCTGCGTTTATCATAAACCAGTTGTAGAAATATTACTACTGTTTCACTCCTGTGCCCTCGCTTCTGTGTGTGAATGAGTTCAGAAAGAAAGGCTTAGAGGAGTTCGACTTTACTGTTAAACCACCATGACCCATCCCCCCATTTAGCCCCTGAATGCACACACAGGCCACAAACCCCCGCAAACACTGACACACACAAAATGGTGCGTTTCTTCATTTCCTGTCAGAGGTGAGGCATGTAAAAAAACCTAAAAGGGGAACCCCCTGGTACAAAAACACATTTTTACTCCTGCAGGATGCTTCTAAATGGGGAGAAAACAAAGTAAAAGGTGTCTAGGGTTTACTTCAAGTGGAGAAAACACACTGAGATGTTAGTTTGTATGCCTTCAAATGGAGAAAACATGATTTGCTTACCAGGAACTGTTAAAGTGCAATCCCTGCAACTTAAACATAATTGCATCCCTACAAGATACTTTTGTTAATGGAGTAAATGAAGTTATTTAGGGTTTACCTGAAGTGGAGAAAATAAATGGACATAAAGAGAAAACACAATATGATTGACTCAAGGGAGCATTCACAAGGTTAAAAACATGATGAAGTGACCTAAAAAGGTTGCACTACCGGATGATACGCCAGTGGAGAAAAAAAAATTCATTCAGGGTTTACTTCAAGTGGAGAAAACGTGACAAATGTCCAGCTTCCTCTAAATGAAGAACATATCACAAGGTTAACTCCAGAGTGTGTAAATGGTGTAAAAATTGAGATTTAGTAACCTTTCCTTTAGTGTCCTCATAAGATGATCCTTCAGTGGAGAAAACAGAATTACCATCATTCAGGGTTCACTGAAAACAAGATAAACTGACCTGAACCATGTGCTTGAAGGAACTAAAATGCCACCAAGACTCTTTAGGGTGTTCTTCTAGTGGAGAAAACAAGGTAAAAGGCATAGAGGGTTTAATCAAGTGGAGAAAACATGACAAATATTGTTACTTATAGGGAGCATTTACAGTAGAAAACAATATAGTGTGAGCGGTTAGAAATCTAAGTGGAAAAATACAAAGCTGTCTCTGTAGGATGCTCTCCTGCTAGGGGAACAAAATTACAGTCATGGAGAAAACAAGGTAAAATACAAATGTCCTCAAGTTTGTGGTCCAACATGAATCAAATATTTGAACCTCTTCATAGTTTTATTGTGGTGCTACAGAAAAAGAAAGGTGTTTACTAAATGCATTCTTCTTAAACAGGTCCTCCAGTGGAGAAAACAGTATTACTATCAATTAGGGTTTACTGAAGGGGGGAAAACACAAAAAAACATTTGGTTATCTTCCCTTGAACAGAGAAAAAATGACAAGGTTAACTCTATGGTGCGTTCATAGAGTAGAAAACAAGATAAACTGACCTGAACCATGTACTTAAAGGAACTAAAATGCCACCAAGACGCTTTAGGATGTTCTTCTAGTGGAGAAAACAAGGTAAAAGTCATAGAGGGTTTAATTCAGTGGTTCTCAAATCCAGTCCTCGGGGCCCACTGTCCTGCAAAAAACTCATCTGACTCGAGGTTAGATTGTAGACAAACCTTCATCCCAAATGTCCGACTCTTCCTTTAAAGCAGCGGTTCTCAAGTCCTGTCCTCGAGGCCCACTGTCCTGCATGTTTTGGATGTTTCCCTGCTCCAACACACCTGATTCAAATGATCAGCTCGTTATTAAGACATTACAGAGCTTGATAACGAGCTAATCATTCGAATCAGGTGTGTTGGAGCAGGGAAACATCCAAAACATGCAGGACAGTGGGCCTCGAGGACTGGACTTAAGAAACCACTGGTTTAATTCAAGTGGAGAAAACACGACAAGGTTACTTTTAGGGAGCTATTACATTAGAAAACAACACGGTGAGATCTGTAAGAAATCTGAGTGGAAAAATACAAAGCTGTCTCTCCTGCTAGGGGAACAAAATTACAGTCACGGAGAAAACAAGGTTAAACACAAATGACCTCAAGTTTGTGGTCTAACATGAATCAAAAATTTTAACCTCTTCATAGTTTAACTGTGGTGCTACAGAAAAAGAAAGGTGTTTACTAAATGCAGTCTTCTTAGAAAGGCTGAACAACAGTCCTGCATAACGAAAAGAGCTGTCGTCTGCAGAGTTTTGTTTCTACAGAGATATTTATAGAAAATACTTTAAAACAGCATAAATGTGAAGTCGAAGCTTGCAGCTGCTCGGGGTGAAAATCAGGGGTGATAAATGTCTTTGGCTGAGTCTCTGCAGACCTGATAAGAAAACCCATAATGCTTTGTGATGGCAGAGGCCACATGCACAAAAAGACAGAGATAATTCGTAATTAAGTGCTGTGGATTAAAATGTGTTGTTTACTCTTAATTTAATCGTATTAACTCTAGCTTTGACCCCAGGATTCTTTTGATCGTAAAAAAAAAAATAATAATAATGATAATAATATTATCTGAGTCTTTTGGTTTCACAGTTACGTCTTTTTTCAGGTTCTGTGGAGAAATTTTCCACCTACATATGTGATTTTTTTCCACCTCTGGGTTTGAACATGTTTTATCCTCTTCACAGCAAGATAAAAAAATTAACTCTGTGGCCATAAAAACCAAGTCAGAGAGGTTAATCGCTAATTAGTCGATGAGCTGTGGATGATAACATTTATCTGTTAAAGAAATTGAGTTATAAAAAAAACAACTACATATCTATAGCTCAGAATATCAAGCAGGATCATATTTCAGCTCAGTGACTGCAGACTGAGTGTCTGACCTTGACCATGCCGTGCACTATGCTGCTGTTTACAGGTAAAACACTAACAGGAATGCCATAGTACAATATTGGTGTGTGGCATTAAGGAGTACAGATCTGAGGTGTGCAGAAACATGAACTGGTCACGGTCTGGTTTCATTGAGTGCACACTGAAGAAACTCTGGGCTGGATGCTATTTTAGATGTTTAATATGAGACAGGAGGTTGCAATGTCAACATGCTCTGGTAGATTATGTTTCAACCATTAATTCGATATTAGCATTGACTCCTGTCATTGCTCGTAAGTACTTCCAGGATCCTTAAGATGAAGGACCTTTTAATTCAGAATGGCTTTTATTTAGCCGAAAACAGCTGTTTACATTATTCTCTTCAAAGCTACCAAACTCCATTGACAAAACTACCCATTTAACCTTGCAGAGAACAGGAGTTGCTGGTCTACTCCTGTCTTTTTAGTTTTTTTGTTTGTTTGTTTTAAAATAATAGGCAACTTGATTGGATTTGACCTTACAATTTAAGTTCATTATGTTTTTTAGGCCATTGGTGTTAGTTGGATTTGTGGGAAAAGCAAGAGTTGAGAAACTCAGATACACAATTTTTTTTCTGTGGTTTTTAGGGAGTGTAGGCGCAAATACTGCAAACAGCTGTTACAGATTGAGCAACTGGACACTATTCTTTTGTTTGCATTGTGTCCAAGAGATTTAGACCTCAGAGAGTTGAAAAAATGTACTCAGAGAGACATTCATCACTCCCACATCCTGTACAGATACCACTAAAGACCAGAGTTTGTGAGAGTGCCTCTAAAAAAAAAAGAAGAAAAAAAAAACAAAAACCCGGTAACTGTGCAAACACGACAATGTAACCTGTTCAGGCCTCCAAAAGCTAAACTCACTTTCACCTTGAGTCCTCCCTCCCCCACCTACACTTTTCCCCAGTACATATGTTTATAGTGTAAATAAGCAGACAAAAGGCAGCACTTGTCTGGGCGTGGTCGTCGTCAGACAGCAGGCTATATCATTAGGAAAAATGGCAGGCTTCATCTCACCGGCTGCTCCACAAAACCCTGTCCCTGTGATGGTTACCTGCTCATTAGTTCAATCGTATAAACACAGGAAATGAGCATTGTAGTCGTGCAAATTATGACCAATCCGAGATCAGGATAAATATACGGTAGCAGCGCAGTTCTCAGCAAACGTTAGAGCCGGTCTCATCGTGTTTGGAGGTAGTTTGTTGGGAGTTTCCACATTTACTGCTGTAAACAGTCACAGGACGTGCAGAAAATAATTGAACCACAAATATTACTGTAAATAAATTCACCCAATCAGCAGACTCTTTAAATAATTAGGGAATTTATGATGGTATAATTTAGATTACAAACATTACTCCCTCATAACTGCACCTGAGATATATTTGCATATGAGTGAAGCACTTTGGCACAAACATCCAACAATATGTATTTCTGCTTGTCCACTGCTAAGCTGTGGTAGAAACAGGCTCAGCGAGTTTTTCCAGATATCCCTCTTCTTAGTTTTCAAGCACCTCCAAGAGATTCCCAAGGGGTTTCAAGGCTAGATTAGATACGAAACCCCTCCAGTGAGTTTTAAGTCTGCCCTGGAGACTTCTCCCTGTCAAACATGCCTGGAAAACGTATGCATGTTTCAGTGTTACGATGTTACAGTGGGGGGATAAACATCAATAGTGAAGCAACCAATCATTGTGTGAACACTAAGACCCATCACCTTTGCCCAGTGTGAGTGATGGATCAACGAAAATTAAACTGGATCTGCATTAAACCACCACCAAAAATTGTCTGGTACTAATGGAATTACCTTCAATGTCATGTTAATTTGCAGTTTCTGTCTAAGTATGCCAGAAACCAAACCTGGGCCTGCGCTGGTAGTTTACACAAAGCCTTAAACAATCCAACAGGACTCTTTTTAAATCACAGTCAGGTATTTAAGGTGTTGAAACTCTAGTTACAAAGTGCTGACTCAGCCTGACTTTAGACGTGATGTTCTGGCGGTTCAGCCGTTTCGAGGGAGTTCCATCGGGATGCTTTGGAGTCTATTTAAAGTCTGGGCAGGTTTTTCATCATCTGCAGCGGCCCGCTGACCTGCTACACCTCGCTCTGTGATCTCCTCCTTACAAAGAGACGCTCCGCTCGGGGTAGCTCAGTCTACAGTCATCTTTTATGTTTGTCAGTGTGATTGGTTTTTCAGTAGGCTGTACTATAAACTCTGTCTGCAAGACTCCTGCAAATGCCAAAGCCGAGAAAGAGCATCGTCTTCACATTCAGGTGTTGACTGGTGTTACTTAAACGCTGAAATTGTCCATATTTCTTTTTCAGTGTGCTGCATTGTTAACAGTGTAACAAGAAATTGAAAATGCGATCAAGAATTCATATCAACACAGAAGAAAATCTCCCCCAGACATGTCTGCAATATCAGTAATGTTATTTCTTACTTCGTAGCGACCCTCATAAGTGTACATCTCATTATGGTGAGTCTCAGATTTGCTGTAAAAAGCAGGTTTACACACAAGCTGCTTATTTGTCTGTTTCTGGTATGTCTAAGTTTCACTGTTCATATCACACTGAACAGAAACATCCTGCTTATCTGTTTGTAATGTCTCGGCATCACTGTAAGTACTCAGTTTACTCAGATGCTCCCCATTCATCTGTCAGAGATCAGTCTCAGTTTCACTGTACATAGTGAAAAATCTATTTATCAGTCTTTAACAAGTCTCAGTTTCACTTTATATGGTCAGCTACAAAGAGACCTACAAATACCATCCAAGCAACAGAAGCTGTGTGTAGTGAGTCTCAGTTTCGCTTTTAAAAGTAAACTACACAGAAGCTAACCAGTCTCAATTTCACTGTACATTCTTAGGTTTACTCAACGGATTATTTTACATCTATGTTTGATAAATCTCAGTCTCTCTGCACACAGTGAGTTACACAAAAACTATTCATTCATCAGTTTGTTAAAAGTCTCAGTTTCATTGTATATAGTGAGCTTAATAGAGACTTACAGTATATATATTTGAGCTGTGGTTTTACTGTTACTATAAAACTTAAATAGAGGCATCTCATTCATCTGTTTAAGGTGAGTACTAGTTTTACTGAAAATAGTCAGGCACAAAGAGGCTAAACTCTGACATGCTCCAGTGGTGAAACAAGAAAACAACTAACAACTGTAATTTACACATTATTCACAAGGCATAAGTTTGCTTAAATAACATCATGGTAAAAGGTCTCAGTTTCTCTGTAACTAGTCAATCAGATGCTTCACTCTGGCTTCCCTCAGCAGTATAAACCTCAAGCAGAAACTGATGTTCTTGTGATTTTCTCCTCATTAACAGGTCTTCAATTTGCTGAAATAACATCATGATGCAGATTAGTCAAAAGTCAAGCTTTGTTAGATCAGATCCTTCATTTCTGATGCATTCAGGAAAGTCAGGAAATCTAAATGCTGATCGTCTACACTGGCACACAAAGAGCAGATTAGCATCTCAGTGTAAATGTTTGATTTAGAACAGGTTGTTAGCTGACCTTCATGAAGATATATATTTCAATCAGATCCATCTGAGTATCACAGAGCTGTCCTTAACAGAGGGACGGTTTGGTTCGAGCCCCTTTCTTTAACAATATTTGCTCACAGCCTGGGGTCAGAGGTCAAAGCAGTGGTAAAACATGTCTAAAGAATAGACCTCATTGTCTGTAGCTGTAAAAAAACCTTGACAATACTGGCGATTTGACCTCTCGTGTCCTTGAGGTGATATTTAAAGGTCAAAACCCCCATGTGTGTAACCCTGACCGACCACAGCTACACACTCCTGTTTACATTCAAACAAACATGCACAGCTCAAGAAACCCTCATGGCAGCACATTGCTGAGCGATTTCACACATGCATGCATGAACACACACATTACACACAGCTCACAGGGACTGACAAGAATGTGAGAGCTGAAGGATGTACACACGTCTGTATCATATGTGTGTAAGTGTATACTGCGTCCAAGC